TAGCGTGTGCAGCTGGAAGCTGCCCATGGCTCCAAGCTTCACTTCGCCGTGTGCTCACTGCACTTCATGTCCTCAGAATCTGCGTGGTCCAAAGGTGTTGCATAGTGGAGACCAAAGCCTCATAAAGGTACAGATGCGGCTCACTCAGTTCCCGCTCCCTGCCCGAATGATTCTGTCAGAATGAAGCAGAAGCAGCATCTCGTCATCAAACTTCTGAGTAGTCTGGTCGGCCGCTCGGGGCGATCTCCCTGACAAAGGCTACATTACATGATCCACCCGTGCCCACTTCCAAGTTAAAGGATTCGTTCGCGGCTCTTTCGGTCTTCTGTGTTTCGCTTCCGCTCCTCAGCTTGCACGGCAGAAGTGGCTGAGCAGCGGTGCAGGATGTGAAACCTCGCAGGGCAGGCTTTGTCAAGCATGTGCTGTTTAGCACGTTGTTCGACAAGCTGGTGTGCCATCCTGACAGCTCCGAAGCGCTCGCTGCAAAAGGCTCCGCACAAGTGCACCTCGTCGTAGGATAAAGATCAGATGAAGCACCCTGGGCAGTGGTGTCCTGCCCCGAGGAGAGGCCATCGCTTGAGGCCTGAATGGTGGAGGTGCTGTGCCTCACGGCCGCCTTTGCCCTCGCTCCAGCAGCTGAAGTCAGAGGATGTCTCCGCCCGGTTTGAGTGCCTAGCAGCGTTTGTATCCTCGCTTCGAACCCTTGCGCCTGTGACTAACGTTCATTTTCGGGACGTGTTAGTGTGGGTGCTACGTTTGAGAGGCCCTAGACCTGCCTTCTTCTGGCAAACAGCATCAATAGCAGTTTGCAGCACCTTCAGATGTCATTCCCCGTTTGTTCCGAAATCCCAAACCACAGTCCAGCCCAGGCTTGTGTCCCACGGCCGACCCGGAATGGGCTTGTGGTACTCGTTTCCTGTCCTCCAAAATCGGAGCCCTAAGCCCTAAGACCTTGCGGGGTTTGATGTATCCATGTTTGCAGTCTTGCAGGGAGCAGGGCCTGCAGGTTCAGCGCACATTCTGCCACGACTACTCAGACCATCCATGACGGCCTTGTGGCAGATCATGCTGGAGGATTCAAACAGCATCCTGGCATTTCAAGGAGTCTCAACGCGTCTCCGTGTGCAAGCGGTCCAAGCCCACGTGAGGCGGAAGATGCTGACGCATCTTGGTTACAGCTCAACATGTGTTCGTTTTGCCCGGACTAGGGTGCATCACTTCTAGGGGTTAACGTAGAAGTCTTTGGGGTTGGGACGCTTTCCATTTCTGGCGTTTTGCCGCTGTAAGCTTCAAGGCCGAGCACTTCCGCAGAGCATTCCTCAAAGCATAGACTTGTCCTGTAGTCCTCTGTGGACAGGGAAGTGAAGCTACAGCAAGCTCAGCTGGCGACACCACTTAGGGATGCGCCGGTCTGCGATTCCACGCGGTTTAGAAGCTGTCATGAAAATGCGTGGATAGGTTCATGTTAGGGGCTTGACAGCGCAGCTCTCGGAGCAGGCGCCGCTGTAAACGACATCTTTCGGACAGTCTTGCGGTGACAGCGGAGAAGTGCAAGCCGGAAGCTGAAGGCACTCGTCCCCGCAAAAACCCGCCGAAAGTCACGACTTCACGACTTCACTGCATGCCCCTGAGTGGCTCTTGGGTGTCTGTAGGCTTTTGTGCCATCGTCGATCTGAAGATTGCGCCACTTTGAGTTGGCCTCGGGGCCTAGCAGCTTTCAAGCCGGAAGATCAGTGCCCAATGAAGCTTGGAGAGCGTCCACGTTTACAAGCATGGCTCCGGAGTCCGATCGCCTTTCTTCGCACTTCTAGCTCGGAAAGCCGCACGCACCTGCAACACCTGCAGCACTTGCACCTGCACCGGCAGAAGCCGTTCTTGCAACGGTCGCAAACTGGAGAGCCGCGTGTTCAGTTTCCGAGCTTCTTAGCTGCTGCACGTCGATTGTTGAGTCTTCTCCAGCAGTTGGTTGCTTCAGCCTCTACACGCAGCTGACTTGGGTTCTGGCACGTCGCGCGGTAGCACATGGCGTCTTTCATTGCCTGGTGCCAACCGCCAGGTCACACTTCTTAGCTGCGACATGTGCTCAGACACCTAGACGTCGGCTGGAGCTGAGCCTCCGGAAGAGCTACTTTGGGTGTGGGCATTCTGCGGGCGGCTCTTCGCCCCTGTTCATAAAGTTTTTGGATCGAGCATTCTTTGCGAGGGCGCGAGGCCTGCAAGGACTCTCAGACTTGGGATCTCCCTGGACCGCGCCCGCCCGGCGCTGCTGCTTGGCACCACAGCGCTTTCACTAAGTCGGCGGAACGCTGCACCTGGCGAAGGTGTTGTGTCGCCGACAGCAACTGCGGCTTTTGTGCTGAGCCGACTGCAGCCCTTCAGCCGTGTTAATCAATTCTGAAATAGGCAAGCCTGCATCTCCGCCCGGCCCTTGGCAGTCCTTGCCAAGCTGGGTTCATGTCCCGCAGTACAACTGCAGAACCGTAAAATGACTTTCGCTGGCACGCGGAAGAGTTGCAGTGCCCCTTTGCATCGGCCTTGCAGTCCGGCTGCTGTCACTGCCGTCGCGACGCTGAGAGCCGCCCTGCCGCTCTAAGCACCGCGAAGAGATGGCAGGTCAGCTTTGCTTCAGAGGCCAGCAGGGCCAGCAGGGCCAGGAGACCTTCTGCAGCCGACGGCCTGCGGGCGAGAGAAGTGCTTTCCGAGTCGAGCATTGGCTTAGAGATGCTTCTCCAGAACATCGGCTGGAGCATCGCGCGCACGGCCCCGGTGCCAGAGTCCAAGACGAGCCAGAAGGTTTCGTCGGAGTAACATCGGAAGTCTTCAGCTCTGTGCGTTCCGAATGTGATGAAACATTGGAGCCATTTCTCCTTGACCGGAAAAGGCGACGACAGGTCGAGTCAGAGGAGTTGGAGCTAGAGCAGCTCGTGGCATCTAAAGGGCCTCGACTACCGGTTCCCACACGGCACTGTGAATTCTGCGTGTCACCGGCTGAGCCACAGGAGCCACAGGAGCCACAGGAGCCACAGACGCCGGCAACGACGTAAGAACGACCTGTGACTCCGAGGCCTCCGATGGGAGCCGCAGCCGCTCCTCCGCCGCTTTTTGCGCCGCTGTTTCCACAACTTGCACAGTCTCACTGCCGTTTAAAGGCACCTCTGCTGCCTCTGCTCCACGCTGCTCGGTGCATCTTCGGGCTCCCTGCCGATCGCATGGGTGAAGCCGCGGTGAATTCCGCAAAAGGAGTGCCGGCGTCACATTGCATGTCTTTGCGCAAGTGGCCGAAGAACTTTGCCTCGCCGCTGACTGACTTGCGGCTTCATCGAGCCGCCAGGACCTGTCAGGCTGTCAAAGTCAAAGGGAGGGCTGGGAACAAGGCGTCCGCGTCCGGGCTGAGGCTGAGGTTTTTCAGCGCTGCCTGGCAGGGATCATTTTCTGCATCATAACGAGTCCTTAGAGTCTTGGTCCTGGTCGTTTTAGAGATCCGCCAGTCAGTCCAGCAAACCCTTGCGGTCTTCACCTCCGAGTCGTTGGAAGCCTCAAAGGGTCTCAGGCCTCGAAGGCCAGGCCGCGCATTGGGCCCCAGGCCCTTTCGTTTTGGCCTGTCCTTGACTGCCTGACCTTGGGCCGGGTCGCCTCAGAACGCTCGCAGCCGGAGACAGGCTCCAGTGGCCGGTCCTGACCTTTGCTTTGCCACTTCTGTGCTGCTTGCAACGTGTCCAAAGCCCAAAGCTGAATGGTACGTGTGTGTGAACCTCCGAGGCTCGTCTGCGTCGGCTAGATCCGAGACCCAGACCAGGTAAGGACCCCGTGACCCTGTAGGTACTTGACAACTCCGAAAAGCGTGTCCTTGAAGAGAGTTCCCTTAGATGCACAGCACTCCTGGTAACTCTTGAGACCTGTGTTTTGAGCGCAGTCATGGTTGCCTGCTGCAACCTCTGCTCCTGGCCACACTTGAGGAATCCGTGGAAATGCAAGTCTAGCAGGTTACGAAGGAAGCAGAGCTGTCTGCCACGCTGTGGGGATGCCTGTAGTCAGACTCCCACTCGCCCAAGCAGTTTGCTTAGCTTCGCTTAGCTTCTTGCGCAACCTAGCAGAGCGCTAAGTGAGACGGTTGGCGCCCAGGTACTCGTTGTGGAGACCGCCCTTCTCTCATTCGAGTTGTCTCCATTTCAGCAAACGGTGCAGGTATTTCAAAGGCAGCCGAGCATCCATGCTTCAGCGCGGGCTCTGAGACTTGCTTTTGCAACAACCGTGATAAACGCTGACCCCTGCTTGGTCTCTTCTCTCAGACCGGTAACAAAGTTTAGAAATCTATGCTGATTCCGATACGGGCCACAACCTGAACCGAAGTCCTGTCCGCTGACTCGAGATGCAGTGTACTTCGCACTCGATGCTGGCTTAGCCACAGCTCCTGCACCTTCAGTGTTGCGGTGCAGAACACATGAAACTGTGGAGACTGAGCCTGAGGGTCATTACCCTGCCTAGAGCGTACCGATTTCTTTCAATTTCTTCCCAAATCCCACAAAAACATTTTGATTGCTTACCACTTCTTGATTCCACCTTTGCACAGGCGGCGTGGTCCTGAAACGCAGGACCTTTCGCGCTTGACCGACCTTCAGCACCTATAGGAGCTTCTTCTTCCCGTGCCCAGTCTTCTCTTGCGCTTCTTACCAGAGTGAGTAGCAGGGTGCTATGGGAGTTTTGAGTGCGATGGCCAGATGAAATGCGATCCGGCAGCCCGCTGCCGTTGAGATCTAAATGGCTTCATGAATCCCTCAAGCCTGTCACGACGGCGGCTTTCGGAAGTTTTTGCCGTGGGCTCTACCCTCGACTGTGAAAGCAATGGGGAGTGCCAGGTGCTGGAGCTTCGCAGAAGCATTTCGAGTGTGGCCGTCTGAAATTCAAATCTTTAGGCCCGCCGAGGTGTCAGACGTGCCAATTCTGTGGACAGACCCCATCTTTTTGCACCGGTATTGTGGTGTCTGCGGAGTGCGTGGTGGATGGGGTCGCAGACTCTGCCGATCGCTAAGGGTGCAGTGCTGGCACCGTCACAGAACATGCATCTGCGAGGTGCTCCACAGCCGAGTTTCTTCCTGTGAACCCACGTTGTCTGGTGAGCCCCGTCAGCTGCATGTCAGGAGGGGGCTGTGGCCAGTTGCTCGGAAGTTTCGATTCGTCGGAAGATCCTGACACGGATGCTGTTTCGGATGAATCTGAGCAGCACTACACCTTGTGCGAGTGGAAGCCTAAAATCGTGCAGACCGTGCTTTAACCTCAAGCTCAAACCACATGAATGCTATTCCTGCCAGTGATATCTGGATGTGGGAGCACGGATGCTTTTGCAGTTGCACTAGCTGCTTGAACACACATTGAGCAAGTGGAGTGGAGGGGCTTCTTTTCGAACACGCATAGATGGAAGAGGTAGAGGTATTATCATGTAACATGTAGACATGCGAGTTCGAGGGCAGAGGATTCAGGGACACACGTAGAATGCACACATGCACTCGCGCACACTGTCTCTTTGTCAGCATCGTAGAGCAGCAGTCGCAGAGGGTTTTGGGTCCGTTCTCACGAGATCTCTTGGCATTTCCCGCCACGAGCTACGACACCCTCGAGCTTTCCATGGCTGACCGCTCCCGGAATTTGTGCGCTGGCAGCAGTATTGACAGCATCGGCACCAAGGTACCACAAAGGTAAGCCTAACTCAAAGCTGGGACTTGACCGCGAGGAAGGATAGGAGCAGCAGAAGCGACGGGGTGCATGCTGCCGTCTGGACGGGAAGTAGCCAGTCTTGCAGTTCAGTGTGTTGGATCCTTAGTTCTGAGCCGTTCTCATCAATCTCAAAGTCAAGAGACTGAGGCTAGCAATAGCCTCGGGCTTCCGAATCGGCAATGCCCGCACAAGGAAGGTGTCGGCGACAGTGGGATGTCAGGTTCATGAGGAGGTTTTAGTGCTTGGTTGCATCGTCAGGGCATGGCTCGGCTAAGTTCCCGAACCCGAGCCCGTCCTCGGATTTTGTCGTGTCGCTGTCGTATCTTTGGAATATATCGGACTATCGGGATGGTCGAGCAAGCAAAGAACGGGTGCTTCCGTGCCCCAAGATTTTGACAAACGCTCTCCTCAGTCATGCACGAATTTGTACCCCATGCGTCAGGCAGAACTCCTCCTGCTTCGCGACTTCCTGCTTGGACAACTGGGCACTGAAGAGGCGGAGCATGTGTTGAGAATTGTAAGTCTGAGGCCTTAAATCACTCTAGGCATCGGCCTTCAGAGTCTGACAGAGCAAGCTTTCATGCAATTTCTTCAGGACACTGCCACGGCACAACGGATTGGACGTCTGCTGATTGCCGGAGGCTTCTGGGCTTAGCAGGTCTTGATCGTTTCGCTGTCGGATCTCGAAGCTGGGAGTGTGCCCAGGACTCCATGCTGAAGATGCCGAGCTCCCAAGCTGTTCTGCCCTCAGAGAAGCAGCCCTTCCAGTGCTTCCAGTGTTCTGTGCTGTCGGCTCGCTGAGATGACCGGATCTTTGGATTAGCCTCCCGGGAAGAATGTTGCTGGCACGGGTTGCAGGTGCAGCAGTTGTCCGTGTTTACAACTTCGGTCAACGAATGATTCGGATCTTGATCTTGGGGGGTCTTACTCGGAAGCTGGTGGCCGCCTGAGCTCAAACCTGGCCACGCGGGTCCCAGCGATTGTGGCATTTAGCAAATCCCTATACTGCTCGCACGAAGACTGGCAGCAGCATCACTAGAACACACGCTCCGCAAGGCATTCAAGAATCAACGCGAACGATGACCAAAATCTCATGATGCATTTGCTTCGGCTGTCTTCAGAAGAAGCAACAGCAACAAGTAGCAATCGAAAAGCAACGTGCGCAGTCTGTCGAGCTTGAACACTTCTAAAGCCAATGCAGTGCGCAGTGTGAGGGTTGTGTGAGTTGTGTGACAGTGACGCAGTCCAGCTTTGGGTGTCAGGCTTTGGGGCAGCTCGGACTAAGGACTCAGAGTTTCAAAGGTTCTAGGCCGTCTTGCGCCCCTCTTTAGCACCATGGACTTCAAGCAGGAGTTGAACCAGTTTCTCCAGAAGACGCTGTGCTGAAATTTCTGCAGTGCTGCATCCCGCATGTGCCAGTTGTCAACCAACCGTTGATGGCCTGTCACCGTTGGTCCGATGTAGCGGTCTCAAAGGGTGATGGGAGTCCAGTGGCCGCTATGGTCAAGGTTGAGTTGAAGGGTCTGCATTTGCTACTGCCGCAGACTGTGAACCCGACTCAAGCAAAGGCATTGCAAGCGACCGCTGACGAAGACGGACATCGCCTACACCGTTAGCAGCTCGAGCGAGACAGCTTATCTTCAGCTCAGTATGGTCTTTGTGTTGGAGTTCTTTGAGGCTGCTGAGGTTGACAGGTGCGAAGTAACATTTGCCTATACCTGCCCACCCTTCGAGAAGCAATTTGTCTTCGGGCACCTTCTGACCCTCCCATCTGAGGCAAGTATGGAACGCAATTTCAGGCACGCTGATGTTAAGCGTGGTGTCTTGTGGTGTCTTTGGGTTCAGCTGCCGGCCTTGTGCTCGACCTGGCAGAGAGCCTCGGCGCAGGCGATCGTGCGACTCAATTGCCTCAACGGCCAGGAGTACGCCGGACATCTGATGGCTGATGCCAAGGTGGATTCTTGCAGATTCTGTCAGTGAATCGGTTGGCTGATCGGCCCTCATGTTGTCAGAACTCTGGCACGGCCACTGCGACCTGCAGACGTGTAAGTGGGTAACAAATGGGTAACTTCTTGCCCTGCCGTCAAAGACCCCTGAGACGTGCAAAAGCGTAGTTTGCAGCTAGACGTGATGGCAGCCCTGAACTCGACAGGCTGCTGAGAAGTCTGCAGCCCAGCAGGCGATCGAAGCTAACGCCACCCTCGTGGAGGCCCGAGCCTAATTTTGTTGCAGAAAGCGCTATGACCTCCATTGGCTGCCATCTGTGTTTTTTTGCTTCCTGTGTTTCGCTGATTGCAGGAGCTTTCCATGTTGAGACTGTGTGCTCACATGTTCCTCCGCATTGCCTGGACGCCCCCGGACACTGATAATATCAGTTGTTTTGACCAAGACTCGTAAGACCTCCGTAAGTGCTTCCAGGCCGTCGTTACTGCGTCCGAATACTTGGACTGGAATTTTCAGATACCAACTTCGCAAGTAGGTTTTGAAAGCCTCCGGTCTCATCACAGGCGGTCAAAACGGCGCCGGCAGACAAGAAGCGCCAGGCGCCGAAGCCTCCCATCAGTGCAGAGGCCGGCTCGAGTTGGATTTCTCATCAAGGGGTCCCTTCATGGTTCGGGAACTGGATCTGCGCATGAAATGCTTTGGGACCCGGGGCCTAGACTCCCGCATTTGAGTCTGCGAAATCTGTCGAGGAGCGTGAGGCCAAGAAGGCCAAGCAGGAAGCAGGCACGTTTCGGTTCACTGAGCACAGGTGAGGAGGGTTGACTTTTTCGCTGAGACGATGTGGGCTTGGTAGCCGGATCTTGTTCTTAAGTGACTTGCGCCAGCCAGACTTCTCTCCTGCGTGTGTTGGGCGCCGAGGCATCTGCTCATCTGCTCATTGCCTTGGCATTCTCGTCTCCTCCACACTGGCATGATGTTATGGTCACGTGCACCGAGATTCCGATCAGTCAGACTTCGTCGCTGTTCTTGGACACCACCCTGTTGCATCACAGCTCCGTCGAGGGCAAGGGTCGAACTTGCGCACTGTGCTTCCTGGATCTGCGCAGAGGCTTCGTTCGGATAAATCGTATGCCGTACACCAGTACCTGCTCCCAGAAATTGAAAAGGACAGGAAAGGCTCGATAGAGGCTCTTTCATCCCTGCCAATTTTGCTGGGAGACTTCTGCTGGTAGTGCTCGTGCAGGGGAAAATCCCGCCGTCACCCCGAAGACGGAGCTCAATAGCCTTTGTATGCCAGTGGCTCAGGGGTTCCTTCAACATTTACCATGACTGCACTTTCCTCAGCCTCGGTCCCAGGCCCTCGCCTGAAATCCTTCCATCCCAAGATTCAAAAATTGCAACGACTCACTCCTGGCAGCTTCAATGACATTTCAAACTGCCCAGGAGGATCATTGGCAGGTTTCTCAAGAAGGGAGAGACGGTTCCTGGGCCGTTGCTTACCCTGGCAAGTTTTGGCTTGGATGTGCAGTGTTTTTTTGCAGGAAAGAACACCACCTTACATCTGAGAAGCTCAGTCCTTTATTCCTTTGATTTCAGGTGTACGTGTGCAACAAAATCGGCACGCAGTACCAAGCCACTGTGCCGTACCCAGTAGCTGTGGCTGATGATCATGTATGACTGGGCCCCACAGCCAAGCGAGAGCCGACTCCCACACGGAAGGTGCAGATCACCAGCCTCCCAGATGAGTGGGCCCAACGCGCCTGGGCTGGGCACCTTTGCGCCAACAAGCAGAAGGCAGGTGGACGCTCGACTTTCGAGCGATTTCGGCATATCCTCCAGCTTGCCAATGGTTTGCTTTTGAGGACTCTATTTCTTCCGATCGAGTGTTCCAGGGTTGAGGGCCGTCCGCGCTGCTCTAGCTTTGCCTAGCTTGTCCCATGCAGCTTTAGCAGGTGCAGTTCTAGCCCCGCCGCTTTGAAACATAGCTGCAGGCGGAACAGTCTGCAGCCGAGATCGCCCTGGGAGACATCAAGGGTGCCTTGGGGCATCAGTTGAGAAGATATTTTGCACTGCTTCTACATTGCTAGGACTCTTTTTGCTGAGAGCCCTAAAAACAGAGCAACGTCCGGACCCTGAGCAGTTCAACCCTGCCCGAGAGCAGTGAGACCGGGCCCCCCAAAAGCCCATACCTGCCGTTCTCGTGGTGACTGCAAATCTGCCCCAAAGCGTGCCTCCGCGCCTCACAAACCAGCCAAATTTGCTACAAATCCGATCCCCCCCCCAAGGTACACCAAACCTACAACTGCGCTTTCCGTCGTCTGTAAGACTGAAAAGCTCCAAGACAAGCTAATCTTCTTGAATGCCCTCTAAGGTGATGAGAAATTGCAAGAGCTCGCGTCGCAGTTCAAAGGCAGCTCATGGACTGGTCTTTCGAAAAGGAGTGATGCGTCGATCCAGTCTCTCATGGTGCACATTTTGCGCTCAGGCAAGGGCAAAGGAAAGGGAAAGTGGGACATGCAGGCGATGTGGGAGATGATGAGCAACTCGGCATACACTTCTCTTCAGTTCAGCGGCTCTCGACTCGTGCTGGTGTTATGTATCCACACCTCGGCAGATAACTGGTGGACTTGGAACAACACGCGGGAGCGAGTCATCGAGGAGGACGTGCTCGGGGAGCTCATCGAGTGGAAAGGACCGCAGCACGGAAGGAGTAAGAGTTGCGGCAATTCATGGGAAAATGTTAATGTTCATGTACACGGTCTTTTGCTGCTCTGCGGGCCGGAGTGTGGTGCATTCTTCGGAGGACACTATGGCTGGGTGAAGACCGACCATGATTTCGAACACGAGGCAGCTGGGACGAGCGGCATCGGTCCACTCCTGTCCCGGTGCCCTGAAGTTTCGAATGCCTCGTTTTCGATGCCGGTCTTTTGCTCGTGATGCCACGATGCGCAATGGGGACACAGGCCGTTTACCCTCAACCCTGGCATAAGAGCATGCTGTATCAAGTACGAGCACGCTGAAGAACCTTGAAGTCCTTAGAGCCCTAAACCCTACTACTATGTATAGGTATATGTATATGTATGTGTATATGTATACGAAAACGCATATGCACATGTATATGTAATATGTAGATGTGTGTGTGTGTGTGCGCTTGTTCATGTGTATATATATATATATGTATATATATATATATATATACATGTGCATGTGTATGTGTGTGTTTACGTTATGTTAGAAACCATAGGCTGGTGCTTAGATTTGATGCTTGCATCAGGCCAAGGGCATGCGAGATGGCAAGATCTACATGCACAGGTGCCTATGCTTAATGTCTTGCTTCAAGCTGGGGCGGGGTTTTCGAAAGCAGTGCAGATTTTCACATTCCTGTTGGCACTGTGGTCACTTCTGAACTTTCTATTGCGACCTTTTGTCTTCACTTGTTTGCGGCGCTCCATGCAGTCTGGTGTCGGTTTCCAGGAAAGACATCGAGGGCCAGCCGGAAGCGCTGGCTGAAGGTCAGAAGGCCGCGCATGTTAGGCTGTGAAGGAATCTCATGGTCGATGATCCTCGTGTGGCAGTCCGAGCTACGATGGAGATTTCTGGGGATGGTTGCAGAATATTCGAGGTTTTGTATGCAGACGTCACAGTGAGCATGCCTGGAATTGCTTATACTCTATGTGGTCCTTGTGTTGGTGCGCGTCGTCTGCTTCCGGGTGCTGTCACATCATGCCCGCAGAGCCAGGATTCAAGTTTCCCTTCGTCCGGTCTTCTCAAGAATCCGGGAAGGTCGTGCTGTTATGCGGTGGACCATGCTAGATCTGCACCATGCGACGCTAGGTCAAGTTCAAGCTCTATGCAGACGGCAGTGGATTGGGCGCCGAAGAAGTGACACTGTGCGTGTAGAGCTTCCTCCGCAGATATCGGAGCCGGAGATTTGGGCCTGGAGCTCCAGGTTTGCCGGGAAGTCCCCATTGGTCCATGGTTTCTATTTAGGATACATTAGGCAGAGACTTGAGATGAGGTTCAGTCTGTGTATCCACTTCAAACGGACGCACAAGGAGTGTTGCACCCGCATCACTCATTTTCCACTTAAGCCGAAGCCGCAGTGGACCTGAGCGTCTGTGATCCCAAACTTCCGCCCAACTCTTGCGACTCCGACCCCTAGTTTTGCAGTTAGAACCCAGAAAATGGGGCCTGCACCTCTGCAACAGCTTATGAGAGCCGTGAGGCACAACAGAGCGCGCCACTTCTGAGATTTCAGGAGAGTGCCCCCGACACGCGACGCGTAGGACCGGGATCACAGCTCTCTTTGCCTTTTCAAGGCCTTGGGCGGCCCAAGCGGCCCCGCGTGCCTGAGAAGGCTTCAGCCGTCAGCCGGAGCATTGTTCGGCCCTCTGTGGCATGAAGAATGACCATCACCGCAAGGCTCAGAGATCTTTCGCCGCCGCTGCTGCCGACGAGGCCCCACCCCCAAATGGTTTGGGAGCTTCCAGGCTGGTTCTTGCGATTCACAGAGATCACAGCCTAGGTAGGAAGAGGGAAGGCACCGTGCCGTTTTTTCCAGGAGCCTGGAAGCAAGGTGCTGGACAGATTTTACCAGCATGGCTTTAGAAAGGAGCTGTTCTCAGCTTTACCACGCAGTTTTCAGAACCGGAAAAGGGCACTTCAAGCATCTTGTGTTGTCGACCACTCAGACTTTCTTCCTGAGCTTCCAAGACTTTAGTTTAGACGGAACTCCTTGGCTTTCCAGAGCCTGTCGAGCCATTAGTCTGAGCAGACTGCGCGGTATTTCCATACAATTTCTCGGAGGCGGACCTCTTCCTTGCGCCTCTTTCCTGCCAGCTGAAGCGGGGGGCCTGGGCTGTGCCCACACCTTTGGATCTTTGCGATATGCATGCACAAGAAGCAAGGCATTGCATTGAACGCGGCATTCAAGTGAACCTATCTGCTGCAGCGATCTCCTGCCAAAGCGAGTGGCGTTTGACACGTGTTGTTGTGGCTCGCAAGGAAGCTGCTACAGAAGGCTTCATCGACCACAGATGCCAAATAGAGAAACACCATTCGCTCAGGCTATGCATCCTGAGTGGAGAAGGCCGAGACGATGTGGCAAGATGTTTTCCGAGGATAAGTTCAGCGTTTACGTTGCATTTTGGGCTGCCTTGCTCTGCAAAGTGGTACAGATGTCAAGACAAGACTCTGTGCACCATTGGGCCCGGGTATAAGCAATGCTGATTCACAGGTTTGCATGCAAGTGTTTAACGAATCTTGCCCCGTGCTGTGGCTTCCCAGCCCAAGCTGCAGTCGAGCTTTGCATCTCGATGGTGCATGAAACAACATGCGGCCAGGTGATTGCGGTGTGTCGAGAAGGCTCTGCAGATGTCCTCTGCTTAGGATGCAGGAGAGAGATGCCCGGAATCTCTGCTTGGAACACCGTGTTTTCCAAAGCGAGGAGGGCTGCGCGTCCGAATGCCCTGAAGGCTGCCTCAGCCGGCCCTGCCCTTTGCCATCTTCCCAAGATGCCGGAGGCTCTTGGGCTTGGGCCAGAGAAGTCCAGAGTAGCCGTCCGACAATGTGCTCTGAGCTGGGACAGGTCGGGAAACCTTGAGCTCTGGACGAATCCGCTTTGCCGTTTAGAGGGCGAGCTTCAGGCGCGGCTGCCTTGGGCTCAAGTCGCATTCGGGTGCTGGTGTCCCAGTGTTGGTCCGGAAGTTATGCACCCCGAAATTGGAGCTTGTATTCAGCTCCCATCCTTTCCTGCCTGAGTTCCGGTGTTCATAGGTTGGAATTGATATGGATTGAAGGCTTTGCTTCGGTTGACCACTGTGCGGCGGAGGTTGTTGGCCATGCTGGCCAGCCTTTGCAGCTGGCTCTCCGCAAGGGCCTCGCCACTTGTAGGTGGCTCAAGAGAATGGATGGATTTGGAGATTCGTTCGGGTTTGTGATAGAAGGCTTTGGGGTCACGTCTCCATCATTTGACCCGCACAGCAATCCAGAATCAGAAACGTTGGGTGTGTAAAGCCGGACATTCGCTTTGGGGCCTGAAGTCTTGATTGCCTAGCCGTAGCTGCCCTAGCCGAGGGCCTAGTCCACCGGGTACGACGAAGTCAGAGACATGTCTCTCTTTCGTTCCTCCTTTGAGGCAATGCTTCAGAGCCGACGACGGCACTGGAAGCTCTGCTCGACTGCTGGCCCGCTGCCCTCGGCGATTCTTTCTTTCCTGTTCCGGTGGTTGTGGGCTGATGGTCTTGTTTACACTTCTGGCGGCTTCCGGCATTCGTGGGTGGGGTGAAGGACTTGAGGTCCACGCTGGTTCCGGCTGTTTGGACAATTTTGGTATTCAACCTCGAGCGGAGGCGTCGACAGTACTTGGCGCCCAAATGGCCCGAGTTCCTTCTGGACAGAGACTGCCTCCAGGCCTGAACGCAGCATTAACCGTAGCCTCTGACCCGAGTTGTCCATATTGATTCCTTAAACATTTGTAGGTTCTGGTTTTCTGTCAGAGGATGTTCGCGCTTTTGACGTCTTACCCCGTGGATGTTTCCCCTCCTGCAGCTGCCTCCAAGTTTCCCAACCAGCTCAAGTCGTGTCGGAGGTCTTCCGGCGGAGCTCCGGGTCGGCATCCCGTTTGGTGTTGGGTTGTGGTGACCAGAGCTTCCGTTCCGACGTCTCGGAGGCTCTCGGACCCCTTCGCCATCCCAACGCCGGAAGAGGAGCGCCGCCTAAGCCTTCTTCTGCGCGCCTTCTCCTTCCTTCGTCCCAACCTTTCTCTCTCTCGCTCTCTCTGCCAGGGCGGGGCTGGCGCTCGGCGAGTGGTGCTCTTCTCAGGAAACTGCGAGGCGGCGGCCTGGGCGTCTTGGACGAAGAGACTCCGTTCGGGCAGCTAGCTCGAGTTTTCCCAGAGTCCGAGGAGCGGCTCTCCGAACCTCTCCTTGGGGGCAGCGTTGAGGCCTGGGCCCGGAAAAGGCTAAGAGGCTCCAGGATAGTGTAGCACATGCAGCTGCTGCCGTTTGCATTTCTCTTTTCTGGGTCACCTGTCGGGTTGCTGGGGACGGACGCCTATCAAGGGCAGCTGTGAAGAGGTGGCAGCTCTTTGCGTCCCCGACTTCACGGTTGAACCGGCCCTCTTGCTCCTCAACACGCAGGCTTTGCTCTGGGTTTGGGGAGTTTTTGTCAGGCTTCAACTCCGATTATGGCCCCAGCCCTGGGAAGTCGTCAGGACCTCACCATCAAAAAGCTCAGCTTCGAAGTCGCCTAGGCCTGACGCCCAGGGGCCCAGGTCGAGCATGCGATGTCAAGCACTTGCATTCTACGAAGTTTGACGAAGCCAAGCTGGAGCGAACCTGGTACGACGAAGCTTCAAGCCGGCACGGGCAGCAGCAGCGGCGCAGGACCCACATGCCCGTGCTTGGACATGACACAGCGAAGTGATAGGTGAGTTAGATGCAAGTGTTAGCGCTTCACAGGCTCAAGGTTCAAGTTCCGCGCAGGTCATGGACGGAAAGAGTGTCAGCAAGGTCGGCATGAAGACCATCCAGGACGTTTGCTACACCCGGAAACGCTCACCCGATGAGCAAAAGAAGGTTTTCGCGGCGCTGGTCGGCCCTTGAATCCAAGCCCATGGCGAAGCCAGCTATGGGTGGCAGTCGGACTCCGACAAAGCCATTGTCCAGCAGGACGGGCAGAGCTGCAAGCAAACAAAAGGAGCTGTGATGCACTGGCCAATACGAACGCGTTTCTGTGCTAAGGCTTCCGATTAATGAGAACCACCCTGGTCGGCATGCATGCTGTCTCCCTCATCATGCAGTGAATTTGCCTGCACCGAAGGCTTCATGGCCGGCACTTGGTTACACCGGAATGGACTAGACTTTGGGGGCTGCGGGGTGGTGAGCGTGTATGGACGCCGTGGAGCATTTCGGTCCGTGGAGGTTTGTGCTCAAAGGTAGTGCGCCGCAGAGAGGATGACTGAAAAAGCTTGACCTGCCAAGGCCTCAGTACATGCACCGCATCCCGCATGTCAGAGTGACGGAATGCTGCTGAGATCTAGTCCGACTACTGTTGCTATGTACATAAATGCTGCGAAAAGTACGAACATGTGAGATTCACATCTTGCCGTCCTGGCAATTTTGCAATGTCACATTGAGATTTGCATCTTGCTGTCCTGAATTCTGCTGAATGGTAAACGTCGCGAAAAGTCACGAACATGCGAGCAAAATTTCGATCGGCTTTCTGACTTCATGGCAGTCCATTTCATTGCTTTCCTGGAGCCAACTGAGCCAGGGCTGAAGCGTAGCGGTCGGGTCTCGACGCCAGGCGGAGGGGCACAACCCCTCCGAGCGAAGAAGGGAGCGCGTGGGTGCTAGTGCCCGCGTGCAAACTTCTCGGAGATGTCGTCCGGGGCCAAGTACCAGCTTGAGGGTTTGTTGGGCTTCAAATCCCAGGCGTGGGAGATTTCGCGATCGAGCTTGGATGCATTACATCCTCGAATGCGTGGCTAGACCTGAAGTCCAGCGCTGCCGATCGTGCGAAGCCAGGTTTGCGTGGGCCGTTTTGGGCGGCAGGGTTCCATTCGAGATCCAACTCGATCTCGAAGAGCAGTGTCCCATGCAGAGGTCCTATGGAGAACTGATCCAAGCACTGCGCGTGCTAAAGAATGTAAAGGCCGGCAAGGGTTCAGGATTGCCAGGTCTGGAGCATCTCGTGAGGAAGTGACGGTGAAGACCGTGTCAGCGAGGAACTGTTGTCAGCGGATCGCATTGGGGTGGTACTGCACTGCTGTCTCTGCAAGCCCGAACAAAGTGAAGCCTTACCTTTCCATCTCTAACGCCCGCAAAGTGCGCACCTGTGATAACGGCCAGGAAAAGCGACATGGGATAAAGACCCTGGCCAGTCTGTGCTCAAATCGAGCGTTTCAGGCCCGGTCGAACAGGGTTTCGGCTGTGCGGCGGCTTCGTCGTGGATTTCGGAAGGAGGACGAATTGCTCAAGAGCTAAGAGCTGAAGAGCTGGGGATCCCGAACTTGTGGTAAAGGCCTGAGCCAAACAGCACAAGAGCCCCAAGCACCTTCAACCCCGAGGCACTCTGAACACGCATCTAGTCCGACCCAGCAGTGAAGCAACGAAGCGTGGAAGCTGCCACAGGTTCGAATAGTGCAGAGAGGCGGATGGCGCACTGCCATCCTCCCCTTGATTATTTCCCTAGATGAGGCACGATCGGGCAAAGGGTGTACTTGCAGCTTTCAGGTCGTAAGGGTGTCATGGTCTCTTCCGAGTCCCCGTGAAGGCTCCTGAAGTGTCCTGAGCAGGCTGATTGGTATGTGTGTGCATGAATACACAGGCTCGACCTTTGAGGTCTGCAGGCGAAGAGAGAGCATCTGTTTCAGATCTCGCTGCGCGATACTCGGCCTTCCTGCTGAAGGTGAGAGATGCAGTCAGAAGTATTAGAAACAACTTCGTCGTCAGTTTGGAATAGTCCGGGGCCACAACCTTCATTGTAGCAGATCTGCACAAACCATCAGGCTAAGAAAGACACGTCGCACACCGGCCCCGCTTGAGCCACTCCGTGCCAGGATTGTCGCATGTACGCCGCGCTGGCTGTCGCCAATCTCTCGACATCCTCTGCCACGCACCCGCAGCTTGTAGAGGAGGAAGTCCTCAGGCGAGGCAGTCTCGGAACAGTCAAGGCTTTGTCAGAGTTTGTTGAGTCGCCAGTCGCAGACCACATTGAAACTGCTTGAAGGCATCTCGTGCCCATCCTCCAGAGCGAGGAAGTCCAGGAGGTATGCTCTCAAATCTGCAGCATCTCCATGCTCTTTCATTTGACCTACGTACGGACCTATGGACCTATGCCTTAGGCCGTTTGTGTATCGAGACGTAACTGCTGGTGAAGGTGATAGCTTATGTCCTCAATGCGCTCGGGAACTTCGCATGCAGCTGGCCGCAAGAGTCTGGCAACAAGAAAGTTGCAGGGTATTGATTTGTTCTGCTTCGGGTCACCGACAAGCAGCACGCGAGTCCCAAGCTGTGCCAACTCTGCATGTGCCTCTGCGCAGTGTCCTCTGTGACATGCCGCGACATACTGCAACCTGAGGCAGCAACATCATGTGGCACGAGCTCCAGCAGATGAATGCTGCGGACGGTATCCTCACAATTCTAAAGCAGACCCAGCGTGAAGAGATCAGGACGGGAGGAGGGAATTGGAGAGAGGGCTGAGACGGAGACGGGAGACGGCTTGTTCCCCCAGGATCAACTGCCTCTTTTGCCTGGCCAATCTGACTGCCGACCCCTGGCACCGGAAGTGGATGATGGGAAAGGAGGCTGCAACGGGTTCGGTTCACCAGAAACTGACCCGACTAGGCACTCAAGCTGAGCTCAAGCGTTGGTGCAAATGTGATTCGTCGTCAACTAGAACTGTGTTTTGCGGCTCTGCAAACGGCTAGCGCCTACCGGGATGGCTGCTTCGGTTCGCCTGTTGAGCTTCGAAAGGGTTGGCACAGTGTAAGCGCGAGCACCCTGGTTCTTGGCTAGGTTTACGAGATCATCTGGGGCTACATGCAGGAGCCGGGAACGCTTCAGCCACGCGTGTGTCGCGCAGTGAGGGAAAGAGCCCTACCTTGCACTGCTCCAGTTGCATGTGCAGGATGCAGCAACTGCAGTCGAGTGCCACCCCGTCACTTAGAAGCCATGGTCAGGACCCGAACTACAACATCATGTGGTACTCCCTCGCCATTCTCCGTGGCCTCGCCGTTGAGAGCGAAGCGCAGGAGCCTGGGAGCCACGTTTGCTTTGACCTTCCACGTTGTTTTTTTGTCGTCATCTGCCCCCCTCCGTCCATCAGACGCGTGTTCAGGCGACAAACAGCAATGCCATGCCCAAAAAAAAGCAAGAAGGGTTCACTCAACTAGAGGATTGCAGAAATTGCTGTGTTGCGCTGTGGCACGCCAGATGCGGATTCCAACTGTGCCTTGACTCGATCCCTCAACATAAATTGTGCAAAGGCGTTTCGTCCATGACTTCGGTCCATGATCTGTTCATTCACAGTAGAGTTGTTTTTAGGACTGGGGGCGTCCTCATGTTCTCTTTGCAAGCATTGCTACCCTTCAGAACCCGTGTCCTCGGAGGAGCTGTTTCCATCAATGGGCACCTGCCTCAAGTTCCGTTTCCTGGATTCGCGACCCAAGGCGTTTTTGATGCTAGGGCAGGGGAATCACGGAGTGATTTTTTCGATTCGGGGTTCCGAAACAGCCCTAAAGGAGCCAAACCATAGACAATTTTCGGGTTTAGGGAACAAACTTCAGGTTTTGTTCTCTGGGTTCCTCCAACTACCCAGAACTCAGAACTAGTGAAAACATGGGCATCTTCGTTGATTTTCGGGCTAAGGGCGATGGAATAGTGTTCGGATGTGGCAGAGCACAAGCCTGAATAGCCAAGACTGGCCAACCACCTGCATTTTGCCGCTTGTTAGGGTTTGGGGAAACCCGCCCAATGGTGGAACCTTCAGGATCCAAGAGTAGCGAAACCAGTGTAACTTTGAGTTGTCGGTGTTGGGGAATTGCCAAAAAGCAAGTTTCAGTGATTTTGGGCATTGTGAAAGGCAAGCTCAGCCGAAACGTAAGCATGTTTTGGGGAACCACCGAACGGCCAGTTTCATTGCATCTTAACGGTTCTTGAGAATCGCCAAAGCATTCAAGCAGTCCCTCAGCCAAAGGCATTGTTGCTTGCTTGCCGGGTTTGGCATCAAGCGTCTGATTTCAGAGTCTTTTTCGCTTCCCTCTTCGAGCCTCACCGTAAACTCTGGCCACGACGACGAGAAAAGGCACGTTCTCGGTGCAAGCCGAAGAGCTTCGGAAGAAGTGTCCTTTCGGCAGTCCCGCGGCGACATGTGGGTTCATCCTGGGTTGAACTTGGCTTGGCGAGTCTTTGCGTGGCTTTTCTGCCACCCGAGCGAAAACGTGCGGCTTTTCCCGTTTGTTTTTGGCCAGACGAAGGCCTAGTGACGTTTGCAACGGATTTGAACCTGGCCTGTCTTCTATCCTCATTTTCATGATGACCAGCCGAAACGCGGAAACATTGCTTGTGGCCAGACTTCAATGGGCGCCGAGCAACGTGTCTCGTTCGTACACTTGGAACCTTACATGTGAGGATTGCAGCAACCGACCAGATCTGTCAAGACCGATGCCGCCTCTTGCTGATGTCCCAGGTCTGGTGCCTCTGCTGACCGGCATGTGCAACAGCCAAGAGCTCGGCAGACCACCGGAAACCTACAAACGCGTTCGTACGGGCCGCCCCAACTTTAAAGCTGCAGCAGCAGGTTCACTAAAAGCTTTAATCCTGTTGAGCTTTGGTCTTTCGCAGTTTAGGAGCCATCAGAGACCCCGAAGCAAGTGGTACTTGGTACCGTATGTGCGATAAATCTCATTGCTGCCTGGGTCAGTGCCGCCTCGGCTAGAGGGTGGCATGAACCTGAAAAAGCTAAGAAATTCCGGCCCATTCCGGCCTTTTTTGGAGAGCTTATCAACTTTCTAAGTTTGGCTTTGTTCGTATTGAGGAGGGAACTTCAAGGGTGGAGGCTGTCACAGAGCGCTAGATTTCATATTACGACTCTACATCCGAGTGCAAAGGTGTGTCTTGAAGGAAAGGACAAAGTGTACCTGGTCCTGTAGGTGGTAAGATGCTGGGTCCTGCGTCGGGGTGTCCATGACTAATCATGACTATGACAGAGCTTCGTTTTGGCCGTCATGCATCCACTGGCACACCCCATGTGTTTTCGGAAACCTTACGTCGGAGCCCAGCGACTCTTTCAGGTCAGTGTCCGCAAACGCTGAAAACTCTCTCCATGGATTTATTGCTGCACTTCTCCATGTACAAGGGGAACGCAGGCCGATCAAGCTTCACAGCCAAAGATTCTGATTCCGGGACCAGGGCAGTTGCAGGTGCGTGGCTTCAGTTAGCCTTTGCACCAATCTGGCACAGTAAGTCGCAAAGACTGTGCAGACTCTCCTGACAGGCATGATGATGGAGAAGGAGGCATGAATGGGCCCATGCATTAGTTGTATGCATATGTATGCATGCTGTGATCTTCGGAGCAGAGACACCAGCAGTGGAGCCTGTCCAGGTGTCGCTCTGTGTGAGAGTTGCCAGGTGTCGCAGGTCATTGAGCTCGCAGGGCGAGGAACTGGGCACGTCGAGTATGCCGCTGGGATCCGCGTGCATTCACATACCAAGCAACTCCGTTTGTGCTTTCGCTCTCCAACTTGTCCAGGTGGCGACATACTCACCTTGAGGTAGTATGCAATAAGGCTTGGCATGACGCTTCCGCAGACCCCGGATACAAATCGTCTTGAAGATGCGTTAGCGAAGGGTCCCAACAAGGATGAAGGCGGGAAGGATGAGCGACCATGACGCAGACGGCTGAAATGGTTTTATGACATTTACGGGTGATTTCTGCTATCTGGTGTATCGTATAAGTTTTGACGTGCATGTTTGCGAAGAGTCGCGTGCTGAGGTTCCCATCGGCGTAGCGATCATCGCCAACATCTGCGAAAGTGTAGATCTCCATGACCGCATAGCCGCTCGTCTGAAATAGTGCTCAGGCCGCATCTCCCATCCTTACAAATAGCTGCATTGCAACAGAAGCACGATGTCACTGTACAGCCATGACAGGGAAGTGGTTACCAGTGTAGATTCCAGATGCACGCTCTTTGTTGCTGGCTGTCTCCAAGCGGGGCGGCGCAGTTGGGCTGCTCTGATGACCTAGCCATCACAATGCAACATGAGGGGCTCTGGACGAGAGAAGCCACGGCATAATTAATGAAGCCGTGCAAGTTCATGGTTACATGGGCCAGTTGAGCACCACCACACCAAGACACATAATCCTCTTGTTTGTGAAACCAGCAACGAAGCTATGGGAAATGACTGGAAGGGAACTGGACGGAGATTTCTGTACCCGCAAAAAGTAACAAGATGCGCGGAGTCGTAGTTTGGTCATCTGCATCTACTTTTGCCGTCATTCCAGAAAGCCAGGTTTGTGAGGCAGTGATTGAGCGCTCATGTCAGTGATGCGCCTTTCTCATCATTTTCATATTTTGCATGGTTTCCGCAGTCTGAAAACAGCTTGAATTTCTTCTGACATGAGGGCATGCGCAGACGTGGTTCACATCAAGCTGGGTCTCGCAATCTTCAGAGTCGTGAGACCAGCAACGTCGAGCCTTCACTCTCCAAGCCCAGGTTTCCAACCCTGAGGCCCCTTTGATCCATGGTCGGTCTTCCCACTGGAAGACACATGTCTCTCCTGGCACCGTGGTGTCGACAGTGGCACACTAGCCAATGAGGTTGAATCACCCCTTTTCGAAGTCCTCACGGAGCACATCCACAATGACAACACGAATGCCGGAGCCTCAGGTTCGGACAGTCTAGGACCTGAGATGTTTAGCGGACGTCACAGCAGGGCTGTGGTTTTGTTGCACCACTCTAACGGAGTCGGACGTGTCACAGCTGCCGATGGTGCGGTCAGGTCCTCTAAACGAGTGCATGTTATGCTTGTCCATGGAACATACTGGCAAGCATCTTTGAGATCCAGACACGGTCTTGCTGATGGGCTCTTACAGGAAACTTCGGCTTGGTAGTGGTGAATATTTCGGAGGCCCGGGTTGCCTTGTCGGTGGTTGGGTGCCCCAGCTTCCCAAGCGACCTTCAACGTGGCCTCGCCTTCCCTGGAAACACTGCAGGTGCAAACGCAGCTTGGCGAGCACAGCATCCGAGACTAGGACGTCAGCGGGCACCACGGGAGGGTGGGAGGTCTTGTTCGCAGGGGCTTGCTCAGCTTGCTTCATTTACTCTGCCGGGCCGTCTCGGTGTCGGTGCATGCGCGGGGCCGATTGCCAAGACTGGAAGTGTGATTTGAGGCATGTGATCCGGGCATTGATGCTGCTGAGCCTGTCGCCGAAGTACCACCATGTGATCCTGACTACCGGAGCTACAAGACTGCAATATGGCAGTGGCGAAACTACTGTGTGCCTCCATTGAGAAGCTGCTTCATGTTGGCCTTATAGTCCCAAGACACTGTGACTTACTTGATGCAGAACTCTGCCGCAGATCTCGCCACACCTTTCCAGATCTGGATGATCCTGAAAACCTTCTGAGCTGTTCAACTAGGGTGAGTCTCACATGCCGTGGAATGCTAAGCCTTGACCTCAAAGCTTAAGTTACTTCGGAGACGAGCTGCTCAACATGGCACTGAGCTTCGGTGGCTCCATGTCAGGCGATGGCCAACGTTTGCCCGATAGCGATGACTGAGCGACTGAGCATCGCCATGCCGCTTTCACCGAGATGGCTTCAGGAGTAGGTTGGGTGCTGACTTGGCTTTCGCTAGTTTCTAATGGCTCAAGCTCTGTTTGTTCGGCCTTGATTGAACAGCAGATTTTTTCAGATTGGGCTGAGGTTTTGGGGACTGAGCGCGTCATTTCAGCCAACCTCTTGAGATAGACTGGAACTGCGGCAGTTGTGGCTTGAATCCGAGGCGGGCGAATGCTCTCCAGATGATGGCTGCGGCCGCTTTGCTTGGTTAATCGAAAACCTTGAAAAGCCCGACTCATGATGGCTGTCTCGGTCATCGGTGTTCGTGGGGATGAAGCTTCTTGGATTCTTGCGGTCGATGCTGGCTTGGCAGTTGCAGGTGTATCCCCAAGCTGCGGGTGAGTTCTACTTTGCGATTTTGCCAGGGACTTCGCAATGAAGTCAGGCTGACTGACACGATGTAAGAAGCCCTGAACCGTCGTTGCCAAGCTTATCACGCTCTCAGACTGCTTGCACGAGCTGGAGAGTAGAGGATCCAGATTAGAAAGCCAACATAGAAGTATGAGGTGTCTGTCCGAAGCACGATGCTGAGCTCCGGCAAAGGAACTCTCTGATTTCGGAAAGTAGTGCCCTTCGTATGCCTCGTATGGTTCACAGCGCCAGATATCCTTCCGTCCGTGCCCGCTCGATACTCAGGTCTGCGCGACGCACCCAACCACTCCAACGGTGACCCGGCGGCGCAAGCTAAAGCTTCCTGTGTTGGTAAAGAGGAAGGTCAAGGCTTCCCATGGGTAGACCTGCCTCGATGGATGGGGTTGGATCGGCGGCAGATCGCCTGCCAGCATCTGAGCGCTTCTAGATTTTGCGTCGCATTCCGAACGATGGAGGCCCAGGCAAGACCGACCGTAGCCCTCGGGGCTCTTGTTCGGTCTGTCGTGGGCGTAGGGCATTCCCCATCTGAGAGTATGAGCACATTCGAGGCGACTGACGTCATCGACCTCATGTTTCTGATCCCCAACGGCACAAATGTTCCGGCATGAAGGCCGCAGGCTTTGCGATGTTGCAAGGTGAGACGGGAGAACCACCAAGAAGCTCTCTTCCCCCCAACTCCCTCAAAACCGAAGCTGCTCCAGCTCAGGATATGCAACTCTATGGAAAACGTGGACATCCGCCGGGCGGCGGCCCTTGTCATCGCCAATGCCTCCTCAGATGCCAGCAACCTCGCCGGGCTCTTGAGAAATCGGCGTTGAGTGACTTCGCCCTCACGAGGCTGAAGGTGTCGGGGTGTAGAGGATTGGTTGGGGTATTGTCAAGACTTCAGAGGGGTTGGGCTTGGTGATGCGGGTTGAAAGCATCGCGCAGGCACTGGCATGTTCGGTTTTTGAAAGAGCACAATTTGCATGTTCGAGGCTCCTTCTGCGGTCGTCGGCCAATGCAGCATTTGAAGCCTTTCCCAATCGTGTCGGCTCAGGGAGAGGCTAGAGCCAAAAGTGCGTTCGTCCGGCCCTCTACAGGCCCTGGCAAGCATGAGCTCGGCACTTGGTCCATTCTTCGCACGGCTTCTGCGGGTTCTTCTGCGCTTGCTACCCAATGCATCTAGCTACGAGACGCACTCAATGTGTGTGTGTGTGTGTGCTTTTGGAGCTGATGGCTGATGCTTGTCCTGCTCCTTTCGTTTGCTCTGATTGCCAAGTGCGTCTCCTTCTCCTTTCCCGACTCATCCTATGCATGTTCGAGATGTCAGCTCGACTAGTCTGCATACTGACGTGCAGTGCATTGCACTCTTTCGAGGACTCCTCTCCCTTTTCTGTTTCAAGGCCTCCTCAACAATTTCTGCCTTTGCATTTTCCTCGCCAGATGTGTCTTCGCAACTTCTATAACTGGGGTGATCGCTCTTGCTGCAAGCCCCCAGAACTTGATTCCTAAAGATAAGAAAAGCATCTGTGTCAGTCTCCCCAGGTCTTGCAGAGATTGCGGATTTCGAAATACCCAGCTGCGAGCTAATGCTGCTTGATTGGCTTTCTCATGCATTGCCCAAAGGCCGATCTATGCAAGACCTGGGTCTTAGAGAAGCCGCAGCTGAGGACGGAGAAGTGCATAGGCTCCGGCTGCACCTCAGAGGTGTACAAAGGCACCGGAGCCTCGCAAGTTTGGTTGCTTCTTCGGAGTTTGAAGTAGAGTAGTAGAGGTGCTGAGGTGCGAGGGGCAGCAGATTGAGCTTTGCCGGCTTTGCCTTGGCAGGCTTCTGGACACGGATAGACACGGCCGCTTGGACCGGACAGGACCTGAAGCTTAGCAAGAGGCTTCCTGCCGTTCTGTCTTCAAGACGCTGGCGCGGCAGTCACCAGAGACGTGCGCTGGGATAGCAGCTTCTACAAGTCGATCTAGATTGCCTCTTGTGCACCCGTGTGTGCGCAAACCCGCGAACCCTCCTCCTTCCGACCCCCAGCAACCAGTGGTCAAGGCAGTGGCGATCAAGCAGATCACCGAGAAGACGGCAGCTTCGTTGCAATAGAGAATGGTAGCTCCAAACCGAAAGCTCGGACTCTTCGATGAAATGTCACGGAGCAGAACGGTGCACAGCAAGAATGAAAAAGACCAAAGCTCTCTGAAGTCGTTTCCAGTTTCAGGCTATCCGACCAGACGAGCAGCTCGCGTTTGCACGGGAGATGAAGGCATGTGCTGGACATGTGCTCGTGTTCTGCTGTTCCTGTGTCGAGGAAGCCGTCACTGATTTCCTTGCTGAGAGACCCCATGCCAGTCGTTCGGACCGTGAGATCTCATTCAGAATCAAGAGGCTTCTTGAGGTTTTTGCTGAGCATGTGGCTACCGCAGTCTCTCCCTGCAGAGGTCCTCACTAGAGTGCAGCACGAAAACCTGGTGCGACTCTACGGCGTCTGCATTGATACTCCTCCTTTGAGGAGCCATGTGAGCGTTTGCTTTGCTACTTGTACCCAGCTGTTGGTGTTGGCTCTCCGAGACTGATTTCGGGGCGAGACTAGACTGCGTGCGTCTGCGGTTCCGGCTCGGGAGCGCCAAAACGCTTAAGGGAGCGCTGCACCCTGCACTCTGCACTCCGCTCCGCACTCCTGAAGACGGGAGTTGGAGAGTTAGACTCTTGGACTGCAGGATCATCACTGAATTTTGCGAAGGCGGAGCTTGCTTCGAGCTCCTCCACAACGAGCAGGACATAGACACCTGGCCTATGCTCAAGGATGTGTGAAAGGTTCGGGCCACAACAGGCAGGGATAAATCTTCGTACCGAAGAGTCACTTTTTCCAGGGCCACGGCTATGCCACTTCGAGCCACGAGAACTGCAAGTGGGAAAAGACTTTATAGTCCAGAGTTCTACCGAAAAAATCACTTTTCCTTTGGCAACGCACCGAGGGAAACGGTGGGGACAGCGTCCCCAACTTTTGCAATGAGTGATGGCTTTCCACCTTTTCAGAACTTCCAACACCACTGGAGTAGAAGGGGTGGAAGTGTTCCGTGGAGTATCGTCTTCGGCGCTGAAGGGGTTGTGCAGCTAGTCAACCCCTAGACTGGCATTCATGTCGCTGGATGGACCATGGCTTATCCTTTATCTCATTGTCTTTTGCTCGGTTCTCCTTGTCCGAGTCAGCAGCTATCCTCTCGGGGCATTGGGGTGCTATCGGGGTGCTGCTTCCAGCCGGTTCCAGGAAGAAGCTGCATCCTTGCTTGCCCACTGAGGATCTTATCTTTCCGCAGCAAATCAAGATGTGCAAGGATGTAGCGCAGGCCGTGAAGAGTTGTGTTGTTAATGCTTTCTGGTTGTGACCTGAGTATGGTTCATGAAACACAGGTGGGCAGTGAGTGGTTTCTGTAGATACTTGCGAAGCCTAGACCCTAGCGAGAATCAGCAGAAGCTGAAGCTCATGGTGCCTGAACTCGAGGCAATGTGCTATTTGCACACTTTCGACCCCATGATCATCCACCGAGATCTCAAATCACTGAACCTCTTGCTTGGCAAGAAAGTCCTCGGGCCCTCGGACGTCCCCTTAGCGCCTAGGCTTTGTTTGCCATGCCAGAGTCAGAATAAGCCGAAGAGGCTTGCTTGTGACGGTTTGCTGTCATCCGCTTTTAAATGGTTTCAGCGATTGCGGAAAAGATTATGCAAAGGCTTGTTTTTCTTAGATTTCACCGCCCGTTTCAGCTTCGACTGCCAACGAACGGGCCGTGGCGATTCACCACAGCACCTGCAATCCTCAGAAACCACCCTGACAGAACAGCAAAAAAGTTCCACAACGCAGGCTTGGGAGACTGCGTTGGTAGAACTGTCGATCTCAGGTGAAGGTCTGTGACTTCGGCGTAGCGAAGCTCCAGGCCCAGGCTGGCCAGTGGGGCCAGACTCTTGGCAGCTTCAGCTTCATGGGGATTCAAAGCACATGGATTGTCACACGCTGAGCAGATCTGTTGCTTTCTTCAGGTTTGAGGCGGGTCCTGTGTGTTGGTTGTTTTGACGGGCATGAATTCAGGTCCGTGGTTTCAAGGGACACCGTATACCCCATGTCCTTCACTTTGGTTTGCGAGAGCCGTCGGAATGGAAAAGCCAAGCCTCGCTTCGAGGCATGTCTTGGTGAAAGATGCCTGATAAGTATCAACAGAATCGCTATCCATGTGTAGGAGCATGCACCAGCCACCCAGGCGCGTCGCTGTTCCTGCAGGGTTGAAGTTGCAGCAGCCTGTTGTTTCGTGGATCGGCTTTGCCGAATGTCTTGAAAATTGCATCTGCAGGAAGCAAAAGCAGAGGCGATTCGAAGTCCACTTAGACTCACTGCAAAAAACAATCAGTACCAGGCTATCTTTGATACCGTTGAGTGAAACTCTTGCAAGTTTGGAAAAACATGTGCAACATCATTTGCTCAGGGTGCAGACATGGGCAGCACTGTCCATGAGTTCTGCTTCCAAATGCTTTCTGTGGACTTGTCGGTTAGTTTGTGCTCAGTGAATGAATGGAGACAGAAGCTCGAGACACGGCACTAAATCAGCAGGGACGGTCAGCAATGAGCCCTGGCTTTGCGTTGACATTTTGAGCCTCGAAACCGAGAGCCCTGAACGCAGATCCCGGATGGGGCTGTGTTCGTTCTGCTGAGGATGACGGCGCAGGCGGGAACCAAACACTGGATGGCTCCTGAGATGTGGACATCTTCTACATACGACGCACCTGGGCTGGTCTGCGAGAGGGGTATATATGTATATATATATATGTATATATATATCTATGTATATATATATATATATCACAGAATCTTATCCGGTTGTACAGCCATACGATGCACAGCTGGGTTCCCGTGGTCTGCTGATGCGCAGAGAAGAACTGCCGCTCAGCTGATTGCATGGAGTGTCCAGGAGAAGGTGGATGTCTTTTCATATGCCATGGTGGTCTATGAGATAATCTGCCGCGAAGTGCCCTTCGAAGAAGAGGAGACCTAAACAGCACAGAAGTGTTGCCTGTGGACCCAGCAAGGATTGGGCTTCAGATACTTCGCCCCAAACCTTGACTTTGGATATTTCTTTGAAACGTAACGAGGCTAGAGCCGCTGTCCGATCCCTGCCAAAGTCATCTCCCTAGCGCTGCCATCCAAAGATAAAGCATGGAAAATAGAGAGAGTCTGACCGCAGGTCACTGCTTTGAAATTCATGCTCAGCCTGTGGGATGTACTTGAGATTTCTCGTGGCTGCTTCGCGTTGGAACTCACGAAACCCCGTGCCCTGTCTAGGAGCCTGCGGATGTGGGGAAGCTTGTCTGCAGAGCGCCTGAAGGGAGTTCTACAGTTATGTGGACACCAGGGACTGACTCCTAATGCTTGTAGGAAAGCAAGGTGCCACCGAGGCAAAGTCGTTGAACACCGAGTCATAAGCTTTCAAGGCGAGCTGGGTCGTAGTGGCAGATGAAACCGCAAGGAAGTACACCTTGGCTGGTGTCAGACCCGACATGGATGCCGTGCCCCCGGATTGTCCCCCTGAACTTCTGCAGGCGGGGCACGGTCTATTGCATCCACTTGGGGTTGGGAGCGCTTTGATGGGTTGCACACATTCTGGAAGGCACAGCGAGTCTTGGCTTCACTCACAGAGCTGAGATTGGTTCAGTAAACTTCCAAACCCGCGAAGTCTTCCAGACCTGGGCCCGGAGGTCATGCAGGCTTGTTGGGCGCAAGATCCGCGGGAGCGGCCGAGCTTCCCCGAGGCACGTCTTTGATCCGTCTTCGCCTGACCCTGGCTTCACGACCCCATCACTCTGATCTCCGAAGCCAAACTGAGACGCCGGCTGAAGGTACTGAGACTGCTGGAAGCCATTTGAGTGCGGTTTGCCCAGCTTCTCCGACCGATGGTTCCAACCCCTAGGAACCTCGGTGTGGCACAGAGGCTGGCGCGCGTAGGACCTAGGAGTTTTCCCGTGCCGTGAAGCTCCAAGTTTTAATGCGACATTTCACCCCAGTGGGTGGATCTGAGATGACATGACGATGCTAGTCATTGCTAGTTGCTTGCCGTGACTCTGTCTCTGTCAGAATCAGATCGCCACAGCCGCTTAGTTTCGACGAACTCGCACTGACAGGGGCCCATCTTGTACAAGGCATTCCCCACAGCACCCCAACGCATCATTGCCATCTTGGCCAGTCCGAAGCTTCAAAGATCTGTCAGAACATGGGCTCCTGTTTGGGATTGCATTTGCACATGCCAGACAATTCTGACACGCACAAGTTCAGACACGGTTCCTTCTTTCTAGGCAGCGGAAGACCAGGTTGCTGGCACCTTCGCCCGAAACCTGAACACCGGACAGTGACTGGATTCGATGCTTGGAAAGGGGTCCTTCCGCTGCTGCAGTTGACGTGGTGCTACCTGATGGGTTGCAGTGACGAGGTTGGCCTTCCGGGCCCTGGCCACCCCTTGCTTATTGATTGAATCTCTCTTTTGTCGAATTAGGCGAGTTACGCAACAAGCGATGGCCAGGCCAGAAGACAACCTCGCCAGCAGAATAAGTTGTCTCGCCGCAAAAAGATTTCGCCTTGGGATTCGGGATGCCTTGGGCCCTCACCGTGGATGTGGCGGAGTCTTTCGTAGGGTCTCCGCGTCTTACAAGCAAATGCAGCTCTTGGTGCTGAGGGGGCCGTTGTTTCAGGGAAGCTTTATACCAAAGCAGGGAAAACGCATCGAAGGAGGTTGGCACTGCTTGCTCGGAAATCTCGAGACGTGGACCAAAGCAACTGCTGAGTTGCAAAGTAACCGACCAAGCATCCTTTGCTATAGGGCCAACTTGAATGCCATGCTTTCTTCAACGGCCCGACTTCCTCAGCTCTGCGAGGTCAAGGCAAACCTGGCGCACAAGCCGTACCTGGAAGCCCTGAGCATCGCCATGTGGCTGCAGTGAAGATTGAAGACTTCTGACTTCGAGAGACCCGGGCCATGCTCCAGCCAACAGCCTTTCGGCGCAACTGAAAGCTGAGGCCATTTCCAAGTCTCAAGACTCCGTTCTGGTCGACTACCTGATGCAGTTTTTTCACAACATCGTGCCCTTGCCTTCACTGGCGGCTGAGGGCAGTTGGCTTTTGAGACTCAGAGGAACACCATGTAGGCAGCTTAGAACAAGCTTGCTGCTGTCTCATGAAGCCACAAGACAGGAGTTCTCTCTGGAGTGTCGCGACTGACATGGCTGTCTTGTCCAGCAGGAGGTCAATCTTCGTGGAAAGTAGCTACTGGTAGTACTTTGGATAGCTGTTACTACCACTAGTGCGGTCAGACTGTAGTCACGCCCATCCGAAAGCTTCTGTGCATTGCTATGTCAAAGGTGAAGCTCGATGGCAAGTGTGGTAGTGCCTGGGCTGTCTGTATCCTTTTGGTTCGGGCTTTTCGCTCCGATGTTCCGAGTTGCATGTTGTATCATGGTCGGCTTCCCGTCTGTTCGTTGTTATATTTTCAACAAGGCATGCTCACAGCCTGTGGCTTCCACCGTCACATCTTCAACTATGCAGGGGCCCCGGTGCATGTTGCAGGACAGTGTGGCACACTTTTTCGTGGAGAAATTGCAGGAAGATAGAGAAGTTTCGGGCCAGCTTGTTGTTAGTTTCTAGCTCAAGATCTGAAGAGGCCAAGGGTTCCCGAAAGCTCTCAGGGGCGGAGTTCCAAACGTCGGTTCCGAGGAGCGGCTGGAATCCTTGTCCATCGTCTCAGCGATCTACCTCTGTGACCTCTGCCGCCAGGCCCGGCTTCTCCCTGCATGTTGTCTTGTGAAGTCTCGAAGTTCGTCGCCAGGTGGCCAACACAGATGCGGTGGTGCGGGCAACTCTGCTGGAGGCGACTTTGCCAAGGGCCCAGGCACCCCACAGGCACCCCAGGATCCTTTAGGACTTTAGGAGTTGCGACAGCGGGGATCAGATTTTACAGGCGACCTGACCCAATTCTCCCCGCCAGGAGATGATCTTCTCGGTTCTTACAGATGCCTGGGTGGTGTATCTGGAAGCTCAGATGCAAGCCATGTCCGCTTGCCAAGCGCGGGCGCTGGACAGACAAAAGCAAGAGGATAGTACCCCCCCCAATTTATCGAGGCATTCTCCGCACAATGCCCAAATAAAGAAATCCCTGGCTGCACGACAACGCGAGTTCAGGCTTATTCTCCAGGGGTTGTTTTCCAGGGAGGGTCAACTGGAAGGTGCCGGAAGTTCTCTCAAGTTGTAGCGTTGTGCAGCAGAAGGGTTCTCGGACGACATTGCTGCACCGTGCTCGCAAGTCCACAAAAAACGTTCGCAAGAGTGGTACATGGGCCTGGAGCCATTCAAGGTGACGCGCAACTCCACGCGAACAATGCTTAAGGCTTAAGTGTGTTGTGGCAGGGTCATGAATTGTGGAAAGCTAGCAGGTTTTAATTGCCGACGAGACTTGTCCAGGAGTATCGTGGCACGTCCTGAGAGTCCGAAAGCCGAACTTCGCGCAAGGTGTGTCTAGTCGTGCAGACATTTGGCCTCGTGGCTCCTGTCAGATTCTATGCTTCGTCGAGGCTGCACCGCTTCTGTGATTTTCACTGCTGACTGCTACTAGTGTTGCAGTTGGCAGTGCCAGCAGCATTGCCGTGTATTTGTAGCGACTGCCGTCCATCATGAATTCTTAGTTGTTTGATCTGGGTTTATATAGTCAGATATTTCAACTGCCCCGTCTTTATCTTCATGCTGGTCTACGGCGTCTACGGTCATAGCGTTTTGAAACGATTTACCGGTTGTAACTGCATCTTTGGTAAGTCGCTGTAAAAGCGATGACCCGAGTGGAGCCCACGAGGAAGATCCGCGGCTCGCGCCGCATCTCGCGCTGATGTGCTCGGCGTTTCTCGGACTCGCACCCGGTTCCGTGAGAACTGCGAGCAGGGGCGAGCGGGGGTGGGGATGACATCTTGTGGTTTAGTTTGTTGGGTTTCAGATTCACTGTTACAGCTTACTGCTGGAATTCCGCATCGTGCGGCAGGGTTTCTCGCTTGTAAGGAGCTGAGGCTGTTACAGTAGTCTTGGTTGTCAAGGCATCGACCTATCTGTGGTTCCCATTCGACAAACACCTTTGCTTATAGAGATATGCCAGTGCCGCAACAGTGCGTGCCGTCCCGAAGCCAAAAAACCCTTTATGGGGACTCGTCTGCTCCTCGCGACAGGTCTCTTTCCGTTTGGGCTTTGGGCTTGCCTCAGGTTCTGCTACCATTCCGACTCGCACCAGGAGTTCGTGCTGCAGGGAGGCCGGGTCAGGGAATGCGCGGTCATGCTCTTGGGAGCGACTTTCGGTGAAGCGCTCTGTGTCTGTCCCTGTCGTGTTGTGGTAAGCTGCAACGATCAGTGTACTTGCGGTTATTTATAGAAGTCGCATTTCCGATCATGTGCCGGCTGTTGTTGAGATGAAGCAAGCAACGATAAGACCCAGACCTCCTTAAGCCTCCGCCTTCTCGAGGTTGGCAAGCCTGCAAGGGACCAGCGGATTGTAGACCTCGTGCATGGCCTTGCACGCCTGGCACTTTCGTCCAAGCCAAGGCGTGAGATTGGTGATCCAGATGTACACCAAGTCCAAGGCGAGTGTGCCACAGAAGCCTCCCATGATGGTGACAGTCCAAGCCTGATCCAAGAGTGTCCTGAGGAGATTTTTCCTAGCAGCGAACCTCAAGCCAGGTGGAGCACGTGCGGCTTTGCTGCCTGCTGTGTCTGCTGTACCTGGCGGAAACTGGGCACTCCCAGCGCAGCATTGCCCAAGAGAAGGCCGTGCACCAGACATGTTGCGAAGTGCTCGTTGCCTGTTGAAGGTTGTGTTGAGTTCACGGTGTTTCAGCACATGCTCAGCGGAACTTTGAGGGATCTGACATCGAGTGGGGTGAGAGTGCATTTCCGTGTCAAGGAGTCGAGTTTAGCCTACACCAGTCGAACGCATGAGGTTGAATGTTCGACCACAAAATGTGTGATATAACTGTGGGCCCTGGCAAAGACCATCTACAAGCAGGGACGTAATTAGATCTCCTTGTCAGCTCAATCCCCATGTCTCCTCTCAAGCCTTGCTAACTAAACCAGTTGGAACCTGCTGGGTCTCGCGCTCCGCTGTGTTGGCATGTAGAGCTGTGTTTTGCTTCAAGGCGGCTTCGGACCCGCCATTGATGCCGCGAACCGAATTCTGAATAAAGCAGACTTGTCGAATGAGGGCGTGAAGATGCTTCTCACGGCCTGCGAAAATGAGACGCACATCGACCTTATCGTGAATGCGCTGAAGGTGCAACTGACTGCTCTTCAGGATGTGGTATGATGACAAAGTAGGATTTGAAGTGTCTCGTCATGATGTGTGTTGAAGATGAAGTACACCTGGAGTTGAGTTTTGATGCGGTTTGAGGCGCTAATTCCTTTCGCATGCTCCGACGAGTTCCGGCCACAGCTGGGCATGGATGGCTGCTCGGACCCCACGATTCAACCCCCTTAAGCCTTAAGGACGTCACTGCCGCCTTAAACCATCACCAGCAACTTGGGGTATCTAGTGGCTTGATTTCCCCTGGTGTGAATCAAGACATACACTTTCTCTCCCTGTCTGGCACCAGATTGCATAAATAGACTTTAGACTACCGAAACATACTCCAGACTACCGAAACAGGTGTCCACGCTGACACATGCTCATGAGGAAAATCCATGCGCAGTGTTCGGACGACGCGATGTTCTTTGGCGGGCTCTGTGCGAGTCTACTCGTGATTTGCCCATTACTGCACCCTGAGAGACATGCGCTGGAAAACTCTGTCTCGCAGTTCAGATTCCTCAGAAGGGTCGTCTTAGTGAGTGCTTACTTTTCTCTCCCTATCTCTCGCATGACCCTGTGGCTGCAAAGATGTTGTAGACATGCCAGGGCGCAAAGCGCGATATCTCTCTTCCATATTGCCTATCTTTCCGAAAGACGTCCAAACACAGCCTGACTACTCGTTCCAATCAAGGGTCCGTCTCTGGCACATGAAGCAAGATACTTCTCGGCGGCCGAGCGACCTCGTGCTCATAAAACTTTCGCTGAAGCAAAGTATACGTTTTGCACGCACAGTTTCACAGCGATGTCACCGACTTCTCACAGCTTGTCCTGAGTCCGTAGCGAATGAAGTGATGGTGCAGGCAACATAAAGATTTGGCGGTGCTCCGAGTAGCTGAACACAGACTCATTCTTGTCTCTTGTCTCTGCCGAGGCGGCTTGGACACCTTCTCGGCTTTCATGTTTTCCGCCCCTTTACTGCATTTGCCTTTGGAGCGGACCAAACTTTCAGCCTGCCGAACCTCGAGCTGTTGTAGTGAAGGCAGAAGGCACCTCTAGGGTGACCCTTTGGCCCTCGAACCCACATGTCCTCCACCAACTTTGCGACATCAACTTGGAGGACCAACTACAACTGCAGCAGCTGGGAGTCTACTTGCTACAGAACCTTCTGGTCGCTTGGTGCAGTGGTGGGTTTGGTCACCATTCCGACGTCCACAAAGAAGTCAGGCGGGTTGAGGCAGCGAGGTTACGGTCGGACAGCTTTGGCAGCTTAAGTTAGACACAGCCTTCCTGCTAAACGGAAAGAGTCAAGTCAATAACATTTGCCCGGCTTTGCAGCGAACGGACCCAATACCCCGAGCTATCGGGTTGCATACTTACTAGAATCTGGTGCTCCGGCAGAGGGTGAACCAGAGCCATCAAAGTCCAAGTTACGGCAGACTGAGAGCAGTTTCTGCAACAACAGATGCTAGGCTGCTAGGTTTCTTGGCATGCGGCCATGGCTTAACTTGACTTTGGCGAATTATTATGCACAAAGGAAGCTTTGCGATCACAAGCAGCCGCTAGCCGCGATTGTGCCACGAAACAAACCGTACTGTTGCCCTCGCAAGAGGATGTAATCTTTCATGGGGCTAGGCCGAGCTGTCAGTGCGGAATGAGCTGTGAGGAGTTTCGGGAGAATCGCCGCATCTTCCTCGGCCTGTCTGAGGAAAAGAAGTGTGAGGACCGCAGACCAATCTTCCCAAGCCTCTGTGTGAAAGCACTCACAGAGTGGATTGGGATGGGGCTTGCAGGCTCGTGGAATGGCCAAGTAGCACAGTCTGCTCCAATTCGAGATTTATTGGGTGTCCGAGTTGGAGACAATTTCTCCAGTCACAGGGGCGAGAGGCGCCGCTGGGCCTTTCTTGGCCTTTAAAGATTTAGTCCTGTTACTTGAAATCGCATTTGTACTGCGAGGAAGACTACCTGGACAGCCTTCTGCGGTTGCTGCCCAGGGTCAGCACCTGGGCAGGAGGACTTCTCTCATAAATTAGGAGGACCCTCTGAAGATTATCGCCCTGAAGAACTGAAGGACAGGTAGAGCTGTGGATGCAAGTTTCTTCTGTGGTTTGGTTTCTCGTCGGTCCATGCGGAGCCTGACACCTCTGACACAATGGCTGGTCCAATGCGGCATGGGCCCACCGAACCAGCAACGCAATGCACTTCAAGCCCTGAGCTGCGCTAAGCCGCTAAGATTAGCACGGTGAGAAAGCCGAAGCTGAGGCACGGGCCAGCCGAACCGTATCAAAGCAATGAAGAAGGATGGCGGCTGAGCTGCATCCGGAGGGGCACCGGGGCGCTAGGGCACCAAAACCTGACCTTTCGGTGTGCGCGTGTTATGGTTCGAAGTGAGAGAGGGTGGTAATCTTCCTTGTAAATCTGGGTCGCGGTCGCATCAGCTTCTCGTAACCGTACAGCTTCAAGCCTCTTCAGTGATGCTGGGGTGATCATGTGTGTGTGTGTGTGCCGGCGCCCGCAAGCCGTGACCTTTGATGCCAATCCAGGGAAGGACAAGAGCGATCCGGAACCAATCTTGACGAAGCACGATCCCTTCGTCCTCAGGTGCCTCGGTCCGTTGGAGTGTCTGCTTGTTTGTCGTCTCTTGGGTGGTGCCAACACTCTTGACCTCCTGTGCCAGAGCCACGAAAACGTAGCTGAGACTTCGGAGCCCGACATGTGGCTTCCAGATCGGAGATCCTGCAATTTGCACTTTTGCGGGCCCGATGCCTTGAAATACGGCAGGTGCTGCATTCACTGCATCGCTCTGCTGAGCTTGGAGCACCACTTGGGGAGCTTCCAGCGTGGCCCGGGTCGCAAAGGCTTAGCTCAGCAAATGTCGCCGACTTCGGCCAAGGGTTCTTCAACGAGGGCACTAGGCTGGTTCTCCTCAGGAAAACTGGCAGGTCTGCAGCGGGTGGAGGCTTGTAGCTTCATGGCACGCGGTCCAACATCTCTGACCTGCCACTCAACAGCCAACACCTTGAAGCCTCTTGAAGCACGCTTGGTAAACGCATCAAGTTTTGCTTGCAAAGAGGCTCCACAGAAACAGCGGTAAGAGCGCGGCGTTTGAGGCTTTGTGGATCTGGGGCTCAACAAGCTACTCTTCGACCTTTTCTACTCCGAGCAGATCGACAAGTCCTCGGGAGAGGCAAGCTCAAAACTTCGCACCCAACAGACATCATCAATGGATGTCGCAGATGTGTCGGCTCTTTTCCGTAACCAGTGGTTGGGGGCTTCCGACTTCCAAACGCCAGAGCCAAGCTTGGTTATCATCCTCTGTTTCGGCATGTACAAAGCTGTCCCAAATGTCATACCAGGTAGACGATATCCGATCACCGATCGGTGGATTTAGGAGTATTCCCCTGTGCCTCCGATTGGTTTTTCGTTTGCGCATCCTCAAAGTGTCGGTTCCCGCTGCGACATCAGCATCCGAAACAATCGGAATTCATAAAGAATTGTTCCGGCCGGCGTAACATGCGGAAAACCATGACTGCAGCTCAATTCGATCTTACGTCCTCCTGATGAGGATGGAACTCTGAATAGGTATTAGCTCAATTCTGGTAAATCACCAGTTGGGACCACAGCACCTTCGAGAGGCAGTGGTCCTCTTCTTCGCCAACATCTTGCACAGCCGCTTTTCTCATGCCACATGTGAAAGTTCTTGTGGTGTGGGCCGAGCTGTCAAAAGCACTTTGGAAGCTTCAGAGCGACTGCTGTGTGTCGTTTGATAGGAACAGTGCCTCGAAGCCGTGCCGAGGCTCGAAGCAGATCCAGGCACAGATCATGAAGGGGGCGGATGTGGTGCAGCTGCTGCTTTCGGCGAGGGATATGCCGCCCGGCTTAGCGAAATCTAAAGGGTGATTAACAGTTTTGTTGCCTTCAACAATCTGAAGAGCTCCGGCCAACATGACATCTGGTCTCCTTCCCCGATTCCGTTCTTCAGGCTTTTCTCGCCGCACACGGTGTCGCGCTGTCTGTCTGCACTGCTGTGTATCTCACGGGTGCCCGACTTCAAGAGGACAGGGCGGAGTGGGGAATTTGGGCTTCGGAATGAAGGTTCAGGGTCAGTTTGGATGTGCTAGGCTCAGGGTCCAACATGGGGCTGTCGCGAGAACGTCTGAGCATTGGCTTAAGATATGGCTGTCGGTCATCGCTTTCGGAATTTCTTTGCCCCTATGCCGGCCCCAGTACTTAAATTCGCTCGTCAATCTGGTCTTGAAGGTCCCCAAACCTGCAGGGGAGTGGCATCTCAGTGACACTCTACCGACCTGATGCTTCTGCAGACTTGGTCCTGCAAAGCTTCATAGGCTTCATAGCGCACTTCACCAGCAAGCGCAAGTCACGAAAGCCAGCCCCTTGGAGCTTGCGGGAGTTGGTTCTGTCTTTCTCGGCCAACTAACTAAGCAAGGAAGGCCCTTATGGTTCGACATATCGAGGACTTTGAGGTTCGCGGGGGGCGGTTTGGGTGGCCCCCCCCTCCCCCCCACCTTTTGCGTGATTCTTTCACACACTTCGCCTTGAGACCCTGGACACCGTGGTCGTCGCCATATCTACAACGAATGAAGAAGACCACTGTTCTTGCGCGGCTCTAGCCCCCATGCTGCGAAAACAGTGCTTCCATGTTGCAAAACACTTGAATACATACAGTGCATAATGGCTTAGTGACAGCCTGCGCCCCTTGTCTCGCGGCACAATAAAGAAAAGCTTATCATGCATTGGAAGCCAGAGCTGGAAGACGGCAAAGCAATCTGACAAGCAGGGTCGTCCTCAGCCACCTGGACTTGCTGATGGCAGACATCAATGCAAATCTCAATGCCGAGGAAGCTTGCACAGTTGGGGATCGAAGGTTTGAGAACATCGTGCTTTTGTATGTACTTTTTTCAGTGGCAGAATTCCATGCAGCATATTGGATAGCAGATGCCATCTTCGTTCCTCGGAACCTCAGTATGCATGTCACCGTCTGCTCCTCATCCTCGTCTTTCACCGTGCGCATCCGGCTGCACATCCTCCAGGCCCCGGCCGGTTGCTTCAGCAATGCGACAGGAGCGTGACGAGCACTTCTACCAGATCGCCGCCTTGCAATGCGCACTGCTGTCGGAGCTAGCACGGGCCTCCTACGAGTATCACGAGCACCCAGACTTAAGTTAAGGGATTCACAGGGCTTCAGACATCTTAGGAAAGCTTTTTACGCGATGTAACTCGCTTCGGCTTCTGTTTCCAGGCGCATGGCACGAGCTGGCATGGTGGAAGCGCTCTTGGCATCTCGGCCAGAAGCCAGGCGTGGGTTCATTAGGTCGAGCATTAGTCTCAGATGCAGGTAGCTGCTGGCCTAGTGGTCCTATCGCCCAATCGGATAAGCAGCACATGGGATGGAATTTTTGCATAGCGGCATAGCGTCTGTCGCGGCTTGCAAGAGGTGGGGAGGGAGTGTCCAAGAGAACGGAGACCCTGCAACCGCTCAAGATTCACCTGAGCGGAGTTCGATGTGGGTGTTGTGGGCAGAAGCTGCTTTTCCCAGGTGTTCATCACGATTGCTGGGAAAGGCCTCCACGGCGAAGTCTGCATTGAACTGTTGATGGGCTCTGTCTTCGGCATCGCAGCACTGGCACCTCGGCTGACTTCGGTACCTTCGAACTGAGGCTTTTTTTCTTCGTACCCTGAACCCTGAACCCTAAGCGAGTGTACACTGCGTAGGTGAGGTTGGCGTAAAGGAGCTTAGCTTCAGGTCGGCTCGCCCACGAGCGGTGAGCATTCCATGGCAAGTTTGTGCCTCGCTTGCAACATCTTGACTTGTGCAGGAGGATTCCGGAGGAGATGTGTATTCATGTATGTATGTATGTATGTATGTATGTATGTAGAAGCACATATCTATTATATATATATATATATTCGTACACACTTTGTGTATGTACATATTAGCATAATATTAACATACACACGTACAGACACACACACACACACTTATATGTGTATATATGTATATATGTATAAACATATATGATATCATTCTATGTTATATTGCATTATAATGCCTTCTATGATATTATCTTTTTCTGTATTATCCTTTCTTTTTCTGTCTTCTGCTGTATTTTGCTCATGTATTTTTCTTATCTCGTATTATGTTATACTAAATGCTGCAATGGTATATTATACTTGTTATAGTCTCTTATAGGATACCATACCGTACCACACTATACCATACCATCCCATACTATACCATACTATACCATATTCTAGTCTGTTATGTTGCATTGTATTGCAATACATGGATGGATGGATGGATGGCTGGATGGATGGATGGATGGGTAAATAGATAGACGGTTGGACAGCTAGGGAGGTATATAGGCAGATAGGTAGGTCGATGGATGCGTAGTTAGATCGATACATAGAAGGACAGACGTGGATGCAGCGGAGCTGCAGCAAACTCGTTACGAAATCTCGCCGAGCTTTCAGGATCTTCCCGGCCACGCGCATGCAGCTCCTCCTGTCGCTGCTGCGACTGCCGCAGGCCCCCCGTTTGCAAACAAAGTGCCCCACGGCCTACACCACGAAACGGCCCTATGAAGCCAGGAGGATATCAACGAGGCCTTCCACTCGGGGACTGTCGGACTGCGCACGTTGCAGCGTGTCATCTACCCCAACATCACGCCGGAGGAGCTTCGGGTGTGAGTTCGTCTGTTCGCAGGAAGCTGTCAAAGCCAGCACTTTGTGGCTCCACCTTGCATTGGGAAACAGCCCTTCCTTCATGCCCACACGGGGCAACTTCAGATGCGCAAAGCTTCAGTTTGGGACTGTGGATACGGACCCAGTGCCACCCTGCAGGAGCTGCACGTGGATCAGATGGACCCGCTTAGCTTTATTGGGAGCCTTGGGAGAAAGTGAGTATTCTGCACTGAGAGCCTTTGCTGTGGCAGATATTTCTGTCTTTCTTTTGTTCGGAAGAGGTTGCTAGAGTCTAGAGAGTTTTGGAGATGTCAACATCTTCCAGCTGTGCTTGTTTCACGCTTGTGTCCACCAGGAACTGTCCCATCAAGCCCGCGAACTTCATCTATCGGATACTTGTCTGGGAACCAAGCAAATGTCGCTGGCTGCTGAATGAAAGGGCTCTTCCCCAACATGGCCTACTGGGCCTACTTCGGGTGAAAGTTGGTAGAAATTCGGAAGATGAGCTGCTTCTGTGAGATCAGTACGAGCAGGGCAGGCCCCACTTCATCGTCCTCCGCCTTCTGACTTCTGGGTTCGAGCGAATCTCCAGCCGCCTTGCGAAGCCTAGACTCCCAGACCCCTCGGAGTCGCAAGGAATGTGATCCGCACGATGTGTCTACTACTTGCTCACCATGAGATGGGCCCTAGGCGGACTGGCTTTGCAAGACATCCCACATGACTTAGGGGTTTGGGGTGGTGTTTGGGGTTCATTGAGGTTCCGACGGATGGGGCCGAGACCTGACAAGCAGCAGCACTCTGGTAGAAACTGCATTCTTGGAGCCAGACTCGGTTTGCAAGCCCAGTGCCAGCCCTACTTGTGCACCAGAACAACCAGCCTCTATGTGTCAGGGTGCAGCAAGCCATCACCCCGAGCAACGTGGTTCCGACGCGGCTTGGCGCGGTATGGCAGTAGAGGCTGTTGTTTTCCAGGGCCTGCTGCCAGGCAGCGGCAGCAGAAGTTTCAATTGCCTTGTGTTCAGCAGAGGTGCCTCTTCGCCTTGTCTGGATGCGAGGACACCTACGTGCAGGTATCTCGGAAATTTAGCCACTTGTAGTGGCAAGACTGTGCAAGCTCACGATGCGTCTTCATATCTTCATGGTTTTCTTGATCGTTAGTAGCGAAGACTGTGCCCTGGATCCCAGGGATCCCAGATGTCAGGTGTATGGTTTCCTGCTGGTCGCGAACTTCTCCCGGGACAGGAGCTGCTCCGACCTTCGGGAGCTTGGGTAGCGGCACGTTTCCGAAGCAGACATGAGGAGCCTGCTCTACAACTTCCTCAACGAGTCTGGCGTGATCAACGCCTCTCGGAGTTCTGAGAAGTCCACCTCGGCTTCAGGGAAGCTGGGCTCCGTAGCTCCCAAAACGTTCTCTCCCCGCGGGGACAGAGCCGAGGAGCTGCTCACGACGATCAGGCGAGCCGGGCCCAGCGCGAGCCAGCCCGAGGCGCGGGTTTCACTCCTTGAGGCTTTCGTATCATGTCAGTTTTCGCCTTCTGATAAAGGTGCTCGGCTTTCGGGGCAAGTTTTCGAGTCGACTGGCAGCACCATGCAGACGGTTGATTGAAATCCCGCCAACGCTTTACGACCAGATCTCTCCCCTAATGTGTCCGGAGGATCTCCTGAACATGGAAGCCCAAGCCAGAACCACAGATCCCTGCAGGAGCAGGTTCCAGTCAAGGACAAGTCGCTGGCTTTCGTTTAGGGGCGGGGCTTCGAGGAGCCTTGGGCATGTCCAGTTTGAAATGTAGTCCAGGTCATAAAGCAAAGCTCGAAGGTCGCGCTTGCACATTCCCTATGATGTCATTTTTTCCATCCCAGTGTTCAGCAGCCCGAGGCTCGCAACCGTGACCGGACCATGGAGCAGCGTCGCCGTCTCGCGGAACCGTTTCGTGGCTTTCAGCCTGTCACACCTGTGAAACCCGAAGTGAACTGTGTACAAACTGCACCAGCCTTGGCGTAACTGGGACATCCGTGCGCGATTTTGGTCAGATCTCGGGCTGTGTGAGAGTCACGGCTGTGTTGCACCGTACAGGATTTTCGGGCAGAAGAGGCTCGGGCAGCGGATCATGTTCTGAAGCTGGTTGGGCGTGATTGAAGTTCATGACGGGCTATGATCATCTCGAAACTCTGAAACTCTCCAGTCCGAAACCTTGAGCTGGTTAGCTTCTTTTTTGTGTTGCTCTCCAATCTGTTAGGCTTCCGGGGCAAGGAGCCTCTCACATGATTCGCTTGCACTGCAACGAGTTTGAAACCCATGGGACCAAAGATGTCGTCACACACAAGTACTGCACCTCCATCCTGTAGGTGTGCCTGGGAGAGCTAGCTGGATGTTGAAGTTGCTTGTGCTCTTGTCCGGCGAACATCGTATGAACGCATGACAAGCATGATATGCTTGTGTTCATGGCCATGCCAGAACATGCTTCTCCGAGGCTTCATGCTGGCCATGTCGGCTCTGACAAACTTTGCAGAGCCTCTTGCATTCAGCTTGATTCTTGATCTCACTGGGACCTTGGGTGCAGAAGCCTCTATCTCGCGAGGAATTTCATCTCTCCCAAAGCTAGTTGCAAAGATTCGAAACGAAGCCCAGACAGGAAGAGTCGCACTAGTCACTCGTGAGCCACCAGCTAGCTTATCCTGAAAAGTGCATGGCCACGTTTGAATCTGAAGACGGGCTTTCGAGAACCATGACAGCCCAGGCGCGTCAAGGAGAAGTACCGTGGCGACGATGGGGAGATCCCTGTGAATCCAGACATGAAGGCCCGGGCTTAAACGGCGGCTTCGGCTTCAGTCGCCCGGGGCGCAGGCCCAGGGTCCTCAGTCTCCTTTCCGGGCAGGATGACGGTGGCCTCGTGATCTCCAACCGAATTACACTGAACAAGCTGACGTCCAATTGCTTGCGAGCGCCTGGCCTCGCTTTCACTGCATGTGCGCTTCAAGGGGGTCATGGCGCCATCAGGTAGCTAGGATCTTTCGTTTGTCCATGGATTTCTGGGGTTCTTGCTCGGCTTGAAAGATGCGGGAGCGCCGTCGAAGTGTGGAGCTAGAGTTTGAGATTGAAAAACGGGGCATCTCCCGCCGCAAGCGCTTTACCGCCTTACCTGCTTTGTTTTCGGCCTCCTCCCGTCAAGGACCTGGACACCTCGGGCATGGAGAGAAGGCTTGCCGAGATGACGCCGACAGAGGACAGCAATCCCATTTCAATCTCAGAAGAGCTCGGGACAACGACTAAACCGGCTTTCAAGCGAAGTCCGAGCATGCACTAGCAGTGTTCGAGTTTGGATTTGAGGAGAGAGGGTTTGAGAGTTGCGAGGGTTACAGGTCTTGTCTTAGGCGTCCCGGAAGCTTGCCAGGAGTTCATCTCCATGCTTCGCGCAGTTCAGCTGAACTTGGCATAGGGCAGCAAAGGCAGGAAGAACTGTTTGCGTCTCGCAGTCGCCGAGCCGCCGAGGTCCTGATCGCGGCGAACAACTTCACTGCCAAAGTGGAGCTCGAGGATCCCGGGCGCGGTGGCGAGGTGAGAAACGTGGTGCTGGGGGATGCTGGGGGTGTGGGCGCAGCTGGCCGTTCGCAGAGTCGCTGCTGGGTCCAATCAGGCTAAGTCAGGTCCATGAACAACCACTTCCAAACCTGTCAGGGTAGAGCGCTTCGACCTGTCACGCCGCTGCTGCTGTTAGATTATGACGAGGCATACTGTGACTCACACCCTGATGGTTGCAGGTTAAGCTGGAAGCGATGGACGTCTGAGCCCAAGCTCCTCCAGCGATTCTGCCACTCCCTCTCGAAAGTCCACAAAAGTCTTGCTGCGACGATCCAACGCAGGCCCCACGTTTTTCACATGTGCCTGTTGAAGCACCCGTTCCCAGACCTCGTACGTGAACCTCCTCGGCGACGACAGGAAAGCCAAAGATGCCTTGGTGCCTTGGAGTGCAAGAGAACTGACATGTTGGAAGAAACCTCAGCTCGTGGCTTATGGCTTGTGTGTGCGTCTCGCCCAAGGTCCTACAGCCATTGCGCCACGACTTCCGGCTCCGGCCCTACTCTGTGACATTTGAAGCATGCTGTGCTTTCTCTGTACTGTCTTGGACATCTAAGCAACGAAAGTGCTCAAAGCATGCGGATGCCTGTGCTCAGCATGCGCCGTGCACGCCCAGGTCTTGTCGCACGTCATGGCGCATGCAACATGTTATACTCGTGTGCAACAGATGTTTGCCAACACTGCAATGAAGCCAGATTACATGCAACACACTCACGTTTACCACCGAGCGTGAAAGTGGTCCTGGCAGTGTGGAGTTTTTGTCGGAGGGGCCTGTGTGGCAGAACAGTGTTGCGCATTTTATGTGAACAACCCGCCGCTCCTCTTGCAAGTACCGGATCCTCCCTCACGAGCAGTTCTGTAAAGTTGACGTGGACGGGAGAAGAGCTGTGTTTCCCAGCATTGGCCAAGGAGCTTGGGTATCCTCCACAGCAAGACGACGGGAATGCTTGAGGCAGAGTCCTTTTTGGGCTTCCTGCTGTGACATTGCACCTGAGCCGTCGCGCCCGGAGGTGATCAAGCAGTGCATGGCCGCCGGGCAGGTGCGAGTTGCTTGGGGCAGAAGTTTTTCTGCCTCTGTGCCCCTCTACAATCAATGCGTGCCATTCCGCTGTCTCTGCGTCCGTCTCTCTTTCGATCATCGCGATGTACCGTGATCGTCTTCGAATGGTTGAAGCTCTGTGAACACGATTCCTCCTCCGAGCCGCCCCTTTCTGCTACGGAGTTGGAGCCGTGATGTGGATGCTTCTCGTTTGAGGCTTCGGGTTCTTAGGGGGTCGCGACCGTTGTGCTACTTGAGCCGCGAGCAGGCCCCTTCCCTGATGTCGGTGATCGTGGAGTGTCTGACTGGCAGTCGGCCCAGAGGTCAGCGGTGTTCGTTCTTTCGAGACAGGCCGAAGTTTAAAGAGTTGCAGGGAGCGAGGCCTGTTTAGAACCATCCAAGAGTGAGAGCGCAAGCGCTGATCGTTCACCCTTCATGAGAAGCGTCCACGAGAGTCGGAACCGCCCCAACGGCTGAGGCCTCACCTTTCTCAGCCCGCTGAGCGTAAGCGCCTTAATGCTCGTTGCTTGGGAGCCGCCAGGACATGTCCGAGGCTGTTTGAGGTACTCCACCCGAGCTGAGACTGGCATTGGTGTAAGTTCCGCTTTCTGCCTTCACTCACCACGTATTGTGTCCCAGATCCGGGCGCCGCTGACCGCGTACAGGATCTCCCAGGGCTGTCTGCTCCTGAGCATCGGGAAGGCTTCTGAATTTCGATATCATGATATCCTGCATACCGGTGCAACACAAGCTTCGTCTACATGTACGGTGAGGGGATCCATCGGTTTGGCTATCTTCAGCTGGTGTTTCTAAATGCTGAGCCGCGCTTGTTGCCAGTTTGAAGGTTCAAGGGCCGTGTCACGGAGCCTGCCGGCACCGTGCTTCATCTTTCGTGTCTTGTTTCCCCGAAGATCGCCAGCTGCTCAACTCAGCCACCGATGGCATGAACAAACTTGCATTGTTCAGAGTGTGCTCGGCGAACGTGTTAATGATGGACTGGGGTGACTGGGGCTTCCGGGAGCCCCGACGCATGGATCCACCTCGCAGCTTCACGCAATGTCAGGCAGCCGTCTCGTTATGCAAGTGCCAGCTTGAGGTCCCGAGTGGCTGCAGCCAAGTCTCATGGCGCTTCCTGGCGGCAATTGACACGACATTCTGCTTTTCCTTCTGAAGTGGGGGATGGAAAGGCTCCACCAGCACGCCCAATGACTTGATCCATAGGACCTCTGGTCTGGGAGTGGGAGAGCCGGAGAAGGAGACCTAATTTGAGCTGGCTGACCTTTTGGCATGCGTGAGAAATCACAACAGGAGGTGCTTGTCTGGCTTCTCCAGCACTTACGACCAACATTGTACTTGGTGGAGTCAGGCTCATCGCCAACTCCCTGGCGGATCCTGCCCGAATCAAGCAATTCGACGAGGCGAGACCACGATGGTTTTGGTTGCAGAGCAAGCAGTAAGTAGCAAGTGCCCGTCCATTTTGGGAGAGGGAACATCCAAGTCCATTGCTACATGAGTTGTTCACGCCATTCGAGGAAGAGCCTGAGTGTATGATCCGCGCGAGATCGGCCTCCACCCCAGCGGAAGGGCTGGCAAAGCTGGATCTCCTGCCCTTTTTCAAAAGGAAGAGAGCTGAGGACTACCTCTTTCCCATGCTTGCCACCTCCACGCTGGAGATTCGGCAGAAGGTCTTGGGAGCCAGCGGCCAAGCATGGCCAAGCCGTCAGCGTTGCTCGGGGCAGGATGGTCCGTGGTCGTCGCGGGTTTCTTGCTTTTCTTTTGAGGGCACGCTCATGTCCCAAGACATCCTGCAGAGATTCGCACCGAGGTCTTGGCGAATGCCGCAGCGCAAGACGATCTGCTTGATCCTAGGCTTGCAGAGGTTGAAGCGTTGGCTACATGCCTTCAGGCACTCTTCTTCGGTGTGATGCCACTTCAGGGGGGTCTTCGCGGATGATGTGAGCTTCTTTAGGAGTTGGCCTTTTCAGCTTCAAGCCTCGTCGTGGGCGTCTTGAGCCTCCACGGCCTGAAGATGCCTGAAGAAGTGCAGAAATCCGTTACCGCCCCTGCTCCTACCTCATTACCTCCCGATGAGGAATTCATCGTGAACTCCGGGGTCTTCCGAACTTGCAAGCCGAACCCTCAGTGGCCTTCAGAGTTTCCATTCGGCTCCGGGGCCCAAAACAGGCAAAACAGGGCACCCTTCTGCTGCGCCCAGGGCGATCCCGGGCAAGGGCTGGTTCGTGGAGCACTTCGCTTTGATGATCGAGCTGACGCGCATGCTCACGAACCTGACGGGGCCTCAGACCTGCAGATCTTTTTTGGTTTGGGGTGGCCCCCTTGACTCCACAGATCCGATGATTCCAAGGACCTGTCGCCCGAACACGCACGAGGCTGTTATGACGCCGGATACGATGGCTGGTGGCTTACAGTGTTGTGCTGTTGATAGCCAGCAGATCGCGGAAGCTAGGCCAGGCTATGCAAGAGCCCCACTTCTGAGGGGTGCCACGAGGCGAGGAGGCGAGGTACTGGTAGCCCGCAGACTAGTGCTTGCAACCCTCAAGCCGAAGACAACCCCCGAAAGCAAGAACACAGGCAAGGATCTGTAAGCTGAGGCTTTCCTCCGCGACGTGCTTCGTCACTGTGCTGTGCTCTTCCACACAGCCGCTCGGCTGAACACTTCTATGACCTTAGAGTCTTAGAGCGGCATGGGTGAGCACTCTTCGAGTCTCGTCCAGCTTGGGTTCAATGCAGATGCATCCTTCTAGCGGCTCTAGCGGTTTGACCTGCGGAGGGCTCCCTTCCGATTCCAATCAAAGGCTCAGGGTTCGTCTTTCCTGGCTCTCGTGTGCCTCTAGGTACAGCTGGACAAGGAGAACAAGGAGCCGTGTTTTGCAAATACTGACAGTCGAGGCTATGACTTCTTCGCCGTCGCCAGTCAGCCAGCTATCAAAAACCAGCAGTGTCAGTTAGAGTGACCTGTCCAGGATGAAGACAAGTACGACTACTATGAGGCTGTCTTTCCATGCATGTCTCAAGGTCTGATGTATTCTTTGTGGTTTCTGTGATCCCCACTCCATGATCCCTTGCATCAGATGGCAGCGTGGACTCGACTCCACGCGCCGTGAGCCAGCATGGATTGAACTGTGACCGCAACCGGTCAATGTGCCAGGAGACCTAGGCGACCGACATACAACGGTCTCGTTCCTGCGACAGATCAACATATGTCACACAGGTCTCCGAAGTTACTTCCCAGTCCGTTGCAAAGAGCCTTCGCAATGTGTTTTAGTCCTGATGCTCCAAGCGTGAGAAGCCACACCATGCTGAGCAGGTGTTCTTCGATCACGAAGATGCACCACCGCTTGGCTTGAGGCCCTGCTGTTGATAGTGCCGCGCAATGGCAAAGTCCAATGATGAACAAGACCCAAGCATCGCCAAGCAGTGACTCAAACAGTTACACTACTCGAAATGCATCACTCATGCAAAATAGTCATGTGTGCCAGGATCCGTTGGGAGCTTCCGCCGCAGCTGACGGAGGTGGGCCAGCTTGGCGAGTTCACGACTTGCAGCAACAGCTCTGAGCACAGAGATGGCTTGTGGAAGATGAGCTCTAGTGGAAAGGAAAGGAAGCATTCTGAGGTTATCCAGCCCGTGTCAGAGGTCCTCAGTACGTGCTCCTCTTGAAAGACACGGCTGGCACTTGTAGGTCCTGCCCAACACCCCGGCAGCACGCGCCGGTGAAGAGCTCCGCCCCGGAGACCAACTCGTCGAGGCCGAAGAGAGCGGAAACCGCAGAAAGATGTCGTTTTAGGAGGGTGCAGAAACGTGTGCACTTCTGCAGAGCAAGTGGGCCAAGCGGCAGACTGCACAGGAAGAGTCGAAGCTTCACGTGCTTGTTACATTCGGGATTGGAAAGAGCATATTGGTGATAACCCCGTGCCCAGTGATCAGCATAAACCGGGAAGAGATCCTGCTCGCGCTTTCAGGTGAATGGAAAAGATGTGACAGAACTGGAACAAGGCCAGAAGTCTTCTCATGTTTGAGCCTGTTTCCCGGCATCCCGGCACGACCTAAAGCATGCAATCTACCAATTCGTTGGTGGCACCCATTGTCCTGTCATCAGGCGACATCGCCCCGATGTTTGAAGCGCGGCCGCTGAAGCTGCTCTTCCGCCGAAAGCCGGAGCCTGTCGAGGTGACGGCTCTTGAAAGCGCACAGAAGGGATTCTGGGGCGGCCTTAGCGCAGATGCTGTTGGACTTCACATTCCGGTGCTGGTGCAGCGATTAGACAAACATCTCGCGTGAAGCACCGTGAAGGTCGTGATTGACGAGACCAACATGAAGATCGTGGGGAACATTCGTGTGGAGCAAGTTTCCAAGGTTGGCCGTCGAAACCACAGCACGTTTCGAGTCACAGCTCTCAGGGTGGAGCTGTCCTATGCCAGAGTTCTACGTGAGTGTGGTTGCTGTGCAACCGCAACTACAAACAAGCATTGATCCAGAAAGCCTCGCTGTGTCACTTCCGGGCATAACTTCTTCTTTCCCACCGTGTGACTCAGAGCACAGGTTTCGGCTTATGGCGACTCTGCTCAATACCTGGAACCTTGGACAACATCATTTTGGACCTCACAGTCGCAGTCAGCGTCAGCGCTTTTGTCCCTCGCTGCTTGCGAGGAGTGCTTCAACCTGGCGGTTCTGGTCGTGCACAACCTGGCCGTGCAGGCCACCTGGACCTCAAGGGGGGCCGGGGGCATCGAGCAACTCAACACTTCGCAACTGAGGCGAGCAACTTGGAGCTGCTCCACAGCGAGCCACGCATTCTCATGACCCTCTTGGAGGTCGGGAAGGGGAGCCGCTTTCAGGTCGCTGGTGGGCTTGTGGTCAGGTCTTCAGGGCGGGTTTTACGAGTATGATTCGACCTCAGCGTTCTCGAACCGGAGCTCAGATTTGAACCTTGCGAGCGCAGGGCAGAGCCCTTGAGCGACAACTCCCACAGAACCTGCAACTTGTCAGAGCAAAGCACCGCTTGAAAGGTCATGCCGGCAGATGCCACATCACCATCACTTCGTCGACTGATCTTCTCGACGCTGACCTGCCTCTGCCAGGAGAGAGCAGTGTCAGGTGCCGGGGGGAGAGCGCAAAGTCTGCAGCCATAACTCCTCTAGACACTATAGGCCTATAGGGTCCACCACCCTCAGTCATCCTCAAGGATCTCTCATCCAGAGAATCGGCTGGTCAGGTCGGATTTTCCATGCCATGGCAGAATACTTCCAGAACTGCCAGAAGACGGACGCATCGCTCCATAAGTACATCATGTGTTCCTTGGTCTTCGGGGTTTAGAGCTGCTCAGGGTTTACAGGATATTCCGATTGTCACCGCGCCAGCGGTCGAAGCTTTGCTGATATTTGTCGCGGTATCGGGCGATTCCTGCTGGTGACAATGAGGGAGTCCGGGTGCACAGTTGGGAAAATGGGTGTCCCATGATGCGGATGATGTTGGGTCTTTGGTGGCATTGAGAGAGCTACAGGACCTATGCAAGCGGCATTAAGTCACAGGATGGTAATGTCGAGCGAATGAGTGTGTGAGTAAGAACCAGGTCCGGCTGGCTACCAGAAGTCAGAGCTGCCAGAGCTTGCCAGCCAAGGCTGTGCCAATTTGTATTACACGAGCATGAGTCGAGAGGAGGTCCGGCACTCAAATCAGTGCTGCCTACTTCATGGGGTCTAAGAGTCCAGAACTGGGTGGTCGCAGCCTCAGCGGGCTTCCCCGTCCACAGGTCAAACCAGATCGTGGGATGCTCATGTTCGTCAGCCGCATCTCCGCGGAGGAGGACCATCGTTGCAAGACTGACTTCAGACTAGTGCTGGCATCTCAACCGCTCCCCCGCAAGTTCATTGATACACAGGGTGGCTGAACCCCTATCCAACATCGTAAAGGAGCTTCGACAAGTCTTCAGCATAGGATGATGGAGCACCTGCATCTCCCCCTCCTCCAGTTCTCGGCGTGTGAGGACGCCATGGTCTCGAAGCGGGCACTTATTGAGATCCTGCATGGCATGTCTCAAGCTCCTAGTGAGCACAGGCACGTCGGGACGGCTGTATCATCATGGACAGGATCGTATATCTGGCAGCTAGCGGCTAGCGCAGGCTTCTATATCCCTCTCGTATGTTGTACTCTCAGATTTGTAAATGATCTTGCGCTGGTTTTTCAAGCAGCCTGGGCGGGGTGGTACAGGGCATGGCCATAGCACTGCAGCATTCCGAAGGTTGCACGCAAGCTGCAAGGCATGACGAAAAACCCTTTTGGTGCTTGAGGTTGCAGGGTGCAGGTCGGGCACAGACGGCAGAGTGGTGGGCATCACTGCTTGTTGAGTTGGTACCTCAACGGAGTGTTGGGCCCAGCCCACACAGAACTGCTCTTTCTGGCTCGTGAATGCCCTGAACAGGAGGAAGTTCCTGAGTCGCGAGATCCTTGTGCTTGCGACCAGCTACATGGAGGCTGCCTGCTACCTTGCCAGTCAGTCATGAGTGTTGTCAGAATTGGGGTAGAGTCCAACGTCTTCCCGGGCTGAAGTCTTCTGTTATCGAGCTGTCTTGGATTGGTAGTTGTCCTTGTGCGGGGCTGCTGCCGAGGCCTACAACCCGGACATCCAGATCCGGGCTTTTGAGTCCATGTACTTCTGCACGATGGGTGCCTGTGCTCCGGAGCTCTGGTCTGACCTGGAGATCCTTGGCCAGAAAGCCCAAGCCTTCCCTTTAAGAAGCTGCCAGGGCCTTTGCCCCGACCCTCCTCTGCCCAGGATCCTTCCCCGCATGGTGCGAGCAGCGGGCTATGCGTGCCCCGGCATTCTTGAGGTTGGGGCTTCCGAGAGCGAACAAACTGCACCCTGCGAAGCACGACGTAGTAAGCAGCATGCGTTCGAGTTCGAGTTGTGGCGCATTGCTCCCAGGCAGAGCATGGCCGAGGAGAGTCCTTCGGAGCCTCTCCTCCGTCGGCATGCGGACGTCCTCGGGCTTGGAAAGGGTTCAGCGCATGGTGACAGTGGTTGGTGGCTTCTGTTGAGAAGGCGTAGGCAGCCCTGCACAAGTGCATGGTTGAAGTGCTTCTTTGCAAGGTGGAAAGCGACACCGAGTAAAGACACGAGACTATTCTTCCAGTCAGTACATGTCTCTCCCAAGCTCCAAGCCAAGGCGCTGTGGGAGATCTCCTTGCGGACCCTACACCACTGTCTCAGGCGCGAGCAGAGCACTCCATGTTTCGGCATCAGGGCTGACCCTAGTCCTCCGGGCTACATCCACGTTCTTGGAAGGGCCGAGAGCTTCTGCACGAAGAGCCAGTAGAGCCAACCCTTACCTGCGGGCCCTTGCCTGGCCAGTTATGAGCTGCTGGTCCAACAGATGCGGATTCTCGCTCAGCAAGTCGATGAGCTTTGTTTTCGTGGCACAGAGTGCCAGCCGGCAGCCCTGAAAGCCAGGAACCGTGTCCACTACCTCCCAACATATCCAAATTCTAAGTTCTAGAGCAGCCATTGTATCAACGGGGCCCGAGCGGGCCATTGGCTAGATTGATGTTCCCGAAGCACTCCTGAACTTTGGTATGCTCTCTGAAGTCTCCCAACATGTTCGCACCAACATGCGAAAGGTTGCTGATGCTTGTCAGGGCCAGTCGTGGGTGTAAGTTCGATGAAAGCCGAGGATCCCGGATCTCGACCGGTACTTGATGGAGCTGCTGGTAGATGGGCGGAAGCCTCCGGAGCTGTCTAAGGCCTTCGGAAATTCTTGGCGTCTTCTCGCCAAAAAGGACCCAAATCTGTGACGACGACTAACTACTTGATGCCAGAAACGAGAACAGAATCGAGCAACCCGCATCAAGGCAGGCCACCGAAATCCTGCCACAAAGCTAAGCAAGAAGGAGTGGCAAAGCGCAGCATGAACAGCATTGCGATTCTCGTACAGGTTCATTGTCCTTGCTGCTGTTTGTAGCTGCTGCTGTCGCTGCTGGTGCTGTTTCCGTCGTCGTCGTCGTGGTGGTGGTGGTAGTGGTGGTGGTTGATGCTGTTTTGGTTGCTTTTCGGCTGAGTTTATATAGGTTTTTTTGCTTCCGTAGCTGCTTCGCGTTGTTGCAGGTCGTTTCACCTGCGTTTGTCACTGTTTGTCCTCAAAGCTGCCGTGTTAGAGTGGGCTGTTTCCCATGTACAGTATGTCGTTGCAGTAAGTTGATGCCCTGCCCTAGGTCTCCTTGTTGATCGTATCTTGATTCAGGTCGTGCACGTCTCGGATGTTCTTAGGCTTCCCGGGGATGGCACGGCGATGAAGCTGTCGACCCGCATGCCGCTACACTACATTCACTGCACTCATTACACGCTAGACGGAAGACTAACGGGAAATGTGGACTCAATAGCGAACGAAATGCATTCACAGCAGTTCATCCCTTGCGCAGGAAGCACGCCTAGCAGGTGTAGCACCGATCAGCAGCTTTTGCATTTGAGCCACTTTAACGTCGGTTATGGTCAATGCACGATGGAATTCGTCCTACCTCAACGGAAGCCAGGTTCTGGCTTGCTAACTCTGTGCCTAGCGACATCAATCATAATCCAAAGCAGGTGGCCGCTGACCTCATTGCGGGGCTTCTGCAGCCTCTCAACTGGGTCTAACTTCCAGCAAGGATGAAGCAGTCGGGCTTTTGTGTCACGCACGCTGACATGCGAAGCTGGTGATACAGTTCTGGAGACATGATTGCTGCCAGTCACCTCTCAGGGTCTTTGATTCTACTGCATGACAAAGGTTCCGGGGCACAGTCTGCTTGTCAGCCTACAAACTGCACGTCGTCATGCAGCACCGCAACTCTAAGTCCATTTTGCAGCAACATGTCTTATCTTGCACGAACCCAGCTGCCAACAAAACCATGTTCACTGACAAGCTGGTTCTCTGTGTAAGAAGCGGCGATGCGCTTGCGTCGAGCCTCGAAGCCTTCAGCTTCCCTTGATCAGCCGTGGATCGACCCATTGGCCCGAAATCCCCGTTCCTATGCACAGTTCGGGATGCATAGGGTGACGCGTGGAATCAGAGGTCGTCGATTTCCTCGAACCTGTGGACCCGATGGCGCGGCCTCGGCGTGGGCGAGCGCCTGGTGGGATGGTTCAAGGCCGGGGCTGTGAACGGGAGCCTTCGCGCTTCGAGTCGCTGCCTTGTCCTTGCCTTTGCTTCTGAAGCTGGACACTCCTAACGGGAAATTCATCGAAGCCCCGGCCAGGTGCACCGGAAGAAGCTTCTGGATCCCGATCTTGGTGCTCAGGGCGGTACACAGCCCTCAGACTCGCTCGACGCCATGCCACTTTGACTGCTTTTTCAATTTTGGGATGGTGCGGGGCCATGGGTTAAGCTCGGAGACGCCCAACCCAAATCAACAATTCTCGCTTTGGGGTTGAACGAAGCTGTCCTTCCCTGTGCTTGCCAAGCCAACAAGCCGAGGCTGCACATGGTGCTCTTCGCCGTGGAGGCCAGCCCAGTAGCTTGGGGTAAGCCCAAGACCTGGACCATCTAGACCTAGACTCGGAAGAGAGGGGCCGCAGCTCGACCCCTGTGCGACATTCGGCAACGATTCTGAGATCGACTTCTGTTACCAGGTTTCATCGCCAACGGTTGGCCTGCATCCCCAAGCCTTGTTGCGAGGTGGATTCCTCCATGATCGTCGCGCTCGTTGCAGACGACGTCCTCAGCTGTATCGCACACCGTCTGGAGGAACTGACTCTGAAGCAGAGCAACCATTAAGGCTAGTTAGGCATGAGACGCCACAGATGACATGATCGAATGGATACGTGCTAGCCGAACGCACTGTTCAAGGCATTCCGCCCAACCTGAGAATATCTACGGTAAAGTAGCTGAGGAGCTGTTGTGAAGCGTTCTGCTCCAGAGATCCAAAGATCGAAGTCGCTAGCCAGGAGCTTGCCGCACATTACAGCCACTGGAATGACCTCGCTGGAGGTCACAAGCTCTCCGAGGACCACAGGTTTCTGCACTGTGCGCCCTTTCAGGTAGATTAGTTGATGTTACTTGCTGTGCACTGGCTCCCCTTTCCACTTGGAATCGGGTCGAGCCCCGAACAGGCCTTGCTTCCCCCGTCAGCATTCAAGGTCTTCAGCTTCAGCCCCTGCCATGAACCTTGCACCATGCCTGCACCCTCAGCTTCAGCATCCTGACGTCGGAGGACCTGGAAGCGGAACGTGCCTGGCAGATGCGGCAAGGCGAGGATGCACACGAGATGCCACCAGGACCCGGCAAATCACCAGATTGGCATATCACCCCGTCAAGTACGAGACACGCAGAATCTTATGTCAGCGCAGGAGTGCATCGCCCCACAGCCGATGAAGTCGCCAAAGCAGACGCTTCCTTCAGGCCGTCCCGTGCGCCGAATGCCGCTTCATCAGAGTTCTATCTGGTTTTGAAGGCCTTTGGCACAGCAGGAGTTCGGCTCGCTAAACCTGCGTCCCTTTCGTGCGTGCAAGCTCGCAGGATCATTGCTCAACTGCTCACAGCCCTTGTGGCCAACGAGCATGGCTTATCAGTCGCTCGACATGATAGGAAGAAACCACGGAAGCGCACAACCCGGAATTTTCACCGCCCAGGCCATGAGTGCCCTGAACCTCGAGACGCCTTTGGTTTCACTGCTGGAGCTACCGACGGCGACGCTTCGGGTCTGGGCCTTCGGCACACGAAGAATTGAAGAGGGGATCAAGCGGAGCCCTCTCAGGTGTTTTCGTTTGTTGTGGTATCGTGTCTTTCTGATTTCAGCAAGTGTCTAGCTTGAGGCGACTTGGAGTCTTGAGGCATTGGTCGCAAACAGGCTTGACCTCTTCCAGAATTCCTTGCAGGGTGCACGTTGGCTCGTGTCAGTAGTTCATTGGGCATGTGGACAGTGTTTCCCAGCCGGATCAGCCCTCCAGGTCCCCGTGATGCTGGTGCTTTGTGCGATGAGTTCCAACAAGGCCGGCGAGGTTGTGGGTGTGGCCGGGATTCTGGATTGGTTGGTACATGTTAGTCGGTCTATGCTCTTGCACCTTGAAGCGGACCTGCAACTAGTTCTCAGAGACCGCACGGAAAGCTCAACTTAATGAGAGTCGCGTCAACAGCCAGATCATGTACATGTAGCTTCAGCTTCAGCTGAAGAGCCATGCAGGGTTCCCGCTCCAGGCAAGTTGTCAAGTGCTGATGACCAGTGAGAAGTCCGCCGCCCGGGGGAGCGCACGCGGAGTGAGCGTTGGGAATTTCGAGAGGGACTGAGCGTTGGGCCCCGGAACAGTCGGCCGAACGAGGTCCAAGGTCCTTGCATGTTGACCTTCGTATGAGAAGCGAACGTCATCGGACATCTCTTGGAAGTTCAGGTTTGTGGGTGTGCTCCGGCGCATGGAGAAGAAGCTGGCCACCCTTGGAGAAGCACCACCAGTGAAGGACTCTGCCAAAACCCACAAAGCAAAGCCCGAGCTCTTAAAGACTTTCAGCAGCGCCTGGCCATCTTTTCTGTAGTTGCTTGATGCATTCTGTGGCCACTGTTCGAATCCGTGGTGCAAGTCTGAACCTTAACTGGAAGCTGGAAGGATGAAGTGGAATACCTGGTGTGCATTCTGGACAGAAGCTGCTGCCACGCCGACTTGGCCAAAGTCGCACAGGAGGGGGAATTGGACCGGAGAAGCCCGCGGTTTGGTTAAGGGAAGCCTGAAAACTTCAGACCTTTGACTGCAAGTCCGTGCTGTCTCGAAAGAAGAGATCTTTCTAATCTCCAATCCCGGGCCTTAGAATCTGCCTGGCTGCTTGGTCCTTCGTAAGCGTGCACCTTGCCCTTGCCGAGCCTGCAAGGAGCACCTCTTCCGGCTTCTATGCGTCTTGCCTGCCAGGCAGGGTGTGAGGCTTCTCCGCTTGATATCTCCTCAGGCTTCCGCGGGAATTCTGGCGGGGTGGCTTGGGTATGAAGCGAAAGTCATGCAGCCCGCAGTGCGAAATTCACTCGGCTTCCAAAGAAACAGGCCCAATAAACTTCGAAGGAACTTCCTCTTCCCATTTTGAACCCGGCCTACTCTGGCAGGGCAGAGACACTCGCTGCACGAGTGATGTCCTTGAGGCGCGAGTTTGTGGTTGTTTCAGGAGGCGTGTCCAAGGCCTGGTGGGATTTGACTCGAAGTACTAGGGTCTTTTATCGGAGTCCTGATGCGGTGCGCGATAGCAGGGAAACTTGTCCGACAACCACCTAGCACACCTTCATTTCACGAGCTTCTGGCGTCGGCAGGGCGCTGAGTCGAGTCGCTTTCGTTGCCCCGGAGTGCATGAGCCTTGGCGGCAGCCTAGCTGTGCTGTCGAATCGCCAGCGTTCTCCATGTGGTGCAGTCTGGACCCAGGAATGATTTCGCATTGGAGGGTGTGGCATGCCTTCAGCACCTTGGCACTGAGCCAACAAGTCACGCTGTGCTGCGGTTCCTGGTCCCGCAGCTCGTATTGGGCATATGAGGTCTGCGGAGAAAGGATCGAAGTGAATTTACCGGAGCTCGTATCTGTCCTAGCTTTGCCTTGTGAGGTACATCATGGCAGTCACTTCAGCTCTCAGCCTTGGTGCCGGGGAGAACACGGAGAAGGCCAATGGCGGTAGTGTCGCCCATAGCGGTGTGGAGAGCATGCGCTTGGAAAGTTAGAGTCCATGCGACCCTTCATTTGTTTAGTTGTTGTCGGAGCATTTCAAGTCCTTTAGGCGGTGATGGAAGACTTTGCTATGCCCTTCTCAGCTGAATGTGTCGCCCAAGCAGAGCAGCTGAATCCGATACCAACAGCCTGTAAAGTTCGGGAGGCGGGCGTGCGACGAAGACTGCTTCAAGAAGCCAAGGATCTCGGGGTTCATATGTTCCAGGACTTGTTACACCATGTCCAGCTAGTACTCTACCTGCCGAGGCTTTTAGTTCTAGCTCGTGGGAATCTCTTTCAGGGATGCAGGGGCGCGTGTAGAACCCGGGCCATCGCATGTCCACGAATTCTAGCCGCAAAGCCATGCGCAGGGCACAGAACGCAGGACTTCCTTCATCCATTTTCCGCGGCCGCTCTCTCAATTGCCGAACCCTTGCTTTTGTCGCAAGGAGTCTCTCGCAGCGGAGCCCTCGTTGTCGCCTCTGGTGGAACACTTTAGCCGCACAATCCTCTGTGAGGCCAGGCCTTGCTGGGTTGTGACTTCGACTCGGACTTAGGTTCCAGGAAGCCGTGTGATGTCTGCCTTGACAGGCCCGAAAGGATTGACGGCCCTGCTCTGCATGTCTTGACAGGGGCCCACTCTGCAGGCATGACTTGAACAGGAAATCGAATGTCGATGAACCGACCCGGAGTAGCTTTGCAAACGGTAGTCATAACGGAGCAAGCAGGCTGCCATTGCAAGGGAGAGGAAAACACGACGAATACCGAGCGCTTCCCAGGCCGTGTCGGTGTCCCGCAACTGCTGCCACGCAGCCTACGATCAACTTGATCTACTGGGAATGCTCCAGGATCTTCAGAACCTCGGCATCTGCAAGCCGGATGAAAACTTGACTTCAGATCGGCCTTTGGGATGCGGGCCTCGCCAGCTTCAGCTTGCAGAGTGAGGAACCCAACGGAGCCAAGGTTGCTGGGTTTTAAGAAAAGTGGTACCAGGAGAAGACACATACAGAGGCACACGCAAGCACACAGAAACTTATGCTTCAAAGCGCCTACAGACGTAACAGATGAACTGTGCATCTCTTTCACATCGGCGCCGAGCCGCCCAGAATTCGAGTCTGCTTTTGCATGCTCCTTCCCGAGTTGGGCACTGAAGATGCAGGCGAGTGTCAGGTTGGATTCCATATGTGCTTCCAAAGAGGGCCTGTAAGTGACCTCTGCCCAGGGACTCCTTCGAGGACACCGTGGCAAACTTCGAGCGCTTGTCCGTGCGCCCGACCCGTTTTTTCCGCAGCGAGCTGCGTGCTAATTATTGTGTGTTGTGCTCTGAACAAGCTTCATCCGAAGTCTCCCCATGCTGAGCGCTGTTATTCCTACTCATGCTGATCTGGCAGCCATAGCAGTCTATACAGACCCTCGACCCCGAAAATCCTGTGCGCTCGACCCTAAACAGTCTCGGCCGCCAGCACCGATACGACGTCATGGCAGGATGGAAAGCTGGAAGTTGCTGCAGCGGAGCTGATGAACAAGCTCGTGGCCCTCCTGCACGTGCCAAGCCATGCAAATAGAATGCCGATGCTCGAACTACCGTTTCAGTATGCAAGAGAGCAGGCAAGCAGTCTGCTCGATGAATCTTCCCAGAAACTTTTGAAAAGCGTCTAACCTGACTCGAGCAGTTCTCATTTGCAGGGTCCGAAGGCCTTTGCTGAACGTTTTCATATCTCATCGCCTTGCTTATGAGTAGCAGAACAGTGTCTCTTCCCATCCGCAGGTGCCTGTAGCCCAAGTTTGTAACTAGTGTCTGAACGGTGCCTGAATAGACAGGAGCAGATATTCGGGACTGTACGGTTTCGACCCGAACCTTGGATGCTCGAATTGACTCCAAAAATCCAACATGGCTGTGCTTTTGCAGGGCTTGTTCGAAAAGGCTGGGCAAGCCACGGAGATGAAGTCTGCACCCAGTGCAGGTGCTGCTGTGCAGCATCTTCAGACACGGCAAGGCAGCGCACAAGTACGGGAAGGACCGTGCTGGATGAGACCTGGGTACCCCTAGGTCTTCATCAGTTCGTGCAGCTTTGTTTGATTTCAGCATGCATCCCGAAGTAGTGAGCCTCCAATCACATGTTGCAGGGTGTTCTAATCATTGGCGAAAAGCCTTGCGATTCCTTGGAGGATCCGGAAGAGAGCGCTGAGAAAGCAAACGGAGGCTTGTGTGGCGTCAGTAGGGAGGTGCCAGTGTCATATTGTCATATGCGCTGTGCTCGCATTCATGCATGTGACAGTCCGGCGATTATGTGATATGCCAACTAGCGCAGTGGTAGCTGCAGCAGTCGGCAAACAACCAGCTGGATTGATTGTCTTGAAAGGAAACGATTCAAGAATAATGGGATCGAACCTAGTAATGAGGTACACTGGTCCCATCCGCTACGTTCGAAAGCCAATGTGCTCCAGGCTTCACGGAGGCTGATGCGAAGTCGGCTGTTGACGGCCTTATGCAGGTGACTTCTTGGCATGACCGCAGAGTATTCGTTTGAAGTCCAACCGAGCTTCCTTGAGAGGCACCTTCCCGGCTGGGATGTGAAGGCACTCCGTTCGTTGCAGCTAAGGTCCTGACCAAGGTCCACAAGATGTTGAATCCCTCTGGTACAGAGGACGGCGGGTCTATGACACGGGTGTAGGAGATGAACAGAGACGAAAGAGCGAAGTCGCTTCAACAAGCTCGCTTCACCGAGAGAGTTGTGAAGAGGACGACAAGGGACACGCCAGCTTCATGGCAGACTTGCTGGCCAATGATATCCGCGTCCTCTTCTATCTTACCGCTCTGCTGCTCGGTGGCCGGGGCGGCCGGGGCGGTAGAAGGGCTGCTTCCAGGGCTTTTTTTCAATCCGAAGCTCATGCGCTGATGCTCGGTTGGCCGAGGCTGCGGGAGCTGGCCTGCAAGCCTTTGCAGTCGCCTTTCTTGCGTTTGACGCGCTCCACGGCCTTCTTCGACATCCTGGAGTCCTCCGTCTGGGCCCTTGTTTTGCTTTCTTTCTGCGAATGGACGCGTTTGGGGGTGGAGGGTGGAGTGTTGCTCTCTCTCTCTCTCTCTCTCTCGCTCTCGCTCTCTCTCTCTCTCTCTCTATATATATATATGTATATATATATATATCTCTCTCTCTCTCTCTCTCTCTCTCTCTCTCTCTCTCAGGTGCAGCTGGCCTTGAAGCGATTTCAGCGGGAGACCAAGGGCCCCATGCCGAAAGACCTCTGCGCCAACAAGCGGCTCGGCTTGAGCGCTGCATCTCCTCTTGGACGCAGTATATTCTCCACACCGCCCAGACCCCGAATCTTTGGCATCAGATCCCTGCAAAGCTCAACTTCAACTGAGGCTCAAGGGAGGTCCCACAGACAGCCCGCTCTCGCAGCACATGGAGGAGCTTTTGAGCTCGAAAGCCCAGACTCCTCCGCTTCTACCATCTTGCTTTCATAGCAAACTGGAAGAAGCAAGCGCAGGATTTCGACCTGGGCCTGATCTTTGAGCACCTGATCGTTTGCTTGAGGCACTCGCTCGTGCAGGCGGGGCCGCGGCGCTTGGTGTCAAAACGAAGCCGTCCAAAGGCCGCCGCCGGAATCCGGAATCCCGACCTGCGACCCCAGGCCCTGTATGTCGCACCGGAAGTGAGCACGAAGCTGCTGCCGTGGGCATGGATCTCCCAGGAGACTGCAGACTGCGAAGGCCGAAGTTTTGGGCGATTTTGTGCGGTGCAGTGCAGGAGCGGCTGCCCATGCACAAGCACGTGATGAACTGGCTACCACAGATCGTCAAACGCTACAAGTCCATCCCCGCAATCTGGATGCACGGGCTGCAGGGGTCTAGTGTACGGAGTGAACTTGCACTCAGGTGCCTGCAATGGCACGTAAACAGGACGTTGCTGATTGTTTAAGTTTAACTTCGAAGGAAGAGTGCAGTGAGACGCTAAGACCAACAGAGCTCAGGCTTCCCAAAACTAACAGACCAGGAAACCTTGCCTCAAGCCCGTCTTCCCATATGCCTAGGCAATTCGCACGGAGACGCTTCGGTACTTTGCCTGCGCCGCTTCCTACGAGGTAGCACCATACGCACGTCCGGAGGACGGGGCGACTCCGATCGAAATTTTGAAAGGCGGCTAGAAGTTGGGGTGGCTAATGAGACCAGGATACACAGCGAGGATGACGACTACTTTATGAGAATTTCAAGGTATTGTGCCACGAACATGTGGAGTCCAGCAGCCTTTGACAAAAGGATTGTCACCCACTCCGGGGTTCTTCGGGTTGCAATAGGCGGTTCCTACGCAATGGAAGCAGACTGCCGGGCATCCCGGACCTGCAGACAGATGCCTTTCTGGCTCCTGAGCTCTACTGGGTGGTTGAGCTAACTCCACGTGGACTCCGCATGCTGTGCACCCGGGTATGGCAATGCTTTTCGTATCATCCACACACTGTCTGGGTGTGTCGCTTTTGTTGTTATTCGTTGTTTGTTGTGGTGTGCGCAGGCTTTGCGGCATCTCGGTTTTACCTGAGTTGGTTGTTCGCCGAGGGGTTTGTGCTCAGCTGCATGTGGAATCGCTGGCTGTGACATGCTGTCCCTGTGTTGCCAATGTGGCCAATGTGTGTCCTGAGCGGATGCTTGCGAAAGCGAGCGTCTACATGGGGAAAGGCTGCTTTTTTAAGTGCTCGCTGTATCTCGCATCCCTGGTTTGAAACGCGCTTGTACTTGGGGGAAAATGCTCCGGAGCTGCAGTTGTTATGTCTTCAGGGTCCGACTGCCTCTTTCTTGTTGCGCTTGGTGGCTGGCGACATGGAGGCGTCTACTTGATAATTCAGACTTGTTTGATGCCTCTACAGCAAGACTTTTGAAGCCATGCCATGCACGACGAGCACAAATCTCCTCTAGTCTGACTGATGTTGTCAACGATGTGCCGCTCGGTTTGCGCCAGTGAAACTTCTTGTCCATCATGATCATCAAGCCTATGGTTTTCACAGCGCAAACGTTGGGGATTCGCAGGTTCGGAATACAGCGTCGGCTATCTCGCGTGTGGTGTGCACTTGCGGAATTCTAGGTTTTCCAAGTTCTTGGGTCGGCTTCCGGCGTGGGGTTGACTAGCGGTAACACCCATGTGCCGTCGCTGGGGTTGACTTGGGATGATCAAGATCCCAAAGTAAGTCCCGAACCCAAAATACACGTGGGGACTTGCCCAGAAAGCCGAAGGATGCTGAATTGGAGTTCGAAGAGGAGGAGGGCGAGGTCAAGAAGGCGGCCCACAGTTCCCACAACTGTTTACACTTTCCGTAAGCTTTCAGGGTGCACTGATGCTCCATCGGTCATGCCGGCTGGGTGCCGACAGAAAGCGCCCCGCTCTCCCAAGGAAAACTTTGCAAGGGTAGCCCTGGAGGCTGGAGACCCTCTCAGGGCAGTTGAAATCCGAACCAAACTAAGTCGTCCAGAAGACAACTTCGAATGAGCCCATGCTGCTCTAACAGTCGTATCTTGACTAAGTATAGTCATCTGCGCAATGTTCCTTTCAGTGACTCTGAGCTTCCCAGAGTCACCCCGGTGCTTGAGCTAGGTGAAAACGGATGTGGAAGCTGATATGGCTGCAGACATGACTGTGCCGGAAGCTCCTGTCGATGATGACGAGGAGCTGGAAGCATTTCCGCATCGGCACACTGCATGTTTTTCGTGGGCCGGTGCCCGATGTGGTTCCCCCTGAGGGACGACTGCTCACAGAGTGTTCGTAAGGTGCGAGAGTCTTTGCAGAGCCGGGTTACCCCCCAATCGTCAAATGTTAATAGCTACTTGCAACAAAGCTTGCCGACTTGCAAGTCTTACGTCAGGAGACGTCTGCCAAAATGGCTCTGCCATTTTGGCCCAAGTTCGTGGACCGTGGGTCCTTCAAAGATTTGTTACTTTCGCTCCCGCTTTTTCTCTCGCGACCGTCGATCATGGCATTCACCCCCGTTGCTAATGTCGATGACGTCCTTGCCTCCAGCATGGAGACGGTCGAGAGTTTGGTTCCCCCTCGTGACACAGGGGACAGTGATCCGGAATGGGAGAAGCCGGATGATGATGTGGCTTTGGCCCGTGCTACCCTGGCACACAATCTCTCTGCCCATGAGGATGAGACGGTGAATTCCACCCTGACCTCCTTTACGACTTTGGAGGTGGATGAAACTGCCTTGGACCTGCGGCTCCAGGAAATGGATGCGGCCATGGCACGTTTGTTGACCAAGGGTAACGAGAAGGTGGTTGTTAAGGAGGAAAGTCAGCTGCCAAGCGACATGGCTGCTGAGGCGGCCCACCATGAGGACAGCCCAGCTGCAGCCATGGACACGGACCCTGCCGGCTCCCACATGGAGACCACTACCGAGATGGACACCTCGGGCCCTGAGGTGCCAACCCCAGGTGACTTTGTCCCTGAGGGGGGTGCTTCGGATGAGCCCATGGGCAGTGGTGACTCGTCCAAGGCCAAGCCCTACTCAGCCTTGCCAGCCGGCACCTTGGAGGACAGTCTTCCGCATCGAGGGCTTCCCGGATGACTTCCCCGGCATCGGCAAGAAGAGTGCAGATCTGGCACAGCAGCTGACCAAGGAGGAGATCGCCTCCTTGTTCTCCAAGCTCAGGACGGAGACCTGGACCCGCCCTGCCGTTGAGAGGTCTACCAGATCTACAAGAGACAGCTCGCCCAGGAAAAGATGCTCGCAGCCCCCTACAATCGTGCTCGCAGGGGAGTGGGCCACAGCAGCATGGGAAAGCTGGACCCTGGCAGCACAGGTGCGACCCTCATGTGCCCCAACTGCTTTGCAGACTGGCAGGGACAGGACAACAAGGTCGAGGGGAAGTGCAAGCTCTGCCAAAAGACGGTCATTGCGGTGGACAAGGGCCCTCCCTCTGCAGAGATCAAGCTGGGCTCGGCTTCCTGGCTCATGTTTTGTGGCCCCCAGGGTGTGACCTGGCACACGGATGCCGACGAGGCCCAGAAGGCAGCTGCCTCCGTGGACATTGGCTCCTGGGCCCAGCCCCCGCCCAGACCTACGGATCAGAAGGAGCTCAGCTTTGCCCACCAGGTGCCTATGGCCCTGAGGCTTAGCTTGGCTCACACGGTGGCGACCCAACCCTTCGACGAGGTGCAGTTTTCGGACAAGGACGCTGGTGATCGCCCGCACCTTCGGGAAGACTGGCAGCCGAGCCAGGAGACCAGGGCCTTCCACGCCCAGCTGGCGGCGGCGATGGAGATCACGAAGAAGAGCTCGGGCCCGGTGGATAAGGACAGCAAGAAGCTCACGGAGGAGCAGTTTCTGGATCACATCAACCCTCAGCTGGACGTGATCGTTGAGATGCAGGCGGGCGCGCAGAGCGTCGAGGAGGCAAAGGGCGCGTCAATCCTCCGCCAGTTGGACACAGAGAAGTTGCGCTCCCTCCTCAAGCGCAACTATCTCCAAGGCCCGGGAAACCAGGGAGAGGAGTTCATTACAGCGCAAACCACCTTGGAGGAGGCCAAGGCAACAAGCGCATGCAGGAGGAGGGAGCCCAGCGCTCCAAGCTCCTCAGGCCTGTGGCCGACTCCATTGATACCTGGGGTACTCAGCTGCGCGCGGCCCTGGAGATGAACGTGTTCAATCCGGATAGCCCGCTCGAGGCCATGAAAGACCGGTACATGACACGAAGTTCCTGCTGAACCAGAGGAGGAACCCTTTCCCGGCCTCCTTGCTGCAAGAGCTCCCCACCCTACCCGCGCTCCAGCGTGAGGGTGAGCGGGTCGCCCGGGACTCAGGCGGGGGGCTGTCTTCAACAGGTGCCTTTGGCCCTGAGGAGCAGTCCCCTGAAACACTTCTGGGAGTGGCCGTTGGTTCGGTTGAGTTTCAGATCATGCGCCCAAACGCATCATTGAGCTGCACATGGGGGAGCAGCGAATGATCGGGGGCCGATGGAGGAAGGTGCAAGGACCGCTCGATGCCCCGACGTGGGCAAAGCCTCTCCCTGCAGGGGAAAAGCTCCTGTTGGAGATGAGGACACATCCCTGCTCCTTCAAGCAGCCATTCTTCGAGCCGATTGCCCTGACCAAAGAGGAGATTGACGCACAGGTGGCAATGGGCACGAGGCCCCCCCTGGACAAGATCATCGGACCCTTCCATGCCGAGGGGGATGGTGGCACCCACTGGCAAAAGGAGGTGCAGACGTGGGACCTGGTGAGCCTCTTCTCCTGCTTCGGCCACACCTACTCGGCCAGACACCTGTATGCGGTGTGGAGCCACCTGCCGATCACGATCCAGCCCCACACGCGGGGGGCCAAGAACAAACAGCAGAACCTGCAACGTCGAGATGACCATCGTATGCTGATGAAGGAGGCCAAAGAGTTCGTGATTCTGCACGACCTTCCGGTCCCTACGACAAACCAGGAGTGGAAGCAGCTCTATCGCGAAATGGGATCCATTTTCGCCGCCAAGGTCTTCATAAACCGCACGCCGCAGGTGGTTTTGGACCTCCCGGTTGCAGACATCCACGACTCCAAGCAGCACATGCGACTGCGAGCCGTATGTGATGAACGGATCACCCTGCCCCTGAAAACCTTCAGGGATTTCCCGGAGATCTATAACTCGCTCTCCCACTCTCTGGGCCAGGAGTCGATGGTGGAGGCAAAGATGGCGTGGCGCTGCAACACCGTGCAGTGGTGGACAGCCCGCCTCAAGCCCGAGTACGCCGGCCCCATCTACCGCAAGCTTGGCTACTCGGAGAGCCACATCCAAGGCCTTGGATTGGGGGACAGGGACACCTCAGCTGCCTTTGGCGCTGAAAGGATCCTCCTGGACCCCGAGTCAGAGCAGGAGCGCGCCCTCCCGCCCATCACCCCGAACAACGTCTCGAGCGTGGCCTCGGACGACTACAAGAAGAAGAACGTGGGGGATAAGACGGCCCATGTGTTCTGGGCCAAGATGGAGTGTGGCCTGGTCCTCAGCTCCGTTTCCCCGTGGGAGATTGTCGACAAGAAGAAGGGTGAGACCCGTGGGGGCTACGTTTGCCGCCGCTGCAAAGGATTCTGGCGAAGTGGCAGAGGTGCCAGCCGGTTCTTGTTGATCACGGGGGGAGCACAGAGGGAAACCCCCTGAGGCTATCCCGGATGCTTATGCCGACCACATTGCAGAACTCCATTCGGCCGTGTCCACTTTGTTCGCGAGGAAACAAATCCCCTATTCGGTCCAGGCAGCATTTGCTAGGGAGGGATACATAACCTTGGAGGACATTGCCGACCGATGGGACGATGCTTCGGCTGCCAGAACCAATGGTCCCAGGGACCTAGGTTTTGCTAGCGGCTCCAATGGTTTCACGGATCAGAGTAGCGCGTTCACTGCCATGCGCCTCTTTCAGGCGATCAAGGCGGCCAAGGACATGACCAAGAACCTTTATGCACATCGCTCCAGTGTCACGCCGGGCCAGACCTCCGCGGACCGCTCCGGCCTGGAAGTGCTGTGTGACCGGCATCAGCTCCTCACGGAGTGGACTAAGGAAACTGGACTCCCGAAGCCGAAACTCGAAGCCCAAGGGAGCGATAACCTCCTCAAGGCGCAGTTTCGCTTCTGCTCGAAGGGGGAACTTGGCTTCATCAATGCGAAATACATCATCAGTGCCTTGCCGGAGCTCGAAGAGAAGCCTTTCAAAACAAGACGGAAAGTGACTGTAGATGGCTGGGATAAGGAAGAGGAGGAAGAGGAACGCAAGCTCCCGACCACCAGACGTCATCTGGAGAGGATGCATCGGGTTTTCCGTAACAATCTTTCGATGTGTCTCCTGGCCTTTCCCCAGTTCACACAGTTTGATGCCTCGAAGCATGACCTGGATGAATGGTACGACTGGTTCTGGGGCCCGGACATTGCGGGACGAACCCCAGCTCCATCGGAAAAGACTCTTCTCTACGCTGAACGAAATGCGTGGAGAGCCATCCACAACCTGGTCTATGAGGGCAAGTCGCTCAAGGAGGCCATGATGGAAGTCCGTGCGGATGCCCTCTTTTGGACCAGGGAAGTCTACGAGCGTGTGCCACGGCCTGGTGAGAAAGGTCCGAAGGGCACTCCGAAAGGGGAGAAAGGCACCCCCTTTGCCAAGTGGCCGGGCAAAGGCTCCTGGAAAGGTAAGCAAGCCTTGCCTGTGTACCAGCCTTTTCTCAAGCATTCTACTAAGGGCAAAGAAGGCAAGAAGGGCAGCCCCAAGGGCAAGGGCAAGGATACCTGGCCCCAGAATTGGTCCAGGAACAATCCGAAGGGCACCCCCTTTTGCAGAGATTATCACATCAAGAAGCAGTGTCCCGGCAACTGTGGGCGCTCCCACAAATGCCCTCCCTCCAGTAGTGCTCCCTCGGATGACAAGCCCTTCTCTCTTGGGCTTTGGATTGAGAAGCATTACCCGGGCACTCTGCCTGCAGATTGCTCCCCTGAATGGCTAAAAGGAGTCCCTGACCGCCTGGTCCGGAGACTCCAATGGTCTCCTTCTGTGTGCACTGCCAGCATTCCTCAGGGTGCCATAATTTTGCCCTTCGCGGGTCGGGAGGATGCCTCCTCTCTGGAAGCGATCCTCCACTCCCAAGCTCCAGAACTCTCCCCGAGAGTTCTGGCTTTGGACTCCTCTAGAAAACCCTCCGGTCAGGATCTCCTTAATGACACCCTGTTCGGGTCGCTCTGTGTCTCGGCGCTGCAAGGACGCATCTCCTTTGTGGGAGGATGCCCGGATCTCAAAACATGGGGTTTAGATAGGTGGTTTCAGGACTCTGGTATTTTCCGTGCGGTTCGAGCCCGATCTGCAGAGAATGCCTGGGGCTTAGCCGCCCTCCCTGAGGAGACCTTGCACTTGGCAGATGAGGAAAGCACCCTGCTCCTTAGGTTCCTTCTGCGCGACCTCGCCCCGTGCCGCCCCTAAGGTCTTTTGCTTCCTGGAGATGGCTGAAGATCCGGCTCGAGGAGCCATTTCCCCATCCAGGAGACGCTCCTCTTCGGCTTGGGCCACTCCGGCCCTGCGCGCTTGGACCCTTGACCTAGGCCTTGAGGTTCTTCATTTTGATCTCTGTTCTTTTGGTTGGGTTGTTAGTCGTCCCTCTAGAGCGGTCACGAACCTTCCCCTCCAATCCTGGGAGGGTAGGACCTGTACACATGCTCATCACCCCAAATCTGATCGTCCGGTTCCGGGGGACGTTAGGCGACCTGAAGCCATGTTACAAAGTCTTGCCTCGGCGCTGGCCGTAATGCTTCGCAACGCGGTCCCCCCGATGGTGGATTCGCCAGGTGGGCCTGCCACCAATATCCTTGCAGTTCCCTCGCTGGGGCAGGAGCGTCCTCACTGGACGGCTCTAGGGTCAGCACCCGGTGGGGCGGCTGTTCAACCCTCCCTACCCTCGCTGGGAGGGAAGCGTCATTATGCTGGGTCTCCGAGTGCAGGTACCCATGCAGGCGATCATTTGCATGCTGCGACCCCTCCGATTGGGTCTGATCGGCCTTCGATGCTAACCTTAGACGATGCCACAATGAGAGTGGCCCATGGTTTTAAGGTTAGGCCCCTGAGAGACGGAGGCGGTAAGACCTCCCCCGGTAGGATTCCCCCGCACCTACGTAATGGTCCGACGGCTCCTGCTCTGGGTAAGTTCATCCGAGAAAAGGCCGGGCCCCTGGTCCCCTCTTTCATAGCCTCCACGGCTGCGGGTGCCAAGACACACTCTTTCCCGGATTCGGTACTCAGGGAAATTCGGGATTTTATCTTGCCTCAGCATCCTCAGCCGGATGCAGGACAGCCCTTCCACTTGGATGTTATCAGTAAACTCCTGCACGACATCCAAGATGTGGATGCTGAGTACCCGATGATACTCAAGGAAGGAGTCCCTCTGGGAGTGGACACTCCTACTCTCCAATCTCCGGGCGTGTGGCCTCTGAAATCTGAGCTCATCGGTGAAGAGTGGGACCCGGTGGAAGCGCCACCCCCCATAGGCCATGCAAACTACTCCTCCGCTAACACCTTTAGTGAGGAGATTCGTGCTACCTTCGTGTCCACTGGGTATGGTCATTGGACCATGCACCCGCGCTGAAGCAGCAGCACACTGCCAGTGTACGGAGGAAGAGCTCTGCCCCTGCCCCATGGCGGGGATTGATGAGTCGGACAAGATCCGTTCCATCTTTGATGGATCCAAGGGCGGTGCTAATCTCCGTATCCAACAGAACACAGTGGAGAAAACCACGGCTCCGACTGTCATGGATTGTGTCCAGTGCTTACACTGGCTTCGGGCATCACGTTCTCGGGGGAATCCAGGCGCCTATGGCCCTGAGCCCGGGAAACAGGAGACCACGGATACCTCTGGGCCCCGGGAAACCGCCCCTGGTGCGGCAAACTTGGAACGGGACAGACCCTCTGATAAGGAAGACTCCAGCGCTGGCTCCGGCCGACTCTGGTGTTTTCCTGGCTCCGATGATGATTGGATTCTACTCAAAGCCGATGTGACTAAGGCGCACAGGAGAATCAAGATCCTCCTTCGAGAGTGGCGTTACCAAGTGGCTCAACTTGGTGAGGAATGGTGGGTCAACACCGTAGGCACATATGGGATGGCCAGTGCTCAGCTCTATTGGGGAAGGATGCCTGCTATCCTCCTAAGGATTGTGTATGCCGTGTTTCCTGAGGTCGACTGGGGTTTCGTTTTTGTCGACGATTTTGCCTGGCTGCTCCGTAAATCGAACTCCCCCCTGTTGGCGACGGCAATTTGCCTGCTGCTGCTTGCTCTCGGCACTCCTCTGAGCTGGAAGAAAACCTTGCTCGCTGAGGTTAATACTTGGCTTGGCTTTGTCATTGACCCAAAAGGACCCTGTGTGCAGATGGCCCGAGACAAGCACCTGCTTGTCATTGGCATCCTTGGAGAGCTCAAAAGCGGTAAGGTCATGTCGGCATCTCAGATCGCTAGTGCTTTGGGTAGGCTGCAGTGGGCGACAACGGCCTGCCCCCTTACTAAGCCTTTCCTCCAACCCTTTTGGGCTTGGAAGAAGGCCTGCCAGACTGCAGGACGTCCTGGCAAGCTTATCCGTGCACTCTCGGCTCTCCTGCTCTCTCTTTTTGATCAGAAGTTCCGACAAGCGTCGCCGTATGCCCCGCTCGCCATTTGGTCGGGGGTAAGTGATGCTAGCGCTTCTGATGATGGCAGCGCCTATGTGGGCGGCTGGCTTTCCAACGTGGACTCCCCGTCCAAGTCGGAAGTCTTCTGGTTCCACTACCAGGTCACCGAAGAGCGACATCCATGGACTTTTGACAAGGGCTGCCCGAAAAAGCGCATTGCTGCCCTTGAGATGTTCGGCACTCTGATCCTCTCTCACTTTCTCATGGAAAAGGCGCCTGCGTTCATCCCGAACCTCAGGCTTCCCCTGGTCAGCGACAACCAAGGGAATGCGTACTCGCTCCTGAACGATAAGTCCAAGAGGATGCCAACATCTGTCATCCTCATGGAGGTTTTGTACCAATTGCACCGGAACGGGATGCAGCTTGCTCCCTCCCACGTCAAGCGTGACTTCAACACGTGGGCTGATGATCTGACTCATCCCAACTTTCAAGGTTTCACGCCATCTCTCTGCTTGCCGGTGGAACCCGTGCTCAAGCATTTTTCCCTCATTCGTTCTATTTTGGAAGATCGTATTTTCGACGACCCATCTGACCTCACCCATGGACCCGCGCAGGGTGCCCGGTGAGGATGTGGCTGCCTCCTGTACAGGCTTCTTTCTGGACGGCACAAAATTTTGGAACTCTCTTTTCTGTACAAGGAGGGTTCCCGATCCCAGGTGCCGTAGGCCCTGAAGGAGGGGACCCTCCTTTGCTTGAAACGGCCTCTTCAAAAGTTTGAGGTCTTCGACCGAAGGAATATCCCGGGAGTCGGCAGCCACACCAATCCACCATGCAAAAGAGGGCTTGCTCGCATGGTGCTTTTGGTGTGCCATTTTTCATGCGGATATCTGACATAGTGCCATCTCGTCGCACAGACATCGACTAGCGCATTACCCAGCGCCCTGAAGAGTATCAAGTCCTTCCGTTTCGGGGTGAGTGTGATGGCACTCGTGGCTATTCGTCCACTCCCTAAGACCTGCAGACGAAGCCGAAAAGGAAGAGAGCACGAAGGGCGATGGATCCCGCATTACCTTTCAACATCTCTCCGCGTTGAAGGAAGTCTTGGATGTGTCCCCGAGCGAAGCTCTTGGGCCGGCAGAGGTCGCGGAGGCGAGACATCAGGTGCGCTCTCAGCAAAGCCTTCGCCATGCTCGCCCCAAGCCGATGTGTCAATAAGCTTACGACTTCAAGCTTGAGACCGAAGGCGAAGCTTGAACCTGTGGAGGTCAGCGTCGAGTCCAGCGAGCCGGAAGGGCGCTTGGCCTTCGGAGGTCTGCATGCAGAATTCTTGCGTTCAGTGTGCTCTCAGTATGTCGTTGCATCTGTCCGCTCTTGTGAAAACCGGAGCGTGAATTGCGCACTGTCTTCCGCTGCCACTTTACAAGGCCTGGTATCCCTGCGGCAATCTGAGCTGCGCCTCTTCCTTGCAGAGGAGCTGGAGCGGTCTGAGGCCCGAAGCCGGAATGCGCCGGGCCCAAACTCCTTGACACGGCCCTTCCGAGTCCAGGGAGCACCCTTAGTAAGCCTTACGCTACCCAGCTGCAAGCTCCAACGCGAGTTCCAGGACATGAATGCCCTTTGCTTGGCCATGCTCTGTGTGGCAAACTTTGCAGCGTACGAGCGGAAAGTCCTGGCGGATGAGAAGGGTGGCCAGAAGCTGGGGAAGTATCTGCCGCTGGAGGACTCAAGGGCTCAGATGCAGAAACTTAAAGTTTTCAAGGTCGAGCCGGAGCGCTGAACCGCCCAAGCCACGATGACGTATTGCAGGCGTTCCTGATCGTAGGACATGGCTCGTCTTCTTCGGGGAGTCGTGAGAACGCTGAAGTCTATCCCCAGCCCCATGGACTTGGTAAACAGGGTGGGAGGAGGGTTTACGGTTTGAGCATGGAAGCTCTTCGATCTGAGCTCTCGAGAGAGAGTTGATTTCCGGTTCTTGCCGTATAGGTTCAGATCACCGAGGTAAGTCGCGCCACGCCATGGGCATTTCTTGATGGTGAGCAGTTTCAGTGCATTGGAGGGTGTTGGAACGGCCTAAAGCGGCTCAAGGCAGTTGTCAGTCCGTCTCAGGACATGAGTTTTCCTGAAGACTTGTGAGGCTTTGATGACGACAATGTGGCCAACACAATGACCCTTCATGCACTTCGCTTCTTCTGCGGCTTGCCTTTCCAAGTGGTGCCGGCTCTGAGTAAAAGTTGCAGTTCCACGTAGGTGAGTCTGGCGGGTCGTCAGAAGATTTGGGCTAACACTTCATGGCAGTCTCAAGTCTCTGCACTTCAAACCAACTGGCAGCAATGCTGCTTCTGCTGCTGCTGTCTCTGTTACTCCTTCCGTCCCACTGGGCTGAGTCGCCTCGAGTGACTCCTTCTCGTGCTCGTGCTCGGCAGGTTTCTTCGCACCGCCATGACCAGTACTGTAAGTACTAGTACAGCATAGAACGGCCATCGTGAGTTCGCTACCAGAGCAGTGCAAGTGATGGTCAAGGCCGCGCCTTCGCCAGAGTGCAGCACATCGTGCCCTTTGCCTCCAGAGTCCCTCATCTACCGAGGCAATCTCTTGGCCTTTGAAGTCGATTTCATCACAGCCGAGCTACAGCATCTGAATGCTGCTTGGAGCCATGGGTAAGGAGCCTGAAACTGTAGCGACCTTCGGTTTCGTGCTGAAGATCTTGGCGGCTCAAGTCAAAAGCTATCTCCCCAAGACGTCCCAGAAGATCTCATGTAAGGATGGTTCTCTCGGTACTGTGAAGGCAGATGCTCAAGGTCAGAGTTCAGAGTCGACCGGTAGCTTACAACTTATAACGGTTGAACCTAGCTGCTACATGCTGAAGGTGCTAGAAGAGGTGGGCAAGCTCTTCGACCATTGGTTCAAGGACGAGGCCTGGGTGAGCTTGGATGGCACTTGCACCGCGTTGCACCATGGGCCCAAGCTGCGCAGGACAAGATTGAAGATGACAAGCTGTTCCTTCAAACGCTCCAGAGCTTTATCCTGCTCCTGAGGTGGGAGATGAGAGGTCGCACACAAGCTATAAGTCATTCATTGTAGAATCAGTCCGAACTCAGCCACTTTACACCGGATTTAAATGGAACCGACCCATCCTCGCAAAGCAGGCGTGCAGCCAGAGACAGCTTAGACTGCACCCTACGTCTGCGAGCCTGCAAGCTCCTTCACTGGCCCGAGCCTTCTGACAGGAACTGGGCCTGCGGCAGCTGCCGAGCAGAGACTGGGCTAAGTCGTAAAACAAGGCTTTCCCCAGAGTTGCAAACTTGGACTGCAAAATCAAACAGGCTCGGATGTTGATGTTGACAAATCTGCCCCAGCCTCGTTGAATCAAAGGAGATGAATGTCCGCGAGAAGAAGGAGAATGGAACGAAAGAGGAGAAGGAGACTCCACGCGATGCTTCCAGGTATAAGGTTCATCAGTGGCAAGAGTCTGCAAGGGCGGATAGCACTCCTCGATGGCATAGGATGCGTTGCTGGAAAACTGGGCGTTGCTTCAGCCCCCTGCATAGGACTCTGCGACGAGCCTCCTCAAGGTCTTCAAGCAAGGCATCAATGTGCCCTTCCTTATTTCTCTGACCATGAGGTGCCTTGGGCTGCAGCCTCGGACCCCAGTTACGAAAAAGCCTCTCCTAGACCCCTCGCGAGGGACGTTCAGCCCATGTCTTCTTGCGCCACGGAAATTTCGAGATCTGCGGTCTTCAGGTTTTCGAAGATCTTGATCAACGGCCGCCGCCCCATTGAAGGAAAAGCGCAGCACCGAGCCAACGTCATCGTCGATGCTTCTCGGTTGGACTTCCGAAGGATGCCAGGTATGCAGGATTGTGCTGGTGAGTATAATTTCGATGGTAGTTTCAATGAAGCGCAGCCCTCACTTGAACAGTCAAGGTCCTGGTGATCCTCCAGACATTGCTGAAGCGCACGGACCTGCTTCATAACATGGACTGGACCAAGGACTGCCAGCTGCAATGCAGGGGCTTGTCTGTGTCAGCGTGCCGCGCCAGGTCGACATCATCGATTATGAGAACTTCCTGCAGCTCGTGAAGCTGCTCGGCCTGAGTGTCTGGGGGGGACTCTTAAAGCCCCCTTGAGCAGCATGGACGCTCAGACAGGGTGCGTTCTGGTAAGTTGTCAAAGCCGTCTTGTGTAAGTGGAGATCGGTAAGCCAACAGACAAGGACGTATCGCCTGCGAGACTCGGAGATTCTGGAGGATGAGCAGATCCTGAACACGCTCTACCTCATGGCGCCTCGGGCTGTTCATGGAGTTGGGGCGGGTTGTCGTTTACGGGCCTGCGAAGCAATCAGCATTGGACAGTTTTTCAATTCGGACTGCCGGAGAGTAGGCAGGCGGTGCTTGTTCACTTCAGCTGAAGCCGCCGCTGGATTTTGCCGAGCAAGCAGAACTTCCAGTTTTTCAAGTCACCACTGGGGGGCGCTCGTAGGCGGAAAGCATCCCGCTAGACGGTGAAAAGCAGCCGAGCCACATGGAAGTCGTCCGAAGGGCATATCCAACAACAGAGCTGTCTAGTGGCTGCCCGCCATCATGCCTCGGATGCTGCCAAGACGTTCCAAGGTGAAGCAAGCCTTCCCTTTCAAGGGCCTCGTCTTCCTGGAGTACCTGTCGCTGGGCATTGGATTGGGGTGGATTTGGGGATTTGGAGCGGAGCCTGACATGCTCTTGGGCTCTTGGGCTCTTGGGCAGACGGGGCAAGCTCAGGATGGAGGTCGCCTACGGTGACCATCGGGAGGAGCACACAACACTGCAGGACATGGCGGCTGTGTGCTGCGCCATTATCTCTACACAGAGCCTCAGATGTTAACATGGTCTCCAAGATTTTTTGCCCGAGACCCCCAAAGCTTTAGAAGCCTTGACCTCCAGGACGTCCGGTCTTTGATAGTCCAGTCTCCTGGAAGGTTTGGGCTGAGAGGGGAGGCTTGTGCATGCCACTACCTCTGTCGGCCCTTAATAGAGAGTTATTTCTGCACTGCATGGGCTGTTTGCCAAGGAACGCCACCGACGCCAGCACTCCCACCGTGAACGTGGCTAGCGTGGTGAAGGATAACGCGGCGTTCGTCCATGCACTGTGCCTTGGGTTATGCAAGGACGTTTTGGTGGTTGTCATGGCTTGCAGTCGAAGGTTGTGCTAGAGGAAAAGTGAGCCCAGCTCATCTAGTCCGAGTTTGCGGTACGACTCGTAGTTAAAGTCTCGCATGCGCTCTGAGTCACATCACAGAACCGGAGCTCCAAGGGCCCGCGTGCCGGATCCGAAGATGCAGATCTGGCACTACCGGCTCTTGACGGGCTGGAGCCGGCGACCAAAGGCCGGGAGAGTCTAAATTGATGTCTGGAGTGAGTGTCTGCCCTTCTTGGTCCCTCTGCGTCATCGGGGCTCCGGTGCAGAGTACAACCCCCAATCCGAGCCTGCGTATTAGGGGAGGGAAACAGAGCTCTTCCCTTCATCGAAGCACTAAGCTGGGGCTTCTGGGAGTCTGGAACCATGGATATGGCGAGAGATTGTGCATTCAAGAGCTGTGCTGCAGTACTAGCACAGGAAGCAGGTTGACACCCCGAGTTCTGTTTCAGCTCTCAGATCAACAAGACGTTCCTGCCACGGGAGTAATTCGAGATTCCAAGAGCCGAGGCCGAAGAGCGGCACAAGGCCCTGCCAAAACTGCAGAGACTTAAACTGCGCAACGGACCGTTCAGATCGCGAACGATTTCTAACTCGAAATGTCTACGGCACCGGTCCGGGAGCAGAATGAAGTTGGACAGCAGCAAAGTAGCGCGGGACTCTGATCGAGAATGCACACTGCGCCACTGCGCGAGCCGCGGAAACGTCGCGTGCACCGACCGCAGGTGCCTTGATCACTCTTTTTTGCTCGTATCGTAACACTGTTTGGGGAAGCAGGCATGGATCCCAGACCAAAATCAACAGATCATCATTTATGTTTTATCACGGCTGTGCTTGTCAGGTCCTGGATGACCTGGTTGGAGATGGCGAAGCACTAAAGCTCCTTAGCGAATTCTTCGGGTCCTCGCAGCAGTGATGCTTTCGTGCGAGAAGCTGTTCCTTTGGTCCGGCATAACATGAAAGGTGTTTGAACTCGTATCAGGAAGGACAAGGGGTAAGCTCGTAGCTGTGAGGTACTTGTACTGGAGCTGGTTCCTCCCCATTTATTTCCCAGACTTGGTATGTTTATAGGCTTGATTGCGAAAGAAGCCTTGCTGTGTAGAGTTCTAGCGACATTCACGTTTATCAACAACTTCTTGAGTGTGACTGCGAGGAGACTGGGCTAGGCACAAGGCGTGTGTTCAATGTTTCCGTGTCCTCACTCCTAACATCCGAGATGCAAAAGTTTACGAACTCCGAACGAAGGGACTACAGGCATGAGTGAATGTTGCATCGCAGACACACTCAGCGAATTAAGTATGGCAGCGGCAACCAAGGTTCATCGTGGACCACCTTCTGGAAACGCACCTCTGTCGATACAGCGTGGTCATCGTTCACAACATCAGCATGCACCTCGGCGCTTCAAACACAGACCTTTCCAAGAACAACAGGCTTTCTTTCTGATGGTCCACAGCTGCAGCAGTTGAGTAGTTTTTGCCGAAATGCATCTAAACCAAGCAGCACAAGAAAGGCAGTGTCCAAACTCAGTCCTGTTTCACTTCAAAGGCAGAGTGCGGCGTTGCACGTGACTTGTGAACAACACGCCCAATTATCTGTTGCCTTCAACACGCTGTCAAGCCAGCCCCGACATTCAGAGGGGAAAGTTGCCCCGAAGGCTGCGGAGCGGCGCGCTGATCTCCAAAGAAGGACACCTTTCCACGATCTGTGAGGCCCACGGATCAAAGTCTTCTTTGAGAAATTATTGAGAAACTAGATGGTGGTGTCATGCAGCGATGTCAGTGTAGAGTTCAGATTCTGAATCTTCGCCTTAGCCTCGAAATCTTCAAGTGCGGCTCAAAGCACTTTGCATGGGAATCGCCGAAGTCCTTCCTGCAACGTCGGAGGCCTACCGTCAGCTCAAGCCTGGTGCTACACTGCACCGTGCGGACGAGGACGCCGAAGAGCAAGAAACCTGAGGGCTGCGAGGGTCCGGTCGGGTTCGTTCGAGCTTCAGAGCTGTGTTTTCATCCGGCATCAGCAGGATGCGCTAGAGACAGTGTTGAAATCAAGTACCCCGAAGTTTGAAGTTTGCATCTTGAGGAACGTGTACATACTACACGGCTCGATGATAACCTGCCTTCCGCTTGAAGTTTCCTCGCAATATTCGTTGTCGCTTGACTGCGCCGTCGCAGCGAGTCTGGAGGGTGATTCGTTGACCGTGCGCGATGTCACTGTTAAGCTGCCGGCATGCATGCGCAACTGACTTGTTTGTTGTGTCGCACTTTGATGAATCTGGTTGATACTGTTTTTTCGGACTGTGTGCGTGTTTTCTGGGGTTTCATGACTCGGAATGACTGATGGCCCTGGTTGTGGGATACTAGGAGTTGTTGTGAAAATGTTGAGCATGCTCCTGGCACTTGGCGGACATGGAGGGCCCGAGGTTGTCTTGGTCGAGAAGTCTTGCTGTCATGCAGACTGTTGTCCCGTTGTCTGAGAATGTGTGTTGGTGTGTGGTTGTAGAGTTGTAGATATTGCAAACCGGTGCGACGGCTCTTCAGTGGAATCGCTTGTTGGGTGGAGGTGCTCCGTTGTTGTCGGCGCAACCGCAGTGAGGATCAGCGGCGGCTCTTGCGCCGCCTCCTACTCGCCAGTGTACGAAACTGCTCCCCGACCTTTGCTACGGAGGCCGAGGGCCTCACAGATTCGGCGGCATTGGGACTCGAAGGTTTGGAGTTTCTTCCAACCACTTTGCTGCGGCAAAGCGCTTCGATGAAATCTGCTTTTGCCAGTTTAGCAGGAGTGTCGGACATCAGAAACAGGCACGGTCCAAGAGGGCCGCGAACCTGTTGAAGACTGAAGCCGAGGTTTGTGGAACTCGTCAGAGATCCACAAGGAGCTTGCGGAGAGCGATGCCCGGCACAGATTAGCGTGACGAAGCTTGACTCTCCAAACTTCTAATTGTGCTGGGATGTCAGATTGTTCTTGGCCAAGGACATGGGCAACATCATCCATCTGGTGTCGTGCGTGGAGGCCGAGCATGTTTCTGATGCTGAGGGAGATCATCATGTAAAGGAAAGCTAGCTGCTGGAAGGAACCGGACTTGCCGTTCTTCATGGCCATGAGCCCCGGCAACAAGTTCGCGGCTTTTGTATTCCGACGGGATCTTCCTCGTTTGTGCTAATCTTCGAAGATGGAGCGTGGATTGCTTAGAGTATTGTCGCGGAGAAGCATGCAAACTCGGGAGTCTGGTGTTGCGGTAGTAGAACACCTCTGTTCCAAAGTTCCAGCAAAGCACCCCGCAACTTTGCTCCACACACCAAGGATCATGTACATCTCGGAAGGCTGCAACATCAACCGTGTCCGGCAAGTCATGTACGGCCTCCGGGCTGCACAGCGGGTTGGACAGGTTCGCCCGGATGTGGACATGGACTGCTTGGTCAAGGCGGTTCAAGGATGCTCACGGATGAACAGGAACGTGGAAAGAGTTTGAGGCCTGTAGCTTGACTTCTTGACCATGTCATGGCATGTGCCATGACATGCCGTTGATGTGGGGCCAGGGCCAGTCTTTTGATGCGGCTCAGACTGTTGGGTCGGTGGGTGTGCAGCGACGCAACGTATACGGTTTGCTTAAATACATCCTCACAGGTTCAAGGTTCCATGCAATTCGATTGGCACCGCAGCTGCACCGAATTGCAATGTCCTGATCTTGAGCTCTTGCCAAGGCAACGCACAGATGCTGGAGCTCTTCGTCCGGTGCATGTACCAGCAGGTCGGACCCGGTTGCTTCTATCAGACACCTTTTCATGCTCCATCATGTTAGACTTTGACTTCAACCAGAATGATTTCAAAAGTCCGACAGGTCACTGCGTGCGTAGTGAACATGGATGCTCCGAAGTTCGAGTCCAGCCTATATGGCCTCATTACGGAAGAGGAGCCGGAAGCTGACAGCAATTGACAGCATCCGAAAGGGGTTCAGACAACGCCTCGGAACGCTGAAGACATGTTCGAGATGCTCAGAGGGACGTTTTCAGGGCTTCCGTCTTTCGGTTCGGCGCAAGCCGAAGGCTCTCAGCAACTGACTCTGCATCTCGACTCCCAAGCCTGAAAGCTGAAAGAAGTAAAGGACGAGACCTGTCCGTTTGCAGTTTTCCAGCTGCAGGAAGCACGGCGGGCAGAGCAATACGAGGCCCTGGTGGAGCACCAGGATGCCATCTCCTCAGCACCCAAGAGCCTCGTCTGTTGAGATCTGGAGCTGGTGCTTTTCGAAGGTGTTATATTTTGCTCTTGCATTGTGTTGCTATGATTCTTGCGAAGATTTTAATGACATTGGGCTGTGTATTGAGGCCTTCGGTTTGGAATTAGGGACTATCTCTTCAGCCCAAGAACCTGCTACCCACAACAAGAGCTCGAGATGCTTGAGCGCCGAACCGCTCTGGACACCCTCTCGCTGCCTCACTGCCTCCCTCGTTCCCTTCCCGCAGCTCCCAGGAAGCAGACGGAGGCCTACAAGAAGCTCCTTGCTATCCCGGGCTCGCCGGCCGCCCGTGGATTGGGGAAGACCGCAAGCCTCTACCAGAGGCGACTTATGCTCTGTTTCGGGTGGGACGCTACATTGACTTCTTGAAGTGTCAGATTCTGTGTCAGTCTGCTGAATTCAACCCGGACCCACATTCGACCTGCCTTAGCCGATGTGTTGGAACAAGCTAGACCACAAGGGACCCTATGGCAACTTCTACTGCATCGGAACTTGCAAGGAGCCGGCGCAAGGGACTCCATCCTGTCTCAGCGGCATCTTGGCAGTTGTCGGCTGCGACTGGCCGTAGCCGTCCCTGACCGTAAACCTCAATGAACGCTCTGAGCCTGCAGACTTCAGCATTGGAGTTCCGCACCGGGCGAGGGGCGGCGCTGCAACTTTCAAGTGTCAAATCTCCAAGGCGAAGGGCGAAATCGGATCGTCGCTGGGCGGCGGCGGTGGTGGCCGCAAGTTCTCGGAGGCCTTGGTCTGGGATCCAGATACAACTGTAATGTGATGGAACAGTTTCATGATGCACGTCTGTTCCATTGGCGTCGCTGCATGCCATCGCCACTATCCTCCTTGATGCTAGTCTTCGGGCCTTAGGCTCTTGAATCCTTCCAGGCAGTATTACCGAAGTCCGAGACCGAGATAGACCCAACAAGCCTTGACATCTTCAGCAGGAAGACTCGTGATCTTCTACGCTTACCCTGCCAACACGTCATCCCAAACAGACTGCTCTCAATTCGATGTTGGTCTCAAGTTGGGGACACTTCGGGCATGGTCCCAGTCGTGACTCTGCAGGTGGAGGAGAGGCGCGGGCAGCAGGAGTTCCTCTACTTCTCTGCCGTGGAGCTGCTGACCTTCGGCACCTTTGCTGGGGATGCTTGGCGATGTTGGCGCGCCGGCACTTGCACTTGTGCAGAACGCTCCGTGGTTGGACTTAGGATGAGCATGACCAGAGGGACCCTCCCCCCGAGGAGGCCGAGCCACACAGGCCAGCTTTGGGGCTCAGCGAAGTCGAAGCGACCTTCCTCTCACTTTCTGCTGTGCCTGGAGGCCGGAGGTTGTCGAGGCGTTGCATGCAGCCTTCAGCAAGTCTCCTGGACAATTTATGCGGATCTTGATCTTGTACCGTGAGATCGGAGTTCGGCAGCTCGTTTTGGTAAGGAAGCATGTCGGATAAGACTGTTGGTATCAGGCATTAGTGTGATTCACGGTGGCGGAATAAGCTGGTTGTGAAATCGAAGATGATTCGAGTCTGTTGATGCATCTACGACGATGTAAGAACGACTGCTTTGACCAGCGCATATGACGAGAGCTGTCGAGGTTCCCGATGGCGAAGTACCTCAAGAACTTGGCAGAGCAGGTAGCCCCGTCCACTCTAGCTGAACTGCAAACTGTCCCATACCTTTGAGGCTATCTGTCCGTTCAGTCCGGGGAGTTGAAAATATTCCGAGGATGCAAATGTGTCTGCGAGCGCGGCCGGATCACCACGGGGGTGGGCAGTTAATGTCCCTGGATCTACAGACTGGTGCTCGGGTTGGTCGGCTGCTTCCGGGAATGGGAAACCTCTGCTTGAAAGAAATCTGCAGTCTGATTTTCCAGCTTTCCCCCTGCCGAAAACCACGATACGCACTTGGTACACACTTGTGACGGGCAGGTGCAAAATCACAAGAACCTCAAGGTGGTGCTGTCAGACATGTTCGTGCACGTAACAACCAAATTCCTGTGGCACTGCTGGACTCAGTGTCTCGGCTGCATCAACTGGGTCTAAACCTTGTTGCTTTGGATGTCTGGTTCAAGGACGCAACGAGTTGCCGATCTGACGTTGCAGGAAGCTTTAAGCTTGGCAGGCCACCACCCTGGAATTTCAGCCCGCGGGCCCAACGGCCTGTTCGAATTGTAATGCAATTCGACATGCAGCGTTCTCCGGCACTCAGGCCTATCTTTAAGAAGTACCTCGACACTCCGGCAAATTTGCAGATCATCGCACAGCTGATCCCCTTCTTCATCAGTTGGCCGAACCCGGACGTTCAAAACATGATCGCAGAGGCACGGAAGAGTTCGGAGTTCCCGCCGTGTTGGGGTAAGTCTGGGGGATTTTGGGCGTGGGTTCAGCAGAGCGAGCGTAAGATTGCGGCTTGAATGTGGTGCTCACCTGAAAGGTCTGCCTGTATGGAGGGCTCCATCGATTTACTTCTGTCTGCGACATTCTCATTGCCGAGTATCGGGAGTACCCGGAGCCGTGGCGGTCAGCTTACACGAGCAAACACCGACACTGCAGGTAGCAGAGAAGACGTGGCGGCTTTTCAGGATTGAAGTACCCTCAAGGGTCCTCAGCATCTGCAGTTTCTTCATCTGCACCACAACCACCACCGCCACTGTACACCATCCTCATCCTCATCCTCATCCTCATCCTCATCCTCATCCTCATCCTCATCATCGCAATCAAAAGGAATGATGCGGATCCCGGTGAGAAACAGCCCCGAGGCTTCATCGGCACAAAGCCCCCTCTGACATGTTCCAATGTCCTGACCGCCTGCTTTCCGTCGGATCACTTGTAGGTTTCCATGCCTCTCTGACAGTATCCAAAGGGAATTCTTCCCCACTGTAGCGTACGTAGCGAGGTTCATACATCTTGCACCTGCAATGGTTTTGTGGGCATTTGGGGTATCCGCGCAGGCAGGCTTCCTCAGGCGGGCAGATTCCGCTTTGATCGTGTTCTAGCAGTGAATGTGGGCACTGCCGCAACAAACAACTGGTTCTACTTGTGACAAGGGGGAAGCTGGATTAAGCGATGATTTTAGGGTTTAGGGTGTAGGTGCGGCCGGCATGCGAAGTTCGCAAGCGCAGTTATCCGCACCCGTTCTCGGGCGACTGCGGATGAGAATCGGATAGAAGGCTTGCCCTCAACCAAGGAACTCTCGTGCGCTTTGCTTACACGCTGCTTGATCAGCCCCATCGAGGAGACGGGGCTGAAGCCCAAGCAGGCGCGGAATCCCTTGTTGGTATGATGAATCTGCCGACAACCACCCCCTCAACCCCAGCATTGCGACGTGTAAAAGCCGAAGTTGTGGCCAGTGCAACAGCGACGGCAGCCTGAGACGAAAAGAAGAAGAATTGAAGAGGAAGAAGCGCGTAAACCGAAACGAAAAGTCATGAAGCATGGGCCAATCTTACAGAGAGCAGAGTACTGTTTGAATCGAAGCCCGAACAGCCTTGAGGAATGATGTGCAGGCACGGTACAAGCAGTAATCGTAGGCTTAGGTGGAGTGCTGGGACTGCAAACGAGGCCATTGGCTTCCTGCGCATCTTCGTCTGCTTACTTCAGGACGGGGCTTCTCAGATGCGACTCCGATAGAAGGAGACGCGGATGAAGTGATTCTTTTGTCCTTCGGTTCCTTTAGATGAAGACAAGGTGCAATGCAGAGAGCAACCCGGCAGAGTCCGGCAGAGCTTTGGCCTTGGAGGAGCGTGCGTTGAGCCACACCGGGCTGAAGCGATTGGCTGTGGGCTTGGAGACAGCTCTGGTCATGGACAACCCGAAGGCTCAGTCTGTTTTTCGGGCGGTAAAATACCGTTTCGCTTGAAGCCCTCGCCCAGCCGAAGCCACGAAAAGTCCAGCAGGGACTCTGCGGCATCCTCGCCCAACGTGAGCACGAGCTCCTTGCAGAGCTCTTGGAGGCCTCCTGCCCGCTGTGTTCCACTTGCGCAATTTCGCGCGGTTCTGTTGTCAGTCTGCAAGTGCTACACCTTTGCTGTTTGCTGGTCTGGTGCTCGCCGGTTCAGGGCCAGTGGCTGCCTGCATGGTTCTGATCACATGAATTGGCACAGGGAGCGTTCGGCACCTTTCGCACCAAGCCCTTGTCATAGTGTAGCCGTTTAGGAACTGGTCGTTCTTGAAACTTGGGGCTATGAAGCCAGTGAGCCTTCCAGAGGCATTGTCGCAGTTCAGCGAGTCAGCTCGCATCTCAGTTGAGCCGCAAGTTTCTCTTTCGGGATCTTTCGGGCCTGCAACTTGGGGTCTGGGCTTGCAAGTCCAACTTCCTTGGAGCTGTTGGGGCAGTGGGGGAAATGTCCAAGCAGATTCGCCCCAGCTCGCTGGAACTTCTCTGGCTAGCATTCTCTTAGCATTCTAGGAGTCAGGTGGCAGGTGCACGCAGGACTGTTTCTGAGAAGTACCGCCAAGTCCACAGGCTGCCGTGAAGCAGTGCATGGTTGTGGCACTGACGAGAACTGTGGGCAAGCACTACAAGGTGGCGTGGAGGGTTTTTGAAGCTGCACAAAAGGAGACGGAGGCGGCAAATCTGTGTTGCCTCTTTCCGCAGCCGTCTCAGCTTAACTTCTGCAAGCAACTGTCGGGATGAGTTTGAGTGCGCCAGGCATTGCCAGAGCTGGACGACTTCATCTTGTACACCGATCGCATTTGGAGTGTAGGTGTCGTGAGTGTGGTGAACTTCTCTGAACAACGCGGGTTTGGAAGATTTCTTTAGAAGATTCGGAGACGGCGAATCTTTGATGCAGCTTCCTAGGCGCATCTTGGACATGTCGGTCCCTCTGCTGGATGCCGAGACGCGCCCTTAGCTTGACTCAGGTCCAACTGTTGCTCCCGTCATGTTTCACTGCCGCAGGATTTGAGACAGCAGCATGCAGTGAATGCGATGCGTCCTTGGCTCGCCACTGTATCCGACCGAAAATTTGCTCAAGAGATTGCACATTGGCGTGGCACGTATTAGGGCGAGGGCGCGAGGCGGCTTAGGTTCTCCAAGGCTCACTTCACCTTTCGATCTCCCAGGTTTACGCTCTACATGCCCGTGCTCTACAAGGTGGCAAGCGAAGGTGGGCGACGCGCGACTGGATCGCAAAGACCTTGAAACTGTAGCCAGCCCCTCTGATTCCTTGCCCATTTCTTGATGGCTCGTCGTCAAACGACTAATGTTAGATGACGAGGTCTTCCTCCGAACTTGTAGGATGCGACCGCACTTCAACCCAGCACAGCATAGTTTGAGTCTGGATTTTCGGCTGTTTCTCCGAAGGAAAGCCTTGATGATCCAGTGTACTGCAGTCTCGGTCTCCCAGGTTCAGGGGCCGATGCTCACACGACACATTCATCTTCGAGTGGCCCCGACCTTACAGTCGTTCTTATTGACGTCCTCTACAGGCCGGGGAGTGCCTAACAGCACCAGGTGCATGCACATGGCTTGGTTGGAAGACGTGTTGCCTAAGTCGAGATTGCTGGCTAGCTGACGGCTTCACGGCTTTGCCAAGGCCCGACTTCTGGAGCAGGCCGTGGTGCGGATCCCCAGAAAAGGGCTGCACGCGAGCTTTACGCTTGGTTGAAAGCTGAGGCGGGGCTGGAGGCGGACCAGCACAGCCCTCGGACGGGAGCAGGGCAGTGGGGGCAGATCCGGGGGCTTCATAGGAAGGGAAGAGGGTTGTGGGTGTAGGTTCCCCAAGCTGCTCCACGTGAGCTAATGAAGCTTACTACTGCAGAGGGGGTTGGGATGATCCGAAGACTGCACTCGAGGATTATGGCATGCTTTTACCTACATGGGCTGGCTGCCAGTGAGGATTCAAGTTCGTTTGCCGTACTGATCCAATGATGTTACTGCGAGGTGTCCTTGGTTCTCGCAATACATGTCAGGCACAAGATCGAGGGCTATAACGATGAGGACCGTTGGCAGTCAGGGTGCCAAATGCTTTCTTGTTGGCGCAAGATTCGGTCATATGCATCTGGTGCAATGGATCGCGCGGGACAAGCTTCAAGAACAGCTAATCGTCTGAGCAATGACAGGTGTGCAGGGTGTGAGGCCAGCTCTCACACAGTAAAACAAATTTCGGGCGCAGGACGAGGAGGCCCCGGCGGTGGTGGGGCCGAAGCTGGACAGCCGTGGCCGCATGCAGCTGGCCACCCGGAGAGGGTTTCGGAGTTCCCCTTGCTGATAGGGAGGCTGTAGAAGCTCACGATGGTGGCTTACCATCACAGCAGTACTCTGTTGGGGCAGCTTCTTGCATGTGTTGTGCCGTACCGTCCTCAGCAGGAGGAGTTCCAGGAATAATTTGAGAACCACTTGCCAAGGTGGTGCTTGGCTTTCCTCACCGCTCTTGCAACGGTGCAGGCGCTGGGTTGCGTGTCCACATGCAAATCTCCCAGCCTTAAGTAGTAAGGAAAGGACTCTGGAGCCCCATGCTGAGTTTCAATGACTTGAAACATGGTCAGTCAAACCTTGCCTGACGTCCAGCCGTGGCTATGCAAACGAGGAACCAACTTAGTCACAGTGCTTGGCACTGCTAGTAAGGGGTGTCCAACAATGAGGTCCAGAGTGCTGAGACTAAGTGTGCACAGGATTTTTGGACACCGGTGACACCGGCACACCGCGTGCTTTAGAGTCATGAAAGCATGAACACGTGCACATGATGGTGGAGCCTGTGTCGTTCGATGTCTGACTGCTGCAAGCGCTCTCGCTGCTGTCATCTGAAAGGTCGGCATCTGCTGTCGTCGCTGTGTCTTTCAAGTTCTTGGCCATGGCTATCTTCCTTGCAGCTGCTGATGTGCTGTTGTTACGAAAACCGATGAGCGCCGCATATGGTTGTCGCAGTATGTTGGTCCCGTTGACGACGGAGGCTACAAGGGTGCTAGTACAAGGTCCAGGTGACGATGGTGACGGTTGCGAGGATGGCATTTTCCCCCGGCTGCCGTCTTCGAAAGACCAGTTTCATTTCCATCATGACATGCTCGGCGTTTGGGTTTCTGGAGCAAGTGAAGGTGAAGCCCAAGACAAGCCTTGCTGAACCTTTTGCATCACTCCCGAAGCATGGCCCGCTGCTGATTGCCAGCCGGTGGCAGGTCAAGGATAGCAGTGGCTCCCAGGAAGTCTTCCTGGAGAAGGCGACACCAACCGTGGTAAACGACGGGATGTTCATCCCATGTCTAGGCCCAGGCGCTGTAAGCCCAGCCGGCATGCGCTATCGCACCAAGCAGCTTGCAACAGACAGGGTTTCTGTGCATCGATGCTCAAAGGCATCTTCGGTGTCAGGCTCAGTCCATTCACTTCGACTCCTTCGTTTGCGTCGACCTGCTGCCAATGTGCCTCAGCTGTTTCGTGCGGAGAACAGTTGGGGGTGAAGCACTGGCAGTGATAGGTAGTCCTTCCTTCAAGGAAGGAGGAAGAGCCGCATGCACGAAAGATATGTTTTCCGAGTCACTCTAGGCGAACCATAGGGAGTTCAGTCAAAGGGCAGGGGAGGAGCGCACAAGGGGAAGGAAGGAGGTCTGGTCTCTTCTGACTTGCATGCCTTCAGCCCCCCAATCAAATCCCAACTCTACGCGAGGTACTTGTTCGCATCCTCTGTGCAACCCTGACTCTGTGCGAGGCTAGTTCGGATTCTGCGCCAGTCACCCGAGCCTTTCGAGGCCTGGTTTCCTTGATCCCCAGGTCACTTGACAGGGGTAGGTTGGATGTCAAGAGTTTCACCTTGCACTGTCCTCATTGATGTTTGACTCAGACAGGGATGCTTTTGTTTTGGAAACTGCTTAATTCAACAGCGGAGAGATCCTTCGCACTATTTGCTTCTGGGATCGGGTACATTCGAGGTTTGGCCGTGTACTACCTAAACCTTCAACAGCCGGGCTTGCCACAGAAGGTTCTCTCATGCATGCTATCCTTCAACATCCGCATGTCACATGCAAGCTTTATTTCAGAACCATCCGGTCGTTGATGCAGAGGCATTGGCCGTGTGCTTCCTACTGAGCTCGGTGAGCACTTCGCCGAACCCTCAGCGCTCGTATCGGAGACCCTGTCAACGGTGTGAAGGCCTTCTTCCAGGAATCAGGTGTTGTATTGATTCCGCAGAGGTTAGTGCTCCGTGTGCATGTTGGTAGCACTTCCGACGTGGATTTCCGCGGCTGGGCCACAATTTCGCTGAGCTCCCAGGCCCGCCCGAACTTTCCCCATCTCTCAGGCCCTGCTTGCCACCGCACATGCCGGACGTTCTTCGAATCTCGGAGCAGGGCGCTCAGCTGATTCGAGCCGCGTCGCCGTTGAGGCATCCGCAGGTCATAGTCTGGACTCCTGGGCGAATCTGGTCATGAGTGTGGCGAACAAGTATTCGAGGGGACGTGAATACTAATCTTGCATGCTTGCGAGTCTTCTCGAAATCTTCTCGCTGAAGCCGCTCAACTCTATGACTCTATGTGTGTCGGACGATCGGAAGCTTAGTTTGAATCGAAAGTCCATGCGTCCCAGGAAAGCCTTCCCCTCGCTGCTATCAGCAGAGGCGCGATCTTTCCTGTGGAATAGTCTTGCCAGATGCAGCATTTGTGCAGGCACGAGCATCAGGAGGTCAAGCGCAAGGGCTGGAATTCGAAATGGAGCAGCAAAAGCCCGAGGACACTACCAGACCAGATGCATTGCTGATGCCAGGATGGAAAGTGCGTCATGCGGTAGGCATCGCCGATGACTGATGGGTTGCCACTCTGCCCTGTGAGGACACCACCTGGAAGCATCTGAAGATACCTCAGCTCAGCCGTCATGGGCCCAAAAACATTCCGAACGAATGGGATTAGCCGTATCAGTCTCAGGATTGTTGCGTAACGAGATTTCAATTCGCCGGCTTCGTTGGTGGTTCATGAGAAGAAAAAAGGAGCGTGATCAGAAGTTTAGGTACACACACACACACACACCCAATCGACGTTTCCGAACTTCAAGCCCATGTCGGTGATGGCCACCTGAAATAGTTGCAAACCTCCAAGGCCTCCTCAAGAAAGGGTCTCAATACGGAATCAGGGTCCTTCTGAGAGCCTGCTCCTTAAGGCATCGAAGCCGGAATCCGCCGCTGCTTCATCCACCTCTTGTCTCGGGCAGCCCACGTGTCGAGCGCTTGGAACGGGTTGGTTAAATCTTGGCTTCTGCCTGTTACTGATGAGGGGCTTTCCTCGTGCCAGTTGAACCAAGGCCGAAAGGAAACGCGTGTGTCTAGCCCCCAGTGCGCAGTGCTTTGAGTTCAAGTGCCTCTGTCATCAAACTGTTGTAAGTACTGTCACGCTAACGTTGCGGCTCCGACTCCAGCTCCAGCGACTTTGATGTGGCCTCAGCCTGCTCGAGCCGCCAAGTTGCTGAACAGCCACGCTGCATGGCACTTCTTGACAAGCCTTGCGTCGGAGTCCGGACCCCGGGAAGAGAGCCCATGGCTTCAACAAGCCCTTTGTGCTCCATCTCATGTCCAGTTGCCTGCTTGCTTTGTTCGAATTCCAGACTAGTCTTGCTTCTAGGTCTTGGGTGGCTTGAGCGGCCTCCGAAGCCCGACAACTCAAATTCCACCTTCCCTGCGCTCAGTCCGGACCTCTACGGCGACCCGGGGGCGTGCGTGCATGCGAAGCCCGCCTTACCTGGTTCAGGGAGTTTTTGCGCAATCCTGCCTACTGCCAAAAACCAGTGATGCGGGGATGGCAGGGTCTATGCCTTGGCCTTCCTCCTGCAGCGTTTTGACGACCACAAGCTCATGATCGAGCTTGGTGGGGGCCTGATGCGCGGTGCGATGCCCGCATAGCTTTGAATGGTTCGCGGCGATCAGGTCTCATGGAGCGGCTCCTAGAAACCAAGGCCGAGCCCTCAGATTTATGATCCCACTGAAGCATTCCATTTAACAATACGATGCTTACTAAAGTTTATTGCGGAGCTCCAAACGCTTGCCGTGCCTGGTTGAATGAACCAATCTGCATGCGGTACACATCCTGTAGGGTATCTACACGACTTGTGCCAGCAGTACCCGGCGTGTATAAGCAAGAGCACTAGGTTCCGGGAGACAGGAGACTGCATCATGTTCTGCCGGGGACCAATGCCTGCCGTAGGACCAAATCAAGCAAGAGATGCCACATCGTATCCAAGAGCCCGGCTCCGAGAGGGATGCATTGGATGCATGCAATGCCTGCTACACTTCCGCTCGGAGACTGATTCGAGCCGAGGCCTGACTTACCGGACCTGCGACTTCCCTGGGCCTGCACCCAAAACCTCTTGAGGAATCGTTCGTGGCGGTCAGGTTCATGGTCAGAGAGTCGGGAGTTTTTAGTCTTGCGGAGCGCAGCTGTGCAAGCTTTCTTCCTGGTCCTGAAGAGTCAAGAGCTTGCGACTGAGATCCACTGCGTTATCAGCTTGGTCCTCCTCTCAGGCTGGGGCAGGGTTCGTGGTTGCGGCTTGGATTTCAACGACAGTTGGGGTGTAACGCAACAGCACGTGTGCGTGTAGGAACAAGCTGCTTAAGCGGTCGGTGGAGCAGTTTCGCGGCCCGACCACATGTTGAGTTCCCCGTTGCGCCTTACACCTCTCCTCCGCTGGCTTCGACTGGCGCGCCCTCCGCCTTCGCCGCTGTGGCCGCCTTGGGCGACTCCGAGACGACTTCACGGCCCTCGGCTGAGTCTTTGACCCGGTGGAAGTGGCGGTGGCTAGGGGGTCAATGCTGATGCCGTGTGCAATTCCGGCCCCGACCCGTCGGTCGCCGCAAGCCTCGTTCGGACAGCCTACCACAAGCCACAGCAGCGGCGTCCTTCAGTTGTCCACGAAGATTTATGAGCAGCTTCGCGGGATTGAGCTTCAGCCGATGCTGGGAACTGGATGGGACTGACCGCCGCCTCCTTTGCAAGTTGAGCCTCTGACGACCTGCCTCTCCCTCCACGACGAAGGGTTGACGAGTCATGCAGGGCTTCGACTTGGGCGAGTTCGAGGCCCCGGACCAGATGACCACTGGTCCAGCGCAGATCGGCCACCATTTGATGGGAGCGCCGGCGCCTGGTGGGAGGCTGTGGCGGGCGGAAGCGCGCACCCAGGGCGGTGTGCCCGGCCGGACACAGTTCGCGCTTCGATGATCCTTGTCGGGTTTGCCCCGCCGCTCCTTCACCCAACCATCCATCCCTCCTCCCATCCATCGTCCTTGCCTCCGTCCGGCCATCCTCTTTGTTCGCGTGTCCAACCAAACACCCAATGTCATCTCCAAATATCTGCCTGTCGGAGTCTATCGGTCATCTGAATCATCTGTTTGTCTCTCGATCTAGCTTTCTGCGTTGTGGCAAGTCTGCGGGGTCAAAAGCCATGCTAACCGGCGGACAGGTCCCAAACTCTTCGCCGGAGCGAGCCTCAGTCTTCCGGAGAGTGTTCAGTTTTCAGGTTCATACCAGTAGTGCTTCGAGCTTCGCATGGCTTGACCCTGACAATATCCCGAGTATCCTGAACATGTGTTTCATCCCGATCCAGGCAGCAAGGGCCGCGAGTTTGAGCAGCTTGTCGCTGGTGCGCTAGACTTCGCCAACGACCTGCAATTTGAAGGCAGAGCTTGGAAACGCAAAAATTTACAGCAACAGCCATCGAGTGAAGGGTTGTGCAGGTGAAGCCGTCACGTTAATTCACATTGCAGGGCATTCGTGGAACTTGGTCTCATGTTGGCTCTACTGAGCTGCGAGGCAGAAGCAAGATCCAGCGGGAGATGCCTGGCCTGGCAGGGATCTCATAGATGCCGGTTGCGGTTGTATGGTGCCCAAGCCGGTATTTAGAGGGTTCATTACGTAAGCCATTCTTCGTGAACGTACTCCAAGCCACAGTGCCCCGACTTTCCCTGAACCGTTGCTATCGCTAACTGGCAACAAGCCCCGACGATGCCGACTCAGGTGTTCAAGCTTTGCATGAACCTTGTGGAAGTCCCTGCCGTTGGTGCATTGTCGCGGTGAGCCGCAATCCAAGCAAGCTGAGGCGTTGGACCTCGAATGCCAGCAGGTGGGGAGAGCGGGTGTGTGTGTGTGTGTGTGTGTGTGCGCCTTCGATGTAGCACCCCTGCATAGTCTCTCGTCCGTGTCACTGTCTCAGGATCGTCCAGCCGTTCCAATCCAGCTTAACTTGGATCCTCAAGCCGGCAAGTGGATCAGATATTCCAGTGTGCACTTCGCTTTTCGCATCTTTTCGCGCTTTCGCTGCTCATCAGGCACTGGGAGCTGCAGTGAGCCCAGAGAAACTCTGGTAGTTAGGCGTAGCTGTCGATCCGCAATGGGTGACCTTCTTCCGCTGTGGTGCCAACATGATTGAAGAGTAGAAGATGCGGCTTTCATGTGACGGCAGCACATCATTACGGTGGCTGCCATGGGTGCAGATGGGTGCAGAGCAACCCCGACCCGAGGCGCTGGCGCCATTCAGCACCAAAGTCGCCCACTTCGCGAATCTGAAGCCGAAGTCGCTCGTCGATGCTTGGGCTGCCTGCGAGTTTAAAGAATCCTCCCGGCGACTGAAACGGCTGAGCGGTTCGTCATCCAAATTGGTAAATATTGTCCTTGCCAAAGAAGCACAGCCATGCTCTGCCCTTGAATTCCACGCTGCGATTCCGATAGCCTGAGACTCTGCTCGGCGGAGCTCTTGACGAAGCCCTAGGAAGGTCAACAGGCAAGATGCTGTAAGGCGAACGCTGTAGGGCCCAGCAGTAACTATGATTGCGACGCAAGGTTCACGCTGTACTTGCTGGCCCTCATCTGCAGCGCCTGAACCTCATCTCTTCGCAAAGTCTGTCTCGCTGCAGCAGCTTTGCCCCATTCAACATATCCATTACAATCGATGTTTTTAGGATATGAAGCCTCTTGAAGCAGGTCTGAAAGGCATAAGGGTCGGGTGAACCTGCCGATCTGAGGAGGTAGTTCCTAATTATACTGACACTAGCGACACCTTAGACACCTTAGGGTTCAATAGCGACAGCTTAGCCTCTCCAGTAATCATACAGAAGCCTGGAGTCGTTAAGCCGCAAACAGCGACGCCTGCGGCCGGCGTCTTTACGCAGAAGCATAGAGGCGCCCAACAAGGCTGTAGTCAGATAGTTTGCCCGAGGGAAACCCATGCGACCATCCGGACGCATGTCTAAATCCCGGCAGGCACATCCTCATGAAACGAAGCGAGTGGTGTGCTGTGGCTTGTAGCTACATCATACTTCTTCACACGTTAGTTAAATCTCTAGATCTAAAGCTCGAATCACGAGCACGAAACGTCACTGAACGCCACAAGATATGCTAAACTGATCCAACGAACTTTACCATCCTGGCGCCTGGTGCAGAATGTCAAACACATCATGGAGTATGGAATGCAGCTAGTGAAACCATCTGCTATGCTTGTCATCTCCGAGGCACCGACACTCGGGCTCCGACAGCGTGCCTGTGAATTCCTCACCGAGATGCTGACGAAGGGACAGCAGCAGCAACCTCATTTCGCTGTAGGATCCTGCATTGTGAAATGCCGTGAGATTCGCGGGCAAAGTAAGCGAAATGTGGATTGGCAACGCACAGTCACTTTGCACACTGAGGACTAGTCTTTTGATTTGAGGTTGTCTTGCATGGTCGCGGTTCCTGAAAGCACAATTCACTCCGCAAGGTTTGTTGTGGTGACGCCATGAGAGTCTTGAGGCCGTCCTGTTGCCAGGGATGCCTCAAGGACCTAGAGGGCCGTAGAGCTGATCGCTTTGGCAATCTTTGGCGCTTTGGCAATCTTTGGCCTCAAGGCCACACCTCGCTGGCGCAGCCTTCTTGAAAGCAAACTGCCGCAGCCCCACCATGGGTTGAGAGGTGTCCAACTTGTGTCTGGAGCATCACAAAGCCAGAGCTTGTCGAAGGGAGCTGTGATCATCTGCAAGTGTGCCTGTTTGCGACGAGGGGATGACTGAGAGCGTCAATTCCTTGACCGGGCTGAACCCGAAATCCGAAAGCAGCACCCCGCACTCAGGCTTGGAGAGCTTCCGACGGATTTTGACAGGGCCGCTGGATGTGCTGATCTCAGCCGGGCCGGGCTTTGCCCTGCAGGTGTTGGACGAGCGTTTTCGAGGGCAACTTTTTGTCTGCATCGCCCCGCCTCACCTCCAGCAACCGAAGCTAAGGAGCTGGCAGCGTCCACATCACAGGCGATGATCGCCTTAGCATCCTCCTGCTATGCGCGGTCCTTAAGTGGCTTTTCTCGAGCTAGGCAGAATTGCATATCCACCGAGTGACCTTGGAGAATGAGAGCCAGAAGAGCACGGACCCTTCCCTGATTTGTTGTCCGACGATGCCCAAGACAGGGAAAAACAGCCTTCAAGCGGTATGACAACTTGCACAACAGAATATCATCCAAGCTACAGGTTACTTGCTTCTCTCGCTTCTCCGTGAGCTATCTTGATAGGTTTGCCATGTCGGCAGTTGAGCGGCTTCAGGAAACCCGTTAAACAACACGGCTTATGACGGAATTGCCAGGATGTCCATGCCCACATGCTGCAGATTTTGGACACGGCCGCAGGCTCAGCAGGAGAACTCAGGTGAGATGGCATACGGTCAGAAGGTCAAAGAAGTCCGAGGCAACAGCTCCGAGCTCCCAAAACCCAGGGCCTAACATCGTACAACTTCATCCGGTCTAGGTCTTGACTGTCGTTATCGATGCCAAGCAGCAACCCGCCCGACTTTGAATCTGATGCATCTGAAGGTCCTGACGGCTATCGGAAGCCCATCTTCAGGTGCCGCCAGAGCCGCCAGCTCGGATTCTCCTCCGCAAAGCTGAATCCTTCAATCGGCACATCACTGCGTCAGAGACCACGAAGAAGCGTGCCACAAACTCAATGTCTTATGGGCCGGGCAGCCCCAGGTGATGTCGCTGTCCGAGCTCTTCGTGGCGCGCGGCCTCAGACGGTCTCATGCCTCTTTCTGAAATTAGGCCCTTGGCTTGCAAGTTTCGGGTGATATTTTTCGAAGTGGAGAAAGTATCGCAACGAGGATTTGCTAATCATTGGCTGCGGGTTAAGGGGATGGCCCGACCAGTAACCAGAAATTAAGGCTCTCAAAGGCCGGGCACTGATCCCTCAGCTCCCGCCACAAGAGAGTCCCGAATGTTGCAGTTTTCTTGCATGTTGTGAAATGTTTCAGGGACTGACTGCGACGCGAACTGCAGAAGCTGGAGCCTGAGCACCTTGAGCTCCGACTGGGGCGCCGCTCACTTGTGAATCGGTCTCGAAGCGACATGTCTAAGCTGGGGCCTGCTACCCAAGGCAAGCCAAAGTCCTGAAGACCGCTCTCCTCCCGCCGTTTCTGTTCGAAGCATCTACTCGTAGCTAGACAGCCAGAGCTAGAGCTCAAGTTATCACATCGCAACAGATGCAAGGTGTGAGCGCTCCCCCAACTGCAGGGATGCCGATTCCCGATGCACCCAAGCAACGGCTAAGGTTCTGAATGCCGCCGGCTGAGTCGTCAAATATTCGGGTCTGGATGATCATTACCAGACATGGGGGCCAGGCCCAGAGGTTTTGGGGTGTGCGGTTTTGTTTAGAGTTCCTGCTCACGCCCTCAGGCAGGTGAAAACCAAAGGTATGAGATTTCTCCGAACTCTGCATCTTACTGTACATCTTTGCATCGCATCTATGCAGTCTCGCGGCCCAGGCCTCAAGCTTTCCATACAAGCATCGCGACACCCCAGCAAGTCCACAGCTAACGTTCCTCCGCCACCTGCCACACACCAGCGTCCAGCCATGAGAGAGATCCCGGTCCTCCCCCAACCTTTGCGATCCCAAGGTGCGCATGATACGTTGCTGATGTAACGATGCCCCTGAGTTTCTTTCATCGCTCTTCAGCCTTGAGGCATGAAGGCCTTCATAAAAGGGTAGTCTCGGAGCCTAAGCCTTACTGCAACAAGTGTCTACGACGTCTACGTCCTACTGAGGGCATCCTGGAGATGCCCAGCGTGATGCCTTTCCTGGGCCTGGCCCGCTCGTCTTACTCTGCGCGCCAGGGTGCCCCAGCCCGATCCGACACGAGACTCAGAGTTGTAGACTTCCTGGTCCTGAAGTTCTCAGATCCCCAGCGCTTCGGAAAGCTCCATAAGCTTGACTGGAGATGTGCTGCATCAGCTGAGGCCGAGACTTGGTGCAGAAGTGGTCTTGCGCTGAAAGGGCCGAGATGCTTTCCCGATTTGTGGGTCTGTGGGAGCCCAGCGGGAGCCATCCGGGCCGAAATTTGCCGAGGCTCGAAGCATTTGGCTCTTCCCTTTACGAGCTTGATGAGGCTCTCCATCTCTGTTGCAAGCCCGAAGGTCCGGGAGCAGGCAAAGAGAACTGATACTCACGCGCGTGCAAGCTGGCTTATTGGCCATCGAAACCAGCCTACCTTGTGCAGATGCGAGGGTGCACCGTGCATGCACTTCGATGCCAAAGTGATGGCCTGTTTCTGATAGATACTCGATGGTGTGTCTGTGCATTTCATGCGGCAACGCACGAGCTCGGCTACAAGTAGGTAGACGGCTTCGTTCTTAGGTTCCCATGTGACAGAAGTATACAGGATCTTCGGACAGCTTCGTTTTTCTATTCGAACCGGCGGACTGCTTGGATCAAAGCAGCAGCTTCGCAGGTGTCCGAGGTCTTCTCCAAGTCCACTCTCCAAGGGCTGCTTTACGTCTCGGCACGTACGTCCCGCCAGTCTTCGTGGGTTAGCAGGGGAGCATTTCGCAATCTTCCTGAAGGTAGGTTCCTCGGCCAGCTCTTCAATTGAGTTGCGGTCTTTGCAATTGCAAAGCCTGAAGCTAGCCGCGCATCCGCCGCCAACTGACCGCCGCTGCAAGTCGCTGGCCAGGCAGCACCTTGGACCCTGAAGAGGCCATAAGTTTCCGCAAGGTGCTGTCCGGCCCTCGGGCCCAGGGCTTTCAAGAGGGGAGCTGCCAGGCATTGACCTGCGCCGTGGTAGGGGCAGGGCATTAGTGCAATGCTGTTGCAGATTGTACAGGACGACGATCCCTGATTCAAAGGCTATTCAACTCCGAATCTTTGTTTTCGGGCTAGAGCCACTTTCATTGCACCAGCTCTTCTCTATCAGGGCTTGGCGACTCAGGTTTGGGCTCATCCTGAAGCGCCTGGCTCCCAGAAATGCTGCAGAGCAGACTGAGCTGGCCAGGGCACTAACAAACCCCCAGGTGTTTTTGAGGGCGCTTGGCCTTTGCGTGCATGTGTACGCCGAGGCGTTGAGACTTGGAGGAACTCCTACTTCGGCCCATACGAGCTCGGGCCCTGCGTCAGAGTTATCCAGACTGCGGTTCCACAGCCAGGATTGAAAGAAAGTCTGTGCTTTTCACGCATGTTGTGGCCTGGGCTAAGATGGCACTGAAAGGGTAGCGGAATAGTGAATCGTGACGCCAAAGTAGCATGACTGTCGCACTGCAAATTGCGGCCACGTCCACTCCGACGAGATTTCGAAGTGATCACCTGAGGTTCCTCTCTGATACCATCATTGCCGCTATGTTGCTGCCTCGGAGATATTAGGATTTGTGCAGCTTCGGGTTCGGCACGTGCTTCTGAAGCGTTGGCTCCTTTCAAGGCCTTGCAATCTGCAGCATCTGCTGAGGATCCCCATGTGCGAGCTGCAGCCTGATCTGGTCGGCGCTATGGTCGTCAGGGCCCAAGAGTTCCAAAGATGGGAGCCTCGCCACAAGACTTCGAAGGACCACAAGCGATAGACAGCTTGCCGCGACTGACAAGCTATTGTACACACCTGTCTCGACAAGAAGCGCCCGGTCGAGAGCCGGACATTGTGCGAAGGCCCTCATCCACAGCTTCATCACCCACAGCGAGACGAGGCATAGTGAGGGTTTCCAAGCCGGCAGAAATTTGTCTTCGAGGACAGATTGTAAGTCGCCCTTCTGCAGGGATTGTGTTGCAGCTGGGTCCGTGCTTCCAATGCAAGTTGGGAACTCCGATCCGTTTCGTTTTGCCCATTGACTAGCTGACGATCCAGGCTGCTGGAGCGTATCTGGACTGGGGGCCACGTGTCTGGAGCTTGGGGAGGAAAGTGAATGCTGCCAGAGGAAAGCTTCTTTGCGAGATTCTCGCAGTTTCCGGTTGATGCGGTTCCTGAGTGCTTTGGTGTCATGGCAGTCTGCCTTGCTTTCCAAAGTTTAACACTGGCTTTACCCATAGTGCAGAAGGCTTTGGCAGATAGCGAGGGAACAGTCACCGCAGAGTCGCCACAGACTAACATGTGCTGCCCTTCAGCTTAGTAAGGCCATGGTTATGTAAACGTCTGGCGCTGCCCTCGGCATATGTTCGTGCTGAAGCTCGCTCTGGTTTTGTCAGCCTCGGAGCAGTTCTGACCCGTGACCTTCCGTTGCAGCCACGGTTTGTAAGTCCTCACCGCCTTTGAACTGACTTCTCTTTTCCTGCGACGGTGCTGGGCTTCAACATCGACGCAAAACAGTTGAAGGTGGACTTCACGCTCAGCCTCTTGTCTGTGTGCAAAGGCTGATCAGTCCCGGGTGCAGAAGGCCGCCATAGAGCGCATGGCAGAGGCATGGCCTGTGAAACATTGCACACAGGGTTTTGTGGCAAGTTGCCGGGTGAAACATAAGCAGCAGCTCAAACCAGATGCTCGGAATCTACCAAACGGATCTATCTATGAGAATCAGTCGAACTTCGACAGATCGCCTATCAAAGCTCAACCTGCAGGATGTGGCACACACGGGCATCACGCCGACTCAGTCCAAGGAGGAGTGTCGGGCTGCAGAGTTGCCCTCCCTTTTGAACTGTTGCGAATGCTGTCGGAAGCTTGCTCCATGCTCCTACTTCACAGGGGTCCAGGCTCCTGCGGTCGAGGTTTCGGGCTTTGACGTCGGGTCAGATGAAGACGGCCTCACCAGGAGCTCCCGCACCAGATGGCCAAAGGGTGGGAGCGCCATGAAGACCTGGCCCGCTGAGCCACGTTTTGCCCTCCTTAAGACAAGGCGCTCGTAAGCACGGCAGGCACAGGGCGGAGCTGCAAGCATGAGTGGTACATCCGTGACACGCACGAATTTACTGCGAACGCCACGGCCGTGTTCGAAGGAGTGCATCCGCAGCTCGCCAGGTCGTGGCGCAGGGGATGGTCTTGCGCATTGCACGGCGCTTACGTCGCATCACGACTGGACAAAGCTTGACTGCCCGTTGCGAGCTCGAAAGATGTCAGACTTGAGCTCGGAGCTCGGGAGTCCCACTGTGCCCAGTTGTCCAATATCTTCGACCTCTTCCCTGCGGAGTTCGGTGCGAAGGTCAGCAAAGATGGCTGCATCGTCAAGAACTGGCCTGCGCCCTGGTCAGCCACTCTTTGGTTCCAAGGCCGAAGTTCAAAGCTTTGTCTGGTTCAGCAGTCATGGAGTGCTGGCAGGTGCTTCAGTACACCTTGCTGTGTCACTATAAAGACTCCTGGGAACCGGCTCAAAAGGACGCGTCGCGGTGGTGTTCCGATCGGGTTGACCCGTCAACGCAGCCGCAGAACACAGCCATCCCTGCGCTGTCTCAGCTGCCAACTCTGAGGCGCGACCACGTGACCTTCTACTGCCATCATGCATCTGGGTTGCAGTTGCAGAGGCAGAGAGGTCCGCTGAGCAGAGATCACGAGCTAGCCAGGATGAGGCATTTCAAGCGTTTTAGGGGAACAGTTGTAATTCTGGGTTCGACGTCCTGGTTAATTTTGCGGTTTCCCGTTTCTGTGCGTCTTTCGAAGCTTCGAAGCTAAGATCGGGAGGCATTTCTGTCGGAACTGAGGCGGGAGACTGGCCGATGAAGGAGGACAAGGAGCTTTTACTGACCATTTCTCAATAGGTGATCTGCTCTTCCATAACCGGATGCAGACCATGCACGACTTTGGTAGGAGCTCCGAGACTCCACCGAATCCATCCTGGGCTGCTTGGCGTACACCTTCGTGCCCAGGGCCAGGGCAGTACAGCGTCTGTACAGTGGCGGTCCCACCGACTCGCACAAGCCATAGTGACATAGTGCAGGGTGCATAAGGTTGTAGCGCAGACCCCAGAAGCAGGCCGGCGGCAGCAATGCCATGGGATAATCAACAGAAGCCGAACAAAAAACACATGACTCACGCTGTCCTACGTCGTGTCTGCCCCGCCGAGAACTGTCAATGCAACTCGCCGGACGTCTGGTCTTCGACGTCAACGAAGACATGCAGAGGTTGCTGGCACCGCGACTGCAAGTACCGCATGAAACGTACCGAGACGGGTTTGACGGGTTTTGCAATCTTCCAGGCGCTGGTTGCAGATCGTGCTCTGCCAGACCTGTGTACAGCTAAGCCTAAAACTGAAGGGAGTCACCAGGTATTCTGAGGAGGAGACTCACCTCCAGTGCGACTTCGGGTCTTGCAAACGGCATTTGGGGAAGTGTTTCCGTAAGGTTAGTCGATAAGGAAAAGGGTGAGATCTGACACCTCGCGCCTCAAGGATCAAACCCGCAGCTTGAAATCTGGGCATCGTGACCGCTGCAGATCATAGATGTGTCTTACAGAAGCAGACCCATTGAGGTGCAGCAAGGTATGATTGGTGTCTGCTCCACGATGCTGCTGCGGCTCCGGCAGTGTTTGTGAACTGAGTCTTGATGCGGTTCACGAAAATTTTTCGACCTGTGCAGCTGATGCATTCATTGCAGAGAACACACACGCACACATCTTTGTATCGTCTTAGTATGTCGCGGCATGAGTTCGCTGCTACGACTCGCGGCTGAAGCTGGAACCCAAAGACCCAGGGGCACTGTTCGCCAAACTGCCAGGCCCACGCCGGCGCAGCAGGCGGCCATGCGAGCTGCCATTGGGCAGAGCGAAAGGTCGGCGGGGAGAAGCTTGCGAGTTCGCATGGGCGGAAGTCTATCGCAATTTACCTGTTGGCATTCCGCAGGCAACCTAGAATCACACCCCCGTGGAGAGCGTATGGGTGCATGTGACGTCGAAGAAGGATGAAGAAGGTGTGTAATTGTCAGTTTGTTGCTACGGCTGGTCGACAGAGGCGGGGGTGCAGAAGCTCTGCCAGAGAAAAGCCACCACCCGCAGCCTTTCACAGCCAAGCCTAGAGCAGGTCCGAAGACACATCAGAGACGCTCTTCTTGCCGGAAGCGAAGATTCTGGCCGGTGCCGCAATTGCCAGGCCGGCGCCCAAAGACGCGGCTGGTACATGCCCGGGCTAGTCAGTTTCATTCGAGCTTTTGGGAGAACATGTTGACGAGAATCTAGGGCGGAGGGCAAGCCTGTGGTCTTAACAGCTTGGGAACAGCATACCTCCACACTTGCCCGAGTTCTTGTTCAGCCCCCGCGGCCTTAATCTTCTTGGGATTTTGAAATCCGTGAGGCTGCTGTGCCTGCCCGATGCATACCGCTACATCCAGGCCCTGAGTGTGTGTGAGCTCGGAAAGTTCGCGAGCTTGCTCCAATCGGGAGATTGCCCTTCGCGGTCGCGAAGCTTTCAGATGATTTACGGACCAGCGCCATGTGGGAAGTCCTTGCAATTCCTAGCTGCTTCGCTCCAGGCGAAACTAGCTCTAAGGTCATGTGCCGTGTGTCGTTGTGGCAGACCCCGTTTGCATTGCAGGACCGCCGGGCTGCGAAGCACTCCGTCAGCATGTTCTCACAGCACGGGCACCAAGCTACTGGGGCGGTGTGCACTTTCAACCCTTCCGAACCTTCTCTTGAAGCCCTCTTCTCGCGCCAGCTGCTTTGCAGGTCTAAGGGGCTCGACACGTGAGTTGTGTGCTCCTTTGCATGTCGAAAGTTGAGCTACGTGGGTTCTCTCTGCCGTCTTTTCGGGTCTGTTTCTGGCGGAATGCCCGCTCAAAATTCTAAAACCTTGGCGATTTTGCGAGGCTTTGAGCTGGAGTTGTTTACTTCCTTGAGCCACAAGGCTACTTCAGCTGTAGAAAGGATCAGCCCCATTGACATGCCCAGGGGAGTATGACTAAGACTTCGATGCTGAGCCTACCAAACTAAGGCTTCACCACTGGCGTGATGCAGTCTTTGATGAGCAGGTGCCGGCATGATGGGGAAAGTGAAACTATCTAGTATCCATGGATGCCGTCCCGGTGCGCTAAAATCTTGAGCACGTCGTAACAGAGATAATTAAGCAGACACAAGCGCTCCAAGCAGAGTTCCGAATCCCTGGCTATCCGATCAGGGCACGGTCGCGGTGCTGCAAAGCGTCAGCCTCCTGGAAAGGCTTGCAGTTTGTGTGTCTTTGAAGCTGGTCTCTCATGCTCTAGTTTGGGACAGGGCTCCAAAGCCATGGATTTGTGTCTGGGAGCACAGCCGCTGCAGTCACACTGACAGGTGTGCGTCGCTGTACTTGGCCATGGTGTCTGGCCACACCCTGGATTGGTGCTTTGACTTCCTCGGGCCGTGGCCTCGGCATCCCGCAGGCCGCACTTGCCAGGTCTTGTGGCTTCGGGTGGGAGAAAGAAAGAAGGCAATCTTCAAGCTTCCGAGTTTTTGAGCAACTTCACAATACAATCCTTGCAAGGGCGCTACTTTCAAGGGTGCTTGTTGTTCAGCCCGCGAAGTCTCCAAAGGCTGGCCCACATGGACGTCTTCCTGCCGATCATGCTCCGCATGTGGGCCGATCATCCAAATCCCATCCTGAGACACCATGCCGTGGCCTCAGTGAGAGGCATGAGCGAGAGCTGCTACATCAGAGCAACGGGAAGCAGCTCCTGCTAAATTCTTGATTTTACGGGTCAAGAGCCTAACCTCGAGTCCAAGGGTCTAGGAAAGCCCAAATGAACGTGTCTACGTCAAAAAATAGCTGCGAGCTCTTGGAAGCTCTTCCTGGCAGGGCCTTCGTCTCTTCGGCAGCCTCTGCCAGGCGCAAGCAGGGACACATCATCCCCAGGCGAAGGCTACTCCCAAACCCCACCGTAAGACAATCAGAACAAGCGAAGTCGCAGGATGCGAATCGCACAGTTTTGTGATCTTGAGGTTCTTCAGCATCAATGCTGTAGTTAGATTTGAACACGAGGCTGTCTTCAGTGCCGAGACTCCGGTCGGGTCCTGTAGGTCGCAGCTCACATGCAAAGAAATCTTCGTCAGGTCATCAAAGCTGCGCGCATCCCTACCCGCCAGTTGGTCTGTCAACCCAAATGTCTCTGGTATGTATCGTCAGGAGGTGCAATTTATGTAGAAATGGTGCAGTAGTGCTGAGTCAGCGTGGACGCCTGACCGACAGTCCTTTTTTCCTGCGGTTCTCTTGTTGGTTTGGGGCTGCAGGGATCTACCTTAGTGGGTTTGAATGGATTTGCTCGTGGACTGATCGTTGCGTCTCGATGAAGAAAAGTGAAAGGTGGGCGGGAGTGCATGTAGGCATAGAGTGTCGGCCTTGCACTTCGCAGAGCACGGCGCGCTGCAAGCCATACAAACTGAGCTTTTGCCTTGGCAGGTACACTGCCTCTTCTCCTCCACGCTCCAAGCGGAAGCTCGCGCCAGGTTTGGCGGCTGCATTCTAAACGAAAAATGCGTGAAGTAGTCGTCCCCAAGTGAGCCCTCTGCAATCCCCATGCTTAGTCGGATGAGGTGGCGGGATCGTTTCTCATGGAATGGCAAGTCTATACTCTATACCGTCTATACCCCTTTGCACTCAAGCCTGCAAGCTTGGGGTGTTATCCCAATAACACTCTGCATTATGAGCAGGGTGATTAGCAGAATGCAGCTTCCACGCTTGCTAAAGCCTGATATCCTGAAACGCCCATCTTGGCTGGGCGGAAGACCAAAGCCAGAGTTTCAGGCAGCTGAGCCACGCGATCCATCGGACATTCGGGATTTGGGATGTGGCAACCTCGGCGTTTCACTTTCGCCAGCGACAGCTCTCTGTCGGTTTGCAGGGACGACGCACTTGCAGGAATGGTTCCACCCCGAAAGGTTACAGGTGCTCTATCTGTACTGTCCCATCCAGTCAAGTGCGCTGCAGCACCCCCAAGCTCAAACTGCAGGTCCGCGAGCTGCGGCACATGCTTCGCCTGCTGCGGCCTTTGCACAAGTTCGCCTGCATAGAGACATAATTATGCAGCCATGTGCAACACATGTGGTTCTCCACAATCAACCAAGGATGGTGGCAGTGATGTGTCATGTGCTCTTCATCTCGACGACGAACGTCCACTTCGCGGCCATCGTGGACAGCCTTGCGCGTTGCTTCAACATTTCTGCACCGCATGCTTCCGTGACAGCGGCAACAGGCCATGAACCTTGAACTTGTGACCCACTTCGGCTTGGCCTGTTTTGATCTGTGCGCGCGTGTGCGTGTGCGTGTGCGTGTGCGTGTGCGTGTGCGTGTGCGTGTGTTAGTGTTAGTGTGTGTGTGTGTGTGTAAACCCTCTCTCCCTCTTTCGCTCCCTTCCTTGCTCTTTCGCTTGCTCGTTCGTCGCGCTCTCTCTCTCCGACTTTGTTTTTTCTCTGTAACATTTCTACAGATAGTTGCATAGTTGTATAGTAGAACATTCATATACATATATACTTTCTGTACCTACCCAGAATGCATCGTTTCACGTATAATGCAATGCAGCGCATTTCCATGCAATGCATTGTCAAACAATGGGGTTGGATGGACTGGACTTGGCTGGAACGGAATGTGGTGTAATTTGTAATGTAATGTAGCATGACGTCATATTATGTAGGCAATAGTTACATAATGTGACGTTGAAGTGCTCTGGAAGAGTGGGACAGTGCTTCGAGAACGGCATGGGGCCAGCCTCGGGATCCGTTTAGTTAACCCTTTGCAGTAGCCTTGCCTTCCCCCAACCTTGAGCCTTGAGCCTGAGCCTCTGCGAGCGAAGGAGCGAACGTTGGCACGAAAAGTTGAGTGCCCCCAACTCGCCGAGGAAGCTTGGGTTGATTGGATTCGGGGTCCTTCGGGGTTCCGTTCGCAGAATCCTCTTTGGGGCTCGGGAATGCGGGTCCTTGAAGTGTCGAAGAGGCATGCCCTTGCACACCTCCAAGCCTGTAGCCTGACTCATTTTGCTTTGTGACGCTTTGCCAAGACTCTGCGGAACGGTGCTGCGGCGCGTGCCAGCAGCAACACCTCCAAGTCCAGACCTTGGAGTGACAGGGAGCCTCGAGTGGCTGAAGGTTCTGTAAAGCTTTGCATGTCGCCGTACACTCCAGTACCACACGTGGCCACAAGCCTTTGAAGTCCAGAAGATCGTGGCGACCGTCTAAGGTACGTGACGCGAGCCGGCTTCCTCACGCAGATACTCGCATGGGCCGAGAAGCCCGGCGATCACTACGCCAGGCTCCGTTGCTGTGTTTGGGGTGCAGCTTGGCTTCGGACATGGAACGTGAAGAAGAATTCCAGCGATGCCACTGCTCGACCGGCTAGCAGCTGCTCCCAAGCTAGGAGGAAAGGCTGTCTGCAGGATTGGAACCATTGAGTGCAAGAGGCCTATGCAATGACCGCCCTGCAAAAAGCACTGTGCGAATCTCGCATCTCAGGAACACGACTCTGCCATGAGCACCATCTTTAGTGGGTCCCCTGTTTATGTTGTCAAAGTCGTTTGAGACGGTCCTACTTGAGCCGGAAAGAAGGTGACACAGAGATCTCAGATTCTTCCGCCTTGGGCTTCCGCCAGGACATGGGGCCTGTGGTTGATCTTGACGCTCTTTGCCCACGAAGCCAGTGAAGAGAAGCTCAAGAGCCAGGCCCGAACCAGCGATCTCCTGCTTTCGATATCCCTCGTATGGTTTGCTTGTGAAGAGAAGTGTATGCGGTATGCGATCTGAGACAGTGGAATCACTCCCCTCGAGGCTGATACGCTTGATCCGGATGCTGTCCTGGTCATGGAAGAGGTATCCTTGGAAGAGGCAGGTCGCAGGTGAACGCATGGGCATCAGGAAGAGGCTCGTAGGAGTTTAGCCGTGAAGCCGGATCCGCAATCCTTTTCATCAGACCTGTTCTCTTTGGTCTTCGGAAGTTGACCGTCGTCTGAGATCCAAGTTGTTCGCAGCATTCTCCAGTTGGCCTGGAGGTAAACCCAAGTGCTCTCAGTGATCTGCGTCTGCTTCGTCACGTTGCCAGGCTCAGGTCGTTCGGCGGAACCGGCTCCTAGATGCTCAGGAGGCATCGGGACACACAAACGGCGTCGAATCTTCGGGTGCCGGGTGCAGTGCGACGATCTGCTCCCTGCAGAGGCTGCAGCTGGCATCACCAGCTCAACGAGACAGGATAGCAGCAGGATGCTTGAAGGGCCGGAGTGCATTCCGGGACATGAAAGATTGCACAGGAGTCCTGGTCCGTGTGTGTTGCCGAGGAAGCTTCCAAAACGGGCAGTTTACGCAGTCCCCAGTTGGCTCCTTGGACCAAGGCAAGCAGCCCGAGTGCAAGACACGCGTCCACTGGCCCCTTGGCGGTGGAATGGCATCACAGCTTTGGACAATAAGTGCTTGAATTCGTCGTTGGGAGGGTTGGTTTCTCCTGTGCTGGACGTGGAAGGATAAAATGGGGTTTCTGAGAGTTAGGTTGAGGGCTGGGGCTTATGGTTCATACCAGGCTTGGGGTGTGGTTAGGGGATTTGGGCTCTTGATGTATGCGGAGTTCGGGCTTGGGATTTGGAGGTAGGATGGGTTTTCGTTCACTGTTCGGGTAGGTTGCCATGTTTGGGGTCGGGATTCTGGCGGGATTTTCTGCACCGGGATGTGAGCTCTAGAGCTGCTTTGAGCGTAATCCAAGGCTCCGTGGCTCCACGGAGCTGATTCGAGGCCTCGCTGCTTCAGCTGCCGGCCTAGCGAAGCTTGTAGGCGATGTGAAAAGTTGTCAAAATTAGGGTCCCTTTTTGACCATGGTCTTGACAACCACCCATGTGAAAAGTTGATCAGATCCGGTTCAGTTTGGTTTCAAGCCGTGGGAAGTCTGCATCTGCTTCGTCCTGGACTGTAAACTACAAGACAGCTGCCGTTTCACGACAGCTGCAGTCAAGAGATGCAACATCAAAAACCAATCTTACTTGTATCAGTCAATGAGCCCACGAAAACGTGAACGGCGACGGGACCTCAGCGCTTCCAACTCGCAGCTTACAAACCCTTCTAAGAACGAGAGCCTTCCCTCTCGTGCCAAGGCCGGCAAGTGCATCTCGCATCCCCTCGCGAGTTTGAAGCTTCAAGCTTTGTATTAACTTTCCATGAGGGGATGGCTTCCACATGCATGTGTCAGTTCACTGCTTGCCGAGTGTTACCCGGCTTCTTGAGTAAAGGGCAGTGTATGGATACACGAGATAGACTCTGGGCTGCGCGGGCTGATTCGGAACAGATGCCAGCACGCGGGGGCCAGCAGCCTTTGCAAAGCCGACCGAAAAGCCGACTGCTAGCCTGAGCCGCAAGGTTGAGCCCGAGGCCTCAGCTCGTCTGTCGTCCTTTGCTCTTTGCCAGGTATCAATGGAAGGACTCCCAGCAGCTCGGCTGCGTGCGGCAGCTCAGCTCTGCCACGCCAAGCCGACAAAACAGCAAGCCGACGCAAGCCGACGCAGCCGACACAGACTCGCCTGCTCTTCTCCAACATTGCACAGTCAACGTTTCTTCCGCCTTTTGGTCTCAGGTGGCCTCTGCTTGGTGCTTGATCGAGCTGTCAGCCCGACACGGCTTTCGGCGGTTGTAGGGGTCGTGAAGGGTTGAGCGCCCCCGAGAACCTCCTTCCACTGGTGCTGGCCTCGATGATTCAGAGACCGAGCCCGATTTCGTTTCGTCTGTGAGCACTCAGCCAGCTTCCAAACAAGTGAAGCTTCTTTTGCCAGAGTGGGTTGCGCTTGATAGAGAGCTGCGTGTACTAGTGACTGCTGGTGTGTGCTGGTGAAGTGGAAGCACATGCATGCCAGGCCGGCATTTGTGCAGACTGCTGTGCACTCCATCGACAGTCGGGTGGTCTCAAAGTGTCTCACGCTCCCAGAGAAGCTCGAAACTCAGCCGACTCACGCACAGGTGAACAGGTGCGAAGCCTTTCCTCCTTTCGTCTCTACACTGTGACACGTCCCATCATGTCCTGCACGCCTCTGTAATGGCCCTTCCTTACGTCGGGTTCAACTGGCTTCGGGGCTGGGCAGCGTTTTGACTGCAAAGTCTTCTTGACATAACTTCAACAAGCAAGGCCACAAGGGCGTAACTGGCGCTTTCTCTGAGCCAGCCCCCGGCCATTTCAGAGCCCAGCAATCATGCAGATTGCATGCCTGAGCCATTCCTTCCCTGAGCCTCTGAACACCATGAAGCCTGAAGCCTGAATCACCCACTCAAGGTCCCTGCAGCTGGCAGCGTTGCTACTCATCGCAGTTCCCTGGCTTGTTTGGCTTCACCCGCTGTGGAGTTGGAGCGGACCCTAGTAGAGGCTTGTTCGGAATCACCTGTCCATGCGGTTCATGCTCCACACTGGCGGACTTAGCATCACTCCTGACTTAGCATCACTCCTTGGCCGGACAGAATCCCGAGCCACTCTTGAGCTTGGCCTCTTCAGGTGGTGTCCAGCATCCGGCTCCCACTTAACGTCCGGGGCCCTGGAGCACCGAGGTTTCTCGAGTGCACCTGGGAAGATCGGGAGTCAGTAAGCGGCGAGTGGCTATAGGAGTTCGAAGCAGAACTGCAGCTACTCGCTGTAGCATTCTCTGAAGAAGCACTCTAGCTTAAGCAGATCGTCTTTCTGCGTCCGCCTGAGGCCCAGAACATTGCCAGCGAGTTTCGCCGCCTTGTCTACTGTAGTGGAAGCGGGATTCTTGTACGGAACGGCTACCCGGGAGGGGAGGTGTCAGCCTTCGAAGGCATTAATCTCAGCTACAGATACTTGTAGCTGTAGGGGGCTTGCTGAGCTCAGAGCATCTCTGCGCATGTTCTGTTTTTCGAGAGGAGAATCCGGAAGAGGGGCATCCTGCCCAGCGCCAAGTGCTCATTTGCCAGGTTCTTAAGGCGATTCCACGGGCAGCAGTTCCTTGGACCGCAGTTTCTAAACCAACCGCACATGCGATTTCTGTGTGGCCTGTTGCCAAGACAGAGCTTCCATAGCTTCACCAGTCGGTGGTGACGTCAGCGATGGAGAAGATGAAGTGGGGGGATGCATATATACAGGCGTCGAATGGCAGGAAGATGTTCCCTACTCCTTGGATTTGACATCTTCGATCAGAGTTGGTGTGGGTGCTGGAATGGCTCATTCAAAGCCCGATCGCATGATGCAGGTGTTTGGGCTCTGACAGCCTTGAAGCCAAGGCAAGTGCTGATCGAGAGCCTCGCCAGTGGCGGAGAGGGCCCTTACGACACCATCGCGAGGTCGGCCAATTGCACCGCAGTTGTCAACGTTTAGGGCAGCACTTGGGGAACTGGCATGAGCGCTTTTTTGTTTTTTTGCTGCGGTTCCTCCTTCCATCAGCTCAAGGGAGTCGGGCCTCGGGTGAGTGTGCGCATTTAGCGTTTTGTCTTCAAGTGCGAGGTGGCTGCACGAGCCACTTCTCGGCCTGTCGGTGCCCAAGAGAAGGGACCGAACTTAGTCCGAGCCTTGCTCTCGTGGCTCTTCTCGTGGCGACGCTACGAAAGGCTTATGGCAACCTCTTTCCGACGACGGGCTGTAGTTTTGATTCAAGAGAATGATAGAGTACTTCAACTTCGACTTGACAGTAGAAGGGGTCTGCAATGGGGCGGCCGGCCTTCAGCGGTTGGTAGTTGCTCTGAGGCCCAACGAACACGAGTTCCGCTGCCTGGTGTCCTTCATGATCGGTCTGCCGGCGCTGCTTACGGCGCGGGCTGTGACGCCGGAGAGATTGAGAGTGGTGGGTGCCAGGGCAGTGCATCAAGCCGCCCCTGGCGGCGCCTCCCTCCCTGGACCTGGAGACGGCCATGGCGCCAAGGGGCAAGGCTCGGTCTCGTGTCTTCGGTGTCTTACGTCTTGCGGATCTTCGCTACTTGAAGAGGTGGGTCTTCTGTCGGCATTGGCTGAAATGCCTTCTCAGGAGCTGGTGTCCCAGAATGCAGTCACTCTCCCGCCGCTGGACTCGAAGGCTGGGCCCTAGATTGCTGGATCAGAGTTTTACAGGGATGCCGGGCACAGGAAGCTCGGACAGGGTTTGGAGTGTCAAGCTGCACGAGGCCTTTGTAACCTCATAGAAGCTTCGGGCCGCAGCTCTGGTTTCGACAAAGCAGGCAGAAAGACAAGAAGTGGCACCAATGGCACATCTCAGCTGATTTCTGTTTTCAGGCGGGTCGCACCAACGAGGCCGGCGGCTGTCGAGCCAGATTTGGATACTTTAAAGTTGTGCGTGTTCTCCTTCTGGAGTCAGGTTCGCGTTCGCAAGCTTGGGTCCCTTGAATCCGGCAAAAGCTTGGAGGCAGACTTGCCACCAGTACCCAAGACGCCTCCGCAAAGGAGCCTCCTGCCCAATCCGACGGTGGAGCTCCGGCGGGTGCTCCGCCGGTGGCGGAGTGCGGACCCCCACCTGCAGCGCTCATAGACAAGCCAGGACCTCGCTTTGGGAACCTGCCCTTGTGAGCCCGAGCTCAGCTTGAAGCAAAGCCGTGCGTGCCACGAGCTCTTGCAAAGGTTAGCGCAAGAGGTGCTCAAGGAGGACAGATGTGGGTGTTTTGAGAAAGAGGCAGATAAGTCAGGTACAGGGTCATTGATGGGCATTCGGCTGCCGTTCAGAGATGTGAATTTTTTCGAAGTAGTTTGCCGATGAGCCAATCAAGAGATCTTCAATTGCCCGCCCTCTGCAAAGGGAGCTTTTCCAGCTCAAAACCAAAAGAGATGCAGGGATCACCAAGTTACGGGTCTCTGCATTTATCATTAAGAAAGCTTGTAACTTATGAAGCAGCTGCAACCACCTGAACGCTCTCAGGACCAGCGGCTGCAAGATCTCACGGGGCCCAAAAAGGAAGGGCCCATCTTCAGCACGATGCGTGCTCGTCACGCTTCGGCTAAGAGGGATTGAGGGCATGGAGGGCGCACGCCCGGAGTCAGAGCCCCGTCTCTGGCTGCCCGGAGTCAAAGTGAGAGCCAGTTCCTCTTGCATCCCCTTCAGTGGGGGCTTTTTGCAGCGCCGCTGCGCTGCTCTCCGCTCTCTCGGCTCTCCTCTCGCCAGGTTGTGTCATCTGCTCTATGCCTTGGCTGTGATGGTCCCCGCGCACCCCAAGGACTCCTCTTCTCGCCTCGAGCTCGAGCGGCATGGCAGTGAGAGCCCCTGATCCCCATCTGAACCTGAAGGAGGCGGCTCAGTCGGTCACCGTGCGAGGTGCCGCTTTCGCGCAGTTGATCAAGGCGAGATCTCGTGGTTCTGACATCAGGAGCCATTCTCCACCTCCAGACTGCAGGGTCCAAACTCCGGACCCTCAGTTCCGCGCAGGTGCAGCACATCGTCGCCCAGCAGATACAGCCGAAGGCATCCGGGCGGCAGAGGGGCTGGCACAAAGCCTAACTGCTCTGTCGCAATACAGCTCTCTAGTTTGGCATTCCAGCTTACTGGAAAAGACAACTGTATTTTGCTGGAAAGTCTGCTTGCTTCCCGAAGGTCCACCCTCAACCGATTGAGTCCTGTTGATGACATCTTTCAATCCTTTTCCCGCTGTTGAAGGTTCTCTACGACCCAGCGGATGCGGATCGAGCAAAGCCGATGCTCTTAGAGAAAGTGCTCCTCCCCCTCCAGTCCTAGTCCTGGGTAGTAGACAGTCCCCTCGCAGGAAAGCCGAGATGCGACAAATTTCAGCCTGCAAGACTTGGAAGCTAAGCCTGCAAGACCTGTGCATCCTGGAGTCTGGGCCTGAGGCTTTTGCTCTACGTGAGGGCCACTGCCTGCGTGCGCTCTGCCGGGCTCTCGGCCTTTGCCGCTGCGGCTTTCGGGTTGTGATGGAGGAAGTTTGGCCCCGGCCGCCGACCCCTGAGGCCCTGCAGTCCATCATGGCATCCTGGTTTGCCGCAGACTTCGGTGCACGCTTCGTGATCTCGGAGGCAGCTCCATATCCTTCGGAAACTCCCTTGGCTTTATCTCCCACTGTCCCATTCCTCGAGCGTGAAGGGTCCTCCCGAAGCCTGAAGGAGCTGACCTTGAGCCATGTGCGTTCTGCTTTTGTGGGGCTCCCCTGGCAGGAAGGCGGACAGGACTTCCTGAGGCATCTCGGCCGAAATCTAAGTGCAGGCCTGGAGCTGGATTCCTGGATGCTCCACGAAGACTTCGGCCCGGATCGACACATGTGGAAAACTGCTTGTTCTGGCATTAAGGTACTGCTGCAAGCACATCACCCAGGCTTGGATGAGACAGTTTTAGAGGGTTGTAATGGAGTAGACTCTTCCTTGTCTTCTGTGTGAGGGTAGCGCGGCTCGATCATTAGCTCATCTACTCGTCAGTCGACGACTACAAGACGTAAGTCTCCCCGTGCCAAACAGTGACGCCTGGCTGTTCCAGTGGGAGTTGTCTCAGGGTCGGTCTTGTGGCCCAACGAGGCATCTTTCGTCGTCTAGCAATCTGGCGCATATCTGGCGCTTCAAGCTGTCAAGGCCTACAACCACAAGACCGCGATGACGAGAGTTTTGGGCACCCCGTGGGAGAGGATCATGCTGTCCCAAGGCCGAGCGAGCCGTTGGTTTTGTTCTGATGAATCGCAAGCCTTCGGCCTAGCCATACCTATACAGCTTAATGGCATAATGTACTAGTCTGTATCATGGCAGAATAGAAGCAAATATGTAAAGATATTGACGTGAAATAGACGCAGGTAATGTTAGTTGTCCATTAATATATTAGCCATAATATATGTTTGTTCTGCATTATCTTGATGTAGTATTCATATGATCATATAGCAAGACTAGTCTTTTTTCATAGAACATTAGACTGAGTCGTAACACATTTCCACAGAAAACATGTTTCTGTATGATAGATCTCATCAAACATAGTCTACGTCATGTCATTACGGCATGTGGCTTCCACCTGCATATGGCTTCGAAGCCCACTTGTAAAGACTTGGGCCTCCAGCCCACCCCGCTCCCCTCCAACACCCCCCGCAACACGTTGCACCCCACCCACCCACGCCTCCCCACCCGGCCAACAAAAAAAGCAAGAAAGCAAACCAAATCTCACCTCGTTAAAAACCTTGGCAAGTGAAGAAGAATCAGAAGGCAGGACTTTCTCTTTCGTGGGGAAAGAAGGCAAGGAGAGCCAACCCCGGAGTAAAGACGAAACGGACAAACATCAAAACATGAGCACAATCAGAAATCCGTAAGTCACATCTGCCACCAGAAGGTCCCACATCGACGATTGCCGAGCTACTCATCGTGGTTTGTTCGTCGGATGTCCCGTCCCTACAGTGCTTGGGTTCTATCTTCATGCGAATTTGGTCTTGGGAATGTCGAGCCTCCGGGTCAGACGTTACGCAGGAAAGCTGTGTACACCGTAGGGATCTCTGCTGCCTCTGACTGAGCATTGCTGTACGAGCATGCCTAGCTGGACACGTCTGTGCGTGACGGTGTGGGTATGTTACACGACGCAGGCCGACACACAGTGCTGACTCGGTTTGCCTGCTCATCCAACCATTTGTAATTGTAGTGCGTGGCTCAAGTCGTCACCAAAGTTCTCCTGTGCTTCGTGCGCTTGTGCAGCTATGTCCAGCTTCACGACGCCGCCTAGCTCAAAGCCGATTGGTTTTCGGTTCTGTTACTAGGAGCGACCAGGGTCATGACATGACATGGTCCCCCGTGCTGAATCCGCTCTTCCTGCGCACTCCTGCAGAGATGAAACGGAGCAGGAACGCAGAATAATCCTCCGAAGGATGTGAAGGAGCTAGTGAAGCCAACGCCAAACCTTTGAGAAATTGACGTCGAGGTATGCATGCCCGGCGCCTTGGCTGCAGGAGGTGCCGGGTCCAACGGACTCAGTACCTACCGACTTCTCGGTACCATTACCGGCGACTCGGCTTCAAAAGACATGCTTCATATTTATGCCATCCACACACCACGGTTACGAAGGGGAGGTTGCTGAGGCCGTTCCACCAGGCAAGAGTCGGAAGCACTGCGCACTGCCTGGTGCCTGTCAGGTGAACTTGCTTAGCCCCCCGTCGGTGCCGCCTTCGGGCAGCGTTGGGCATCCGGAGCTTTGCAGCCGACCCTGTGTTCGCCTCATGCGCTCCGGGTGACTCGAATCTCCTGCGTGAAGGGTCTTCCATGGCATTTCGGAGTGAGTTTGTGGTTTGTGGGGTTCCAGCGCATGCTTCCGGATTTGCGATGTGTTCGAGATTGCTGCATGTGGCTGTTACAGATTCGATCCGTGAACTTGCATGTGCGCTGGGGGCGACACCTCGCCAAGCCCTGCTTACGAACCTTTGACGGCCAAGGTACTGCGAGCAAGGTAACGCCTGTCGCTTTTGCCACCTACCTCATGAAGGTCCTGCTGCGAAGCCCGACCAGGCGCTTGCCGCTTGCGATGGCAGATCCACTGAAGGAGTTTCGAAGAGTCGCATGCTGAAGGTGAAGCGCCGGCTCATGCAGGCGATGTTCCTTGGTGACTTAAGCCAGTCAAGTGAAGTCTTCCATGGCATAACCCTGAACTTCCCCGCCGTGAAAACTAAGGTCTGATGGCGAGCTGATGGCGACTCTCCTGCCGCACATCCGCACTCGGGCCCTCGAGGTCACTCGGGTGCTCCAAACCTTTGAAGCTTGCGTCAATGTCCGCGACTGCAAACGTCGGCGCCGAAGTGTTGTCTACCACCCGCGGAAAGCAGATGAACTCCAAAGATCTCAGAACCGTATATCTACATCCAGGGCCAGAGTACCAAGTGTCACCCTTCGAACGACAGCCGCTCCGAAGAGGGACTGCTAGTGCTGAAGCCGCAATTACCGTAACATCAGCCTACAAAAGGCATCAGTGCGCCCTGTACCTCACATCTGCAGGCTGGGCTCACCCCCCAAGTGTTTGCGCTGCTGGAAGAACTGGAGGAGACTTGCTTGCAAGGTTTGGGATACTGTTTTGAGGGGTTGGCCGAGCGGTTATGGGCTTGAAACTTTCCAGCAGCGCACAGAGGTCGTGGTGTGGGGTCATTCTGGGCCGCTTCCGGCGATGTCACATAGCACTCTACTACTGGGGTGGCAGGAAGCGCATCGTTGTCAAAGCTTTCAATCTGAATCCCAAGCTCCGCCCTAGCTTTCCGCGGATCTGAGTGGCGAGCAACGAAGTTGAGCACTGAGTTTAGGATGCTGCCGGACATGGTTCTAGGGCGGCATTCAGCGAACCAGCTAAGGCGGAACTCCGTGAGGAGATTGCACTTCGGCCAGTTGTGGAGCCTGTCCAGGCGTCGCGTAAGATTAGTTACTAGTTGCCCTCTCCATCTCCTGTGGCTGCTTCCTCCCAGGTGTCTGCGAGGCAGGAAGGGAGCCTCAAGAGGGCGCCTTGGTTGAGAATTTGACGACGACATCCCAAGGATTGCACAGTCCGCAGCAAGTAGCCTCAACCAATCGCCCCGGGCAACGGCTTCTTTCACGTGCTCCTGCGGTCAGTATGTGTGTTTTGACAAGCATACAGGTGCTGGCACGAATGTCTTTGGTCGCACTCGCCGCCGGACTGCATGATGCACGGGAGTAGGGCAGAAACAAAGATATCAGAACGTGTCACAAAGCTCGTGCTTCGGTGAGGAACGGAGCTTGCTGTGCTAATCTGTGCTAGGACGATGCTCAGGTCAAACGGTTTCCGACGCGCACACCAAAGCGGATCCAGGACTGATCCCAAACCCCAGAAAAGGCTTTGAAGCGCACCCCACAGGACCTGCTTGCTGGATTGTTCACACCGGGTTCAGCGGATCAAGTTGTGGAAACCTGTCTGGGAGGGGCCATCGCCAAAAATGGGCTGTCTTCAAGGGCTCGGTGGGCTTCGGGGTCTGTCTAGCACTGAGACCCAAGATTCCGCCAGGAATTACTTGATGCACTTCGCCGGGCGCCGTCTGTATCTGTGGAATGGGGCCCATGCTTGCGGCTTTGAGAATGCGTTGGTTCTTGCCCTTCTTGGTTTTGAAAGGGAGAGCAATTGCAGTAGCCCGGGAACATGAGAGCAGAGCACGTGCATAGCTGTCCAGGGGTGCGATGCAAGGGATGAAAGGAAGGAGCCAACGCGGTGGGCCGCTCCGTGGGCCTCCGGCGAATCTTCGGCAATGGCAAAGCCGGGAGCATCTGACGCCTCGGCTGGGGTTTGTCTGAGAGGACGCCCCTGCTGGGTCGATGTGGAGAATCGGTGGGAATGCCGAAGCTGTGCACTTGGCCGACAGACAAGAACTTATGAGGAATGATGCATCGACTAGAGCCTAGCCCAACCGAAGCGGGACATGAAGGGAGAAGTAAACACGAACAGCTTGGTCGTCTGTGGCTCCGAGCTTATTTAGATGTACCTCCCATGCCACAACAAGATCAACACGCCACAGTACGTGTGCAACGCCCTGCCGGGTGAAAGGTTGCAGCACTCTTGACATCCTGTGATCTCATCTGACTTAGGGATTTATACAAAACGTTAGGAGGTACCGTTACGGCGTTCAAGTTAGCGAGTATTTGAATGAGGCAGCGGGGCACTCCCTCTAATTTGACTTGCTGCCCCCGACGGTGAGCCGGACCACAGACCACTCCAACAAGCCCGAAGTTTTGAAGGTTTACTGCACAATGTCAGGGTCATCGTTGCCGTGGAAGTTCACAGCTTTCTGCGGGGACCATATGGCCATTCAGAACCCTCCTGCTGGACCTACTCATTGCTCGTTCTGAAGCAGGGATTAGGCGTCGTGCTAGAGTGAAATGGCATGTTACACAATTCAATGTGAAGCCTGATGTCGGTATTCATGTGCAGGTTTTTTTGCGGGATAAGTGCACCGTACACACTCTGTCCTTGCTTACTCCCCGACGGCTCATCGTCATTCTAGCTGCCTTCCTGGACTATTGTCCTTGGAGAGTGGGGGCTTGCTCTGGTGCCAATGCATGGCCTCGATACCGAACAGTAGCTGCGTTGTTTGTTGTGCTGGTGTCGAGACTGGAGTGAAGAGCGAAACCACCGATACTTAGCTTGATGTGCCTATGTGTCGAAGCAAGCCCCCACAGCATTTACCCGCTCAATTCGTGCACAACCGCTATGTCGCACAGCTGTCCAACCGCAGTCCTGTGCCAGCTCGTTTCGGATAGACGTGCGCTTCGCGTGTCTCAGGTATGGAAGCAATTCTTGTGTACTCAAACCTCGCAAGGGGAGTCGAGGACTCCGGTTCCAGGATCTGATTCTTCTGTGCTCCAACGTATGCCGATGCCGCGACGCGCTACGCCTGTCAGATGCGAGACTTCGTGGCGGAAGTTCTGAACCGTGGGTGTGATTCGCGGCGATGCCTGAGGATCGAGTCTGCGGGCTTGATGGAGGGTCTAGGCCCTACAGCAAGCTCTAAGTTCAGACATGCTGGGTCTGACGAGCGCCTCCGGTTCCAATTCTAATTTTCTAGGTCACAGGACCTCTCACACCCTTGAGTTTATGTATACTCATTGAATGCCCCTAAGAGCTCGAGGCCTTGTTCACCTGGACGACAGTCTGCATGAGTCCATGTGTCGCATGAGCTGTTTGCGGCATCTGGTGTGCCCTCGTTGAGATCATCGCCACATGCCGCTTCGTTTTTGAATGCTCTGAGTCCAGGTACACGATTGGTGAATCAACT